AAACCCTAATGTAAACCCTAATGTAAACCCTAATGTAAACCCTAGAACCCTAAACCCTAAACCCTATAATATAATTAATAAAATTATTATTATTATCAATTTTTTAGATATAATAAATATAAATAGTATAAATAATATACTTTTTTTACTCTCGGTTAGTATTACTGCTATTATTAGACTATTTTTATTCTAAATTATTTATAATATAAACTGTTATATTTTATATAATTATATATTTTATTTGGTTATCTTTTATAATACTACTAGTATATTTACTGTATAAAGCTGCTGCTGTTAGACTATTTAATTTTTTATTATAGTTTTTTTTTATAAAATAATAGAAGATATTATATTAAAGTTAACTACTTTTTTATTAAATTTTAAAAATTAATATTAATTTATATTAAAAATATAAAATGTCTACTACTAGTATATAATTATTCCGGCTTATTTTATAATATTTTATTTATATATTATTTCTGTTATATATAATAAATATACTATCTATAAATCTATAATATATTTTTATTATTTATTTTTATTTAACTTTTTTTCCGAATTAGTATTTAATATAGTTTATATAATATTCTGTTTTTTTTATTAAATATAAATAAATATACTGCTAGGCTGTATAAACCGCCGGCTGATTTTAATAGTAATATTTTAATATTATTAAATATTAATACTATAATATAACTATATTTATATTTTTTATTTTAATATTTTTTAAAATTATTTTAATATTTATTTTTACTAGCTGTTAGAATTAGAATCCTATACCAATACTGATATAGTAAGTCCTAATATAGTTATATAATTGGTTAAAGTTTTAAAATAGAATAAGCTAAGTCTTAATATATTAAAAAAAATATTAATATTATATATAAATTTATTTATATAAATAAGCCATATTTTAAATTATTAGATAAATAATAATATTAATTATAAATATTACACTAATAGTTTATTAATCTTTTACAGAATATATTAATAGATTATTTTAATATTATTATTAATATAAAACTTTTTATAATATACTAATATTATTATTATTAATTTATTATTAATAAATATATTCTGCTGTTGGTTTTACTTAATATTAGTATATTATAAACTTAATAATCTAGAAATATATTTAAACTAACTACTAATAATATAAACTAATACTACCAGTTTTTCTTTAAACCGGATTATAGTATAGAAATACTAATAGATTAGTTTAATTTATATTTAGTTTAGCTGCTGTTAGTATATAAATTATTTTTATACTATAAATTCTATTTATATTTATTTAATTAATTATTATTATTTATTTACCGGCTATTATATTTATATATTTTATAAAAAATTTTATTTTATTATCTACTATATAAAATTATTATATAGTTATTATTACAGGATCTCGGATATCTATTAGAATAATAATTTATTATATAAAATCTATTATACTATTTTAGCCAGTTTATAGATAAATCCTTGGAATTATTTTATATTAAAATTAATATACTGATATAGCAGCTAATTTTTATTTATTTATATTATATATTTAAAAACAGTAGTATTATAATAAATTTTTAATTTATATATTTATTAATTTTATAATATTTTTATTAATATATAATATTTATATATTATTAGCTACCGGACTATCTATTTCATTTTTTTTGAGAATAATTTTTATATTTTTTAGATTTATTAGATATTTACTTAAAATTATCTGTTTCTACTTTGTATAAATAAAATTAGAAAAAATAACTAAAATTCTAGTTTAGTTAGAATATAGTTTTTTATATTAATCTTTTTATTAAAATTATTTATTATAATAATATTATTTAGCAGCTAGTTAGTACAGCTGCCTATTTATTTTTATACTTAAATAATTTAATTTATATAAAAATCTAGCTACAAAATTTTTTAAATAATTATAAAGCAGGCAATTTTAATTATTTATAATAAAATAAAAAAATAGTTTTTAGAGTTATATTATTTATATTCTAACCGGTCTAATACTATTATAATATATACTAGTCTATTTTTATATTTTTATATCTAGTATTTTTAGTTTAATAGCTTAATATAAAACTTTAAATATATCTGCTTAAGCATATTTATTACTTAATTAGTTATTTTATTATTTATTTTTATAGGATTAGAGCTGCTGGTCCGGCTAATTATTAATTATCATATTATTTATTATTTTTTTTATTACTAAAATATAAATTTATACTGCAGGTTCTACTATTTATATAATATTTAAATTTATATAATAAATTTTAAAATCTGTTATTATAGCTGTATATATTTAATAATACTAATAGTATTTATATATAACTATAGCAGTCAGTATAATATTTATCTGATTTTTAATTATACAGCTTTAATATAAATAGTTTATTTATAGTATTAAACTATATACTAGTTTTTTTAGACTATTTACTTTATAATATTCTAAATCTATACTATATTTTATTTTATAAAATTAAAGAATTTTTTTTAAATATAGTTATATATATTAGTAACCAGTCGGGCGGTATATTCTATAAATATATTATTTATTTAGTTATCTACAGCTATAAATTAGTATTTTATATTTAATTAATTTCGATAGTCTATTATTTTTATATTATTTATATATACTTTTATATTTAAATTATAATATTTACTATTAAATTAGCTTATTTTATATAAAATCGCTGCGGTTCGGGATTTCTATAAATATAAATATAATATAATTTAAATCGGCTGGAAAATTGTTAGAAACTACTTGACGCAGTAGACACGCTGGTTAGGCAAGGTAAGCAATATGTATAGTAGAGAATAGTTAAAAGCAGTCTTTTTATTATTTTAAAACTAATTCTTGAGGAATCTTTTTTTTAAAGAATTTCGATATAATTTATTATATATAAAAATAAGGGGTAAGCAGTATAATAATATAGATATTCGGATTAAAAGCCCGGCGAATTAGTACCGATCTAGAAGTAAACTGTTTTACTGATAGATAAAGACTGTTGTAGAAGTAGGTATTATATAATAATTATACTTTTCTGCTAAGTTGGATTATTTAGTACGGTAGTATAGCCGCAGATAGCTTTACTATGTTTTTAGTTAGAAATTCTTACTAATAGTAGTTTTAAATAGTAAAGTTCGGCGCTGTAATAGTAAGAGGACCATCTAATAGGCTTTATATTATATAAATAAAAGATTCTGGTATGGTAAATAGAACACGCGTTTTATTAATAATCTAATTAGGATTCGACATAAGGTGTATATATAAATAAAAAAGTTTAATATATTTTTATTTGTTTTTATATCTCAACTTTCTACCGAATCTTTTTTTTTATATTTTTTCTTTCTGTTGTTTTTGCTCTTGTTTTTATTGTTTGTTTTATATTTATTTGTTGATTTATTTTTTTAAATTTATTATTTCTGTTGCTTTTTAATATAATACCAATAACTACTTATTGTTGTTTAGCTGATATATTTCTTATATCTAAGATCTTCTTTTATTTATATTATCTGTAAACTAATATTAAAAAGTTTAATATTACCGACGCGAAAAACTTTATATCTGGCTATATTTTTAATACTATAATATCTATGGTGTATAAGTAGTATTCTAATAGAAACTAGGTTTGCTATCAGATATATATCAACAGTTTTTCGGTGGGTTTACTAGGCTAATAAGAACTAGACTTCGGTTAAAATACTGGAGAATATCGCCGAATTTTCGTAGATTCTGGATTAGTATAATAAGTTTTTTATCGACTATACTACTTTTAATAAGAATTAGAATTAGAATCTAATGCTTCGTATTTAAATCAGTTATCTGGTTCTAGCCCTAGCTACCAGTTTTAAGACGGCCGAGCTGGTCTACCGCTGTAAGTATAAACTAACCGGCACCAGTAAGTTTAAAATTATTGTATATTTTTTTATCGATTTTTAGTTAATTTGTAAGCTAATTTATTAGTTTAATCTGGTTTTTTATTGCTTTTTTATTGCAGGCTGCTGTATTATCGCGGATAATCTGACTATACTTTACTTAATACCCGGGGATAACAGGTTTCTTTTATAGATTGGGGCTAAGTAGATATTTTTTAAAAAAGTCTACTGTAAGATGTATACTCTCTATAATAATGAGAATTCCCTTTAAAGTTTTTATATTTAGAAGATAAAGAGGTTTTAGCTTTTTACTGCTTATCTTCTATAAGAATAGTACTAATTAGCCGGGTTAATCCGATGGTTTTTTAATAGAGATTCGGCTTGTTTATACAAGATTTTTATTTTAATTATATATTTCAGCGTTAAAGTTTGACTGTATATAATATAGTAATTTAATATAAATTCGGTTATTCTTTTTGTATTTAAAAATAAGATATTTTCTACTGTTTTAATTTTTTTTTTTATTTTTTATAGCTTTGAATAGCTTGCTGGATGTTATTTATAGATTTTTCTAGAACCTATTTATTATATTTACTTGGCTATTCTATTTATTTAACTAGAAAATATTATTTATTTTTAAAAGTCTGCTTGTTTTTAATATTTTTAATCTTGAACTCCTCTTTCTTTTTTAAATCTGAAAAATAAAGTTGGTCTTATAAATTAGTATTAGATTTTTATCGTTTTAATAATAATATATAAAAGATATTATAAATGCGACTGTAGCAGTTAGGCAGGAAAATTTAATATATTTATTTTTTAATAGCTACTAGAATCTTTAGAGGTTTAATATATTAAAAAGCCAGCTTTTAAAAAAAGACTTTAATCTTTAAATTTTTAGTAGACAGCTTTACCAGGTCTTTTTTTTTAAAAGTTATCGGCTGGTGTTTTTTATTATAATATTTTTTTTATACTTTATTTATTTTTTACTAGTAATTCTGTAGCTCTTTTTTTAGTCCAGCTAGCTTGTTAATTTGATTTTTAGCTGCAGGAATCTCTCTCTGGAAAGCGCCGGCCTCGGCATAAAAATAAAAGTCAGATGAATAGTTTAAGAGAGTTTTAAAAAAAAATATAACTAATAGTTAAATTCGGAGTATTATTACATGTAAATTAAATAGAAGATAATAGAATAGGCTAATTTATTTAATTCTTATTAATAAAATATTAAAGATATTATTTAAGTATCTAATTTATTCTTTCTACTTGGTTATTAGTTTAGGGTCGAAATACTATTAATAAATAAAATTTAACCTAAGTATAATATACAACTCGGAACTAAAATTTACTAGTAAAAAGAAAACCTCTATCTGAAATTATATTCTAAAGTAATCTATACTAAAATTTAATCTTTCTATAAAAAAGTTTAATAAGCTTTAGAATAGTAGTAGTATATAAAATAGATAGAAATCGACACTACTTTATAAACCTATTAATAATAATAAGAATTAAATCCAAAATTTTGTTTTTTATTATAACAGAAGAAAGATCTATAATAAAGTCTATAAATAGTTTAATAAAGAATTAGCTAAAAATTAGCAGTAATTTAAACTGTTTATATAGTTTATACCTAATAAATATAACTTTTTAATAAATAAAGCACTTTCTGACATAAATAACTATATTTTTATAGAGATTTATTTAATGAAATTTTCTTTTAAGAAGGGCTTCTGTTTTTAATTACCCGAAATAGCCTGCTAGCCGATTATTATAATAAAGATTTAATAAATATTGCCGAAGACTTTTTTCTGCAGAAATATACAAGCAGTACTTGTATATAATAAGATTATTTTTATTAATTCTTTAATATTTAAAACCAGAATTACCTTATAAAACAGCAAGTTTTCGACAATATATCTTTATATTTTTATTTTAGATTCTTCCGATTAGAGAATATAATTTCTTATTAATCTTAGAATAGAATAAGTTTTTATTCTTATATATTCGGAACGCTGTTGATATACTAATATATTTATTATAAAACAAGCTTATTCCAACAGTTTTAAAATATAATAAGTTCTTATATTTATATACTCGGAACGCTGCCGATATATTAATATATAAATTATAGAATACTTTTATTCCGATAGTCTAGTCAGCTGTTTTTATACCAGCTTTTTAGTTTTTTTAATCTTCTCGGAAACTTAATACTATATAAATACTAAGTTTAGAGCTCTTTTATAAAGACGTCTTATTATACTTAAACTAGAATTTTACTAAAAATCTATTAGTTATTTAATACTACATCGACTTTAGAATTTTTATATCAGACAGAACTTCTGAGTTTTCTTTTATTTTTAATAATAAATCAACAGAATTACACCTGCCGGGCCAATACCGAATAATAAAGTTATAACTACTAAAATATATATACTATTAAGTCTAACAGCCGTTTAGTTTCGGCTGCTTTATAAAAATCTAAAGATTTTAATAGTCTAAAAGAACTTTAACAGTATATAATAGCTTTTTAAGATATTAACACTAATACTTAAATAAATAAATAATAGCAAAAAGCTCTTAATCCGGGGTTAAATAGTAAGTTTTAGTATTATTAAATTTCTTCGACTAGAATATAATAGAGTAGTATACTTTATAGTTATCTAGCTGGAACAATATTTCTACTATATTTTATTAAGAAGTATTTGTTTCTAACCAGATTTTTTTTAAGAGTTAAAATATCTTAATAAAAACACAGTCTTAAAACTATAAAGAAGCTGTCGGAATACTGCTGTTTTTTTACTAGTTAATACTACTTTCCCAGGCTTTTTCCTATTCTTGGTGTCTTTTAAAAGAAAAGTTAGTAGCAATATAATCAAGAAATAATTCTTAATAAAACGCCGATAGAAATTGCAGAATCCTAAGAATACTTGGATCTTACGGTATATAGTTGGTATTAGCTATATAAGAATATTAAATATCTGCCGGGCATCTATTAATATACTATATAAAAATATAATATATCCCAGAAATTTAATATAGTCTTAATAAAAAGTATACTTTAACAGTTTAATATAAAGATCTATTTTTTATAAACATTCTAATACTTATTACAAATAAAGAGTATAAGAGGAGCGGTTTTTAGAAAAAATAAAAATATTATCTAAATAGGCCATATAAAAGACGTCCAGCACGTTATAAGAAGCCAAATAAATATAGTTTTAAAATATAGCCGAAGTATTGGTTAATCTAAATAGTATAACTAAATATTTAAAATATCTATAACAGGTTCGAAAAGCTGTTTTCTATTCGTCTTTCTACTTAATACAGATTTAATAGTATATATTTTAGATATTTAATTTCGAAAAATATTTAGCTTCTGTAATTCTGTCTAAAATTTCTAAAATTAATAATAAAAAATAGTAACTCTTAACTAAAATCTTATTAAGTTTTCTATAATCTATATACAGTCGGAGACCTCTATTTTTTTTTAATATAAAAAAAATAGAAGCTCCCGCAGGGCTCTTTAAAAACTAAATTTATTTTAATCTAATATTTTTATTAATATAATAACAAAGAGATTGAAGCTTAACTTAAAATAAAAAATAAATAAATTTATACAGCAGGATTTTGCCCTCTTTTAAATTAATAGTATAGTCTGAAAGTCTATACAGAGAAAATTATTAAAAGCAGCTTAAAAAAATATATCTAAAAAATTATAAAGTTCTAAAGGTAATATAATCTTAAGTTTTTTAGTTTATAATTAATTCGAAGAAGTTTTGTTTTTAAGCAATTATATATCTTTCGGAAGTTTTATTACAGCGTGAATATAAGTAAGATTTCGGTAGGTTTTTATAAATTTATAAAAGATTAAGACCTCTAATATCTAAATCTTATACTACTACTGTTAATTTTATACAAATAGATAAATATGTAGATTTTTTAAAGTAGTTATAAAGAGTAAAATAGGGCTTCCGAAAAAATCTAAATCTTAGTTAATAGCTATATAATATCTTATAAATAATTATATAGTCTTTTTTAAATCTGTAGCAGTAATAAAAATCTTCTATACTTCGTAGATATTTATAGTAAAACAGTTAATTACAGTAACTAACGGGGCTGTAAAACAAGCCGTATTTAAATAAAATTACTAAATAAACTAATAGTTAATAAGATCAACCTTAGCATACAAATCTAAATCCGTATAAGTTTCGAGGATGTTTCTAAAAAGAATAGATATATAAAACCGAATAGCAGTCTTTACTTCAGACCAGTTTATTAAAAATATAAAAGTTTCTTTAACTACTATTTTTTTTATTAGTTCTAATTCGGTCCTATTTTTATTTTTATAAAAATATCTATTAGCTAAATAATATTTACTGTTATATTTATAGCAACAAAGAATTTCCCCTTTCTAATTCTTTCCATTCCGAAAAATTTTCGAGAAAAAAAACTAATTATTTATCTGCAGAAATTCTAATCTTCTAACAGCTTTATTTAGATAACTGCCTTATTTATCTAGATCTTGCTTTTTCTTTCGGCCTAATATATTCTAATAGTAAGTTATAATAGATACTATTTTCTCGTAGATATCCGGTAGCTTTAGTATATATTTATAAATATATTAACTGAGTTCCGGTACCAACTTTGAGAAAAAGATTAATACATATTTATAGTTCTGTTTAGATTTAAAGTAATATTCTAAAATATCTAAATAGAAATAGAACTTTCTTAGATTCTAATTACTTTACTGATGAGCCCGTTCGAGCTGTTTTATTATATCAGACTGCAGAATAACTACGTTTTAAATAAAAAAGAAAATCTATTAAATAAAGTAGTTCTAGAATTTCTTAGCTTCTCAACGATCTTCCGGAGACTTTTTATTAATATATCGGTACCATCTCTACCTGCAGATAAAATCTAAATAGCTAACTACAGCTAAAATCTTTCAATTTTCGGTATAATACTTCCGAGGAGCTTTCTTAAAAGTATATTATAGATTATAAATCTACTTAGTTCTCTGTTATAGACTAAATCGAAGTATAAAAATAGGAATTTTTTTAAGTTTAATTTCTCCTTTTTCTCGTTCTAAAGACGAAGTCGAACTAGTATAGCATCGTCGAGATTTTACTGATAATTTAATATCTTTATATTCTGTCTGTAAGGCTCGAACTTATTCTTTTAGTTATTTTAACTGTTTTAATTAGTAAATAGTAGCTTATACTTTTTAAATATCTACTTAAGTTAAATAGTTTATCTCTGAAGTAGATAAAGTATTTTAAAATAATTTTAAAAAAAATTTATAAGATTCTATATTGCTTTTTCTTAGATAACCAAAAAATAGAAGAATTAGAAATTATTAGAAACTATTTAACGCAGTAGACATACTAGTTAGGCAAGATAAGTAATATATATAATAGAGAATAGTTAAAAACAGTCTTCTTATTATTTTAAGACTAATTCTTAAGAAATCTTTTTTTCTAAAGAATTTCGGCACAATTTATTATACATAAAAATAAGAGGTAAGCAGTATAATAATATAGGCATCCGAATTAAAAGCCCGGCGAATCAGTACCGACCCAGAAGCAAACTGCCTTACTAGTAGATAGAGGCTGCTGTAGGAGTAGGTATTGTATAACAATAATAAATATTAGTAATTTATTATTTTATATAACTACTAAAATTTAGTTCTATAAATTATTTACTTTCGTGGGGTTAACTAATCTTAATATAAGTTTTATAATTATTTATAGAATTTTTTCTAATAAATTTAAATATTATTTACTATTTATATAATATAGTTATATTTATATTTTTGATAATATAGTATACTATTATTAAAAATAGGAATTCTAGGAATTAGTAATTAAAACTAGATAGAAAATAATACTATATTAAAATTTAATATAATATTATTTTATTATATAATATTATTCTAGATTACTACAGTCTGTTTGTAGAGGATATTATAAATAGATTATTTTAAATAATAAATAATTTTCTTAAACTTTTTCTTATATTAGTATTATTTATAAATTAATACTAGCAGTATATTAAGCTGAATAAAATATAAATTTTTTATTATACTACTTAAATTAGCGGAAGCTAAGTTTTTAATATAATAAAAAATAATTAAAATATTTTAGCTTTAAAATAATTTATATATAATAATATTACTTTTTAATAACTCTATAATAATTATATTAGAATAGCTAAACTGTTATAAAGTAATAACAGTTATAGTTAGTAAATATCTCTATCTAAAAACTATAAATTTTTAATCTATTATAATTTGAATAGTTTCTTATATATTATACTATTGCTTGAAAAATAAATAAATAAATAATATTTTTATAATTAAATATAATTTTAAATAATTTAGCTGGTTATTTCTTTTCTAATTTATTATATTATATTAGTCTAATAAATTATATCGGAAAATATATCAGCTAATCAGAATATTTACTAGGCCCTATCCTAGGTCTGATAAAGGTCCATCAGACCAACCCTTGTGGATTAGATCCTATTATAAAATTATTAGTTAAATAAAAATCTATAAAAGTTCTTTACTGCTATATTTATAGCTAACTTAATATCTAACAACCAGTCTAAATTTTAAATATTTTTTATTATTTTTACTACCGAAACTTTTAAAATCTACATATTTTTTATTATTTCTACTACTAAGATTTCTAAAATTTAGATATTTTTTACTATTTCTATTATCAAAATTTTTAAGATTCTTAGAACTTTTGCTAAATCTGCTGCTGAAGCTGCTTTTAAAAATAAGTTTTTATTTAAAATCTTAATTAATATAGTTTACTATAATAATATAATAACTAAAATAATTATTAAAATTAAAAAAAATAAGCTATACCGGCTATCTTCTATTATTATTTAAGCCGGTATTAAGTTTAGTATAAAAAAACTTATTTTTAATAATAATTATTTTAAGTTATAAGATTATTTTTTTATATTTAAAAACCAGTCTTTTTAGCTATAGATTATATAATTATATTATATTTAGCTAGTTATTGGTTATTCTAGATTTAAGACTATATATTATATTATAGTCCGAGGCTATTTTTGGCTATATATATATAATAATATTAACTAGTTCGCTGATATTTATTTAATTTACTACTAGATTAAGATTATAAATTAAAAATATAGTCTATTTTAACTATTTCTAATATTAGTCTATATATAATTAAAATTAATAATAAATTATATTAAAAAACTTTTTATTTATACTTATAGCAGCTGTATCTATTATTATATATTAGTAGTAGTTAACCGGTTAATTTAATATTATTTTTTTAAGCTACTATAAAGTAAGTTTATAAAAAAATTTATAAAAATTATATATTATTAAATATTTTTTAAATATAGGCTGCCGGCTTTAATTATTTTTAACTATAGTAGTATTTTTATTAATTATTTTTAGTTCTATTATTATAAATATTATAGTATTAAATAATATTTTTTTTATATATTATTCTAAAACTAATAATTAGAGTAAGAATACTATCCGCTATTTAAAAAACTATCTATAAATATTTATTAATTTTATTTAGAATAATTAGATAAACTTTTTTTTATATTAAGTTAGCTGTTAATAATTATATTAACTAATTAACTAGTATAATACTATTTTTTACTAATCAAAGCTATTATTTTTAAACCGGAACTAAGTCTTTAAAGGCCTTCGGAGATCTTTAATATTTAAATACTTTTACTACCAATAAATTAATAAAATATATTAAAAATATAATCCGGTTTTTATAAGACTAGTTTATTTAAATATAGATTATATATATTAAATAGACTAACCGGTGGTACTAGCTATATTCTAAGTTTTATATTAAAAATTATATATTTATTAATATTTGTTATTTCTAATTATAGTAGAAAAGCCAGTTACTTGTTTTAAAATATTTTAAATTATAGCTGATTATATATATAATTAATTATAAAGTTTATAAGCTGATTTTATTTAAATATATAAAAACTTCGAAGTTTTATTTAATATCTTATTTCTAGAAATTAGTATTTACTTTACTAAATTTATATTCCGGGTAGACTGAGAATCCTAAGAATTCTATTATAATTCTAAATATAAATAATAAAATATAAAGAAAATAAATTATTTAAAAAATTATAAACTACCGCTGTATCTGCTATAACTTATAGTATAAGATTTTATTTAAAAAATCTTAAAATAATTAAAATATTAATCTATTATAATAAATATAATATAATTTTAAGAATATATTATTAAAGATTATTATATATTATAATTAATACTTAAATAAGCTACTACTTTTAGATTTTTTTATTTAATTCACTATTTTTATTAATTTATAACCAGCTAACTTTAAAAACAGCCGAAAATAATTTAAATATATTTATTTATAATCTACTAACTAAGATTTTTTATTATTTTACTGTTTTATTCTATTTACCGGTTAAAATCTCCTGCTAGTTTACTATACTAGTCTACTAACTGGCTAGAATCTTCTACTAGTTTATTTAGTTATATAATTAATTAGCTAAGTAAACTATTATTAGTACTAATAATTATTTATTTATATAAATTTTCAAAATCTAAAGTAATTTTTACAGTAACTAATTATCTATTTTTTTTAATTTTATAATTAATTAGCTGTATTAATTAGTTTAGTTTTTTAGCTTGTTTATTTATTTATATTAACTAATAAAAAACTATAATTAACTAACTATTTATAAAACCGACAGCTAAGAAATATACTATTTAGTTAGAAATCTTTTTTATTTTTAAAATAAATTCTTCGAATTAGATTAATCAGCTAAAAATTTATTTTAACTATAGTACTAGCTATTAATTTTTTTATTTTTATTTTTTTAACTACTGTAGTTCAGCTAACTAGCTAATTAAATATTACTATACTATATAAATTAGTCTGCTTATAGAAAAAAAAATAATAATAAATATTTTAATAATTTATTATATAACTAGCTATAAATATTTTAAGTATTTATAACTCCATATATATATATAGTCTAAAATAAAGACCTGTAGGGCCTTTCTCTTTTCTTTTTTTCCTAAGAATAGAATTCTTGCCTGGTTGATTCATCTCCTTTTCGTAGCCTCACAATCTATAGGTACAGGTCCTAATATTAGACCTAAACCCGACCTGTGGCGAGGCCTAGTAGTAATAGTAATTAAAAACTTTATATTATTATTTTTTTTTATTTCTAAAATAAAATCTTTTGATTTTATAAAAAAAAATTCTTTAAATAGTTATTAATTAAATAGCTTTCTCGGATTTTTAAGAAAAACTTATATAAAAGAAATATTAAAAAAATAATAAAAGTCTATAAAAATTAAATAATAAAAAGATTATCTGCTAATAGCAGATAATTTTTAATTAATAATAATAATAATTAAAAACTTTATATTATTATATTTTTTTATTTTTAAAATAAAATATTCTAATTTTATAAAAAAAAACTTTTTAAATAGTTATTAATCAGATAGCTTTCTCAGATTTTTAAAAAAAAACTTATATAAAAAAATATCAAAAAAATAAAAATCTATAAAAATTAGATAATAAAAAAATTATTAACTAATAATAAATAATCTTTAATTAATAATAATAGTAACTAAAATTTTAATATTATTATATTACTTTATTTCTAAAATAAAATCTTTTAATTTTAAAAAAAAATTATTTTAATAGTTATTTATTAGATAGCTTTCTCTAATTTTTAAAAAAAACTTATATAAAAGAGATATTAAGAAAAAAAATTTTTCTAATTAAATAAAATCTTATAGATATAAGATTTTATCTAATTAGCAATAAAACTTTTTAAAAAATCTTTTAATTTTATAATTATTAGATATTAAAAATTAAGCTTAGGCTCTTTCTATTTCTCTATTCTTCTAGTTCTTTTTAATAATTTTTATATTTTTTTCTAGCAAACTTTTTTTAAGACCCAAACATAGGGATTTTGTATATAGACTTCACATAACAGCCAAGTCATCGTACTTTGCCATTGATGTGCAGGAGTCCCGACTTGAATATCACAATCTCGACCAGCTAGATGTAGCCTTCCCCGCTGGCAGCAGTAATGTCATCCACATAGAAAGCCAGGCATACAGCGAAGGCTACCAACCCCATAATGAAGTAAATAAATCCCAGGGTCCACGAAAAATACATATTGGCGCATATCTTAAAATACACACCAAATACAGCCTGAATATGTTTTTCGAGGCTTCAAGTATCCGCATCGTCCAATCTTCCCAAGTCGAACTAAACTGTACCTTCGCCCAACCCCTCGATAAACCGCCAGTTGGTGGTGGACCGCGGAGCTTGTACTACATTAACAACACCTCCCAGCTTAGATTAAAGGCGGATGACAAGACGCTGACCGACACTTACAGCATCACGGTCGATCGGAAGAACAGATTGCAATTAGTTAAAGCAGACGAAAGCCTCGACGACCGGTCAGACAGCGAGCCTCAGCAACTTACCCCTACCACTCCTCACAACAGTTCCAGGTAGTGGCTGACATGGCAGGAGATGACCGCGATAACAAACAACACAGTTTTTAAAGAAGTGCGCAACGACTTTAGCCAGCTGTCTACAGGCGATCTCCACAAGCTCAAGATTAGTCAGTTGCAAAGCTTTATCTTTCCCGGAGCGAGGGTCTTTACATACAAGGACCCCAGCTTCTCGGACCATCAAGATTTAGTCTGCAAGATTAAATATCTTAATCCCATCCAGATTAGCCCATCCCAATCGCCTCAGCAGTCCCAACAGTCCCAGCAGTCCCAGCAATCCAAAACACATCCAGTCGACCGCACCCGGCTGGGGACGCTCACTACTCCCCTCCTCCCTCGCCTGGTACAGTCGGGAAGCTGACGGCCTCCACAGAATTAATACAGAATTACGTCCAAGGCGAAATCATCTCCCCGACAGGCAAGTTCGAGGCATTACAAACGAGCAGCGGCCATGCTCTGCTCTTCGCGGTTAATACATCGGGGGTCTTTCATATAATCAAGAAAGAGAGCGGAACTACGCAGACAGAATAGCAAATTTATAATCTCTCGACTGCTGGTATTAAGACCTACTTCCCTGGCCGGGGTTCTCATACCACAGTGCATACTATCGACGTTGGCCAAAGTGCTGCGGACGGTAGCATTAGCCTAATAATAGCCGTAAACCTTAATAGCAATGATCATCTGTTCGTCTCACTTAGTAATCCGTATAATAACAGCTCATGGGTAGCTCGTCCCACCTAGACGATGCTGCCCTTTAACTCAGCAACAGAGGCATCCCAGAAGATTTCCATCACCGGGTCCCTTTTTGCCGAGACTCAGGACAGGAAACAATATCTGGTGGTGGACGTCAACAGACCTCAACGCATGGGCGAGCCACATATCACCCGCTATCACATTGACCCTTGTCGGGCTACTGGGCATTATTGGACCAAACATGACGTGGCTGTCGACATCGCCTCCGCACAGTATCAGAGCGTCGTGGGGCGTATTGCTGGGAAACCCGTCGATGGAATCTATACTGCTGGGATCACAGGAGGAAGGCCGCAGTTTGTCTACGAACCGATCATAAACTACTATGGCGCGGGTCCGGCCATGCCGCATCGATTGCGGCTCCCCAGGGGTTCTATTCCATCAGCAATCGCGACGGCACATTGTGCCGATGTCGATGGATCCACGGACCTCTACGCGGTTGGCGGATCCACCTTATATCGTTTCCCTGCCGATGAGCAGGGCGAGGATGATGAGCCTATTCCCCTGCTCACAAGCGAGGTCCTCCGTGGTACCGACACTCTCCGGGCTATGACGCACGACGGAGTCACTGTACTCTGGGGCCGCACATCCAGCGACACCGTGTACTATCTCAGCTGCACAGAGGATCGGCTGAACGACGCTGCGGGGTGGCACGGTCCCATGCCCATTCTGTCGGGCATTGAACGCATCTCTACGTATGTGAACCGGGCGGACGGCGGCAATACCGTCTTCGCGTCTGGCAATGGAAGACTTCAAAAGTTGATGCAGAGCCCGGATCGATCCAGTGGCAATGTATGGCGTGAGCAGGAGATTACAATCGCAGTCCCGCCCGATCGCGAATCTATCAGTTTCATGTCTTACGTGACATGTCTCCAGGTCACACAGCTCGAGAAGGAGCTGCCAGTGCCCAATGCCACGGTGCTCTCTCCGCCAGTAGCCGCACCCCGGTGTACATAAACGGGCTTTACTATTCCCTCTCTTCTACCCGGATTCAGGTCACCACCGATCCCATGGGCTCATTGACTATCGTCGAAGCGACTGACAGCCTGACCGCTACCGCAATAACGGTCTCCCTGGACAATACTACACTCACCATCAACCCTATGGACAAGACGGTGGCAAGGCTGACTGGCTTGAATTCGGCAGAGAAACTACGAGAGGCCCGCTTCCCAAGTCAAATCGTCGCTGGGGGCATTGATGGTTCACCCGAGATGATTCCCCTTATGGGGCCCTCTACCGGCGACGAAGATGTCGAAGCAGTGGCGACGAATATGAGTCTTCTTGAAGAAGGCTACGCGAAGATCTGGAAGAGGACCGAAAAGCCGCCAACCACAAGTCAATTTTCCATGTCCCAGAATACTTCCACGCCCCCAAGCGGTTTGCACCCTTCGCGATTCCAGCCTGTGTCGTTTGGGGTCCTGGACGATTTGAAGCATCTCGGAGACGATGCCATCCATGGCCGACTTGGAAACATTCCCGGCGATATTCGCGACACAGTCGAGGACGGAGCGCACGAACTTGGCGCTCTTGCTGGCGACGTTGAAAAAGCGCTGCAGGGACTCGGAGAAATTATTAGCACAACCGCTGGTGACCTTTTTCAGACGGTCAAGCACGCGGCCAAGTCGGTGGGTAGAATCATATACGACACAGCCTCGAAAGGCTTGCATATGATCCTCAGGATCGGTAAGGCGGTCTATCATGCCGCGTTGGACACATATCATGCTATAGCGAAGGGCTTGGAATGGGTGTATGACAAGGCTAAGGCAGGTCTCAAGGAGCTGATGAGATTGCTGCAGGCATTGCTGGAATGGGGTGACATCAAACGCACCAAGAATGTCATGAAAAACGTCACAAAGCTCTGGCTGCAGGACCAGGTGAACAGCATCCCCCACATGCGGCAGACGCTTGATCGCACGATTGCAGAGGTGCAGAAGAAGGCGAACGAGTGGGCCAACATTGGCGACTGGTCTCCGAGTCTCGGAGCAGAGGCGACTACGAACGCGTTATCCAGCAGCGCCGCGGGCTTATCAAACGCCCTGACGCCCGAGGCAAAGTATCTATCCGACAAGTACCGAGACAACGCCCACCGGCTGACGGTGGTAGGAGACCTGCCATCGGGAGACAGTGTTCAGAACCTGCTTAACCAGCTGATCACAGCGGTCTCCAACGAGGGCCATGTACTCGAGGCAGTCATGGGACAGCTCCAGAGCCTCGCCAGTCAGTTTTCTTCGTTAAGTATCGAGCAGGTCCTACAGCGCCTCGCCGTTATTCTAGTCGACGGCACACTGTCCAGCTTGCAGGTGGTGGTCGATGCTCTACTGGATGTGCTAGCCGTCATGGCCCAGGCAGCTCTGGACATCCTTGACACCAAAATCCACATCCCCGTCATCTCCACCATCCTCAACCAAATCGGCATCCACGACCTGTCGTTTCTCGATCTTTTCACCTACATCGGGGCGGTTGCTGTGACGGTGTCTTACAAGATTGCCGTCGGTCGACCCCCTTTCCCCAAGAACGACAGTTTCCAACGACAGGTCAGTGTCGCGACAGCCTGGTCCGCCGTCGAAGATCTGTATCAGGACCTCGAAGGCCTGCCCACCGATGCCAAAAAGGGCATCTTCATGGGCTGTCATATGTTTTCCGGAGTCATGGTCTACGTAGGAAGCCTGCAGAAAGCCTTCGACGCGGAGGGCCAGAAGGCAAATAAAGTCCTGGGGGTCATTGGAACAATTTTAGGAATGGCCAGTACGGCAGCCACCGCGGCGGCCGACTCTCTCATTCCCATGGCCCCCGTTGAGGCCACTCCATTCAAGACCCTGTCCAAGATCACCACAGCTGCGAATGTCGGGTGTAAACTCGTCTTCGGCGGTCTTGGCCAGTGGACGTTTGGCAGAATTGGGCTCCACAAACTCGTGATGCAGGACGCCCGCGGCGCTGGCGCCATCTTAGATGCTGCGCTGGTCCCGCATGCCGCTCTGGTTACAATCTGGCATTTCTATGAGATCAGTCGGAGCCCGAGTTCCATGGAACGATCGTCGGCTATCTCCAGCGAGGTCGGAAAGCTGGCGAACTATATTTCGCGTGTATCGTATGCCGTGGCGGTGAGTGATGAAGAGGAGAGCAGTAAGCAGGTCGCTATCGTCGTCATGGCTGCTGCAAATGATGTCTATGCCGGCTTGCTGTATGCCGAGGCTGCGGTCGGTGGGAAGGCAATTGGATGATTGGCGATCTTGTCTATCATATCGCCTGATCTCTCTGCTCTGGTTTCAAAATCATTCGATTCTGGAAATGGCATCCAAATTTGTTTCTATGTTCTCTTGGTGACCCGAAGCCCTAAAGCAACCGGCGTTGAACCTCCGAAGGAAATGAACCTGAGGCTGATGTGACTTTTAAGCATTCTATACATATGATCCCAGGTGCCAATTCCCCATAGCTGACTGACATTGGCGTCAGAGGTTAGAGATATGTTATACTCGTTTCAATCAACTCCGGATCTTTTGTTTGCTTTCGACCCCTGTCCATTCCACATATATCTGAACCATTTCGTAGTTAACTGCAGTAGGCACTTACACCAGCTTTCGATTCCATGGTACGTAATGGGGCACGCAATGGCGCCCTCACCTCACCGCTGTCTTCGGCATCAGCCATGCCGTTATTCCGCTCGCTAGTCGGTACAACATGCGACCTGTGCTGTGAGTACTAGCACTAGTAGTAGGAGCAGTAGTACAATGACCCTCAGCACTACCATTGCCCACAACATCCCCCACATTCTCTCTCTTCGCCGGTCCCGTCTTTGCATACTCCTTCGCATCATTTCCCCAGTTCGGTCGACTCTGGCAGTACCGCAACCGGCTGGCACTGGTAAAGGCGGCTGGTTTGGACTGCAGCCTAACTGAAAGGTTGCTTGTGAAGCTACCCGGGCCTAGTCAGCCCCCTCCCTTTCTCGGTGCAACATTCACCTCATTCCAACTGTTGTTGTGATTTCACGTCCAACTTTCCCTCCCTTCTAGCTCTCTACTGATTCTACAGTCGAGCTTGGAACAAGATCCATTCGAGTTGTTCCTCCAAAAGTATCTCTCTCGCGTCCCCTTCTTCCTTCCTCTCGGAGCTGCGCGCGCTCCCAGTCATGGCCGCCGCCGAGATTGACCTCACTCTTCCTGCCACCTGCCCCGCCCTTTACTAGCACCTCGACGCGAACTGGGACAATGCCTCCTGTGCTCTGTACACCCTAGTTGCTCTTGACCCGCAGGAGCTGGACCACCTGATCTCATCACTGAACCTCGAGTGGACAGAGAGAATGACAGAAGATGCGCCGCCGCTGGTCCGCATCCCGCCCCTCTACGACTACACCGGCCGGTGTCTGCGAGACGTCATGCAAGCTCACATCACACTGAATAAGGGGGTTGTCCCGCGCGATGACGGGGCTGCAGCAGGTGACGTTTGCTGCTTTCCGACGGTGTTCATTGTGGTGACCAGTCATCGCTAGGAGCAGGACAGCTTGTTACTGGTATACGTGGGGACTGAAGAGGAGGAGGCGGCAGAAGGCCGAATGGATAAGTTATTCTTCCTCCTGACGGACGCGTACATGATGTTGTCAAGCCTGAGCTTCATGAATGAGACTGTCTCGGACTGCAAGGCCAAGTTCGAGGCGGATTGAAGGGAAAGGGCTCGCGGCACTTCGGATGTGAGTACATGTGGTTACCGTCTTCTAAGGGTATTATTTTGCCCAGGGGGGAGGACGTTGCGGCTGGATTCATTATGCCATCAGGAATAGTAGCGGTGATTTCTGTGAATCATTAGTATCAAGGCTAGGTACTGAAAACGCTTTACGGCCCAGGGTGGTCATAGTACTGCGCTGTTACAAACTGATATAAAATCTAAATAGGATATATCTTTTCCTAAGAAGTACGGAATCACGAAGGTGCTTGGAATAATTCTGGCTTGGTCCTTGGGTCATGAAAGCAACCTGTTCTTTAATGCCACCGAGTTAGGTTCCGATTAACATCTGGAGAAGACTACGCCTCTGGGTGCAACTTCCCTCTTCATCCATTCGTCAAGGCTGAAGCCGGCCTTTACTCTCAGTCCCCAATCGTCACGTTGCATATCAGAGTTCGATTCGACATCATTGTACCTCCTGTGAGTGTTTGCTGATTTGGTTAGCTTATGACCTGGTGCGGCGAGGTGGAAGACCGTGTGTTTTAGCAACCGCGTGTGGTATTCCGATATTCAAATTCGGTTAACATTCCATGCTTTACAAGTTGCAGAAAAGAGTGAATCACCTGGTAATGTCAGCCTATTTGTCATATACGTTTGAGGCCTTAAGAAGGCCATGTAAGTATATCGAGGCTAGAGAGTGGTGAGAACAGCCCGGTCCAAGAGCTGGACGTCCGGGGTTCCTCATCTTGACGCTTACAGGTCAGCAAAGCGGGAAAACCTTGCATCCTCAATTCTAGCCGGTATGTCCACAGTCTAATCATCATGGCTTTGTCTTATCCACGCCACCACGCGAGTACCATCGGATGAAACTGTTTCTTTACTCTTCCAGACAAACCCTCTTATCCGAGGGGAAAGCACCCACCATCCATACCAATACGCCCAGCCACTGGATAGAGCCAGAATTGCAACCGTTGGCATCAACCAGAATGGAAGACTAGTGTCACTGGTGTGCTCGCGGTTCAGGAAAGGCGACAACACAAGGAATATCTGCGTGGCGAGGAAGACAACCGCCACACTCGTCCACACACGAAATGTCCGCTGCGGACAGGCCAGACGCTTGCGGATAATGAAGAGTCCCAGTACCACCGCCAGATATATGATCGCAAATGCGTACTGACCGACATCCAGGAGGAAGCTATATGCGTCTCCAAAGGGGACCAAGAGGATCATCACGGCGGAACCCATGAACAGTGCCAGAAAGGCACCCTTTGGAGTTGCCGATGGGGTGCTGCTTGCGAAGAAGGAAGCGAAAGGCAGCACACCCTCGCGGGCCAAAGCTTGAATAACCCGCGACATGGAGAAGGATGCGGTCAGGAGACTCCCAAAGGATGAGAGCGCGGCCACAAGGGCTGTACACCATTGCGCTGTTTCTCCCCAGACTTTCCCGACCAACAGGGCGACCACGGTGACACCCGTTTTACTCAGTTCTTCGGGGGAAGCAGCGCTAAAGTAGGCCGCATTGACTAGGATATACAGAATCCCGACCGAGCCCACACCGAGGAAACTGGCGATTTTCAGCGTGCGTCGCGGATTCTGAACCTCGTCGAGAACGTAGGCGGCATTCGACCATCCTTGATACGTGGCCAGAATCTTAAATAGTGCGGTCGTATAGTCGTAAATCCGAGTGGAAGAGCCAGCAAAAGGATGATCGAAGCTTGCGCCCGGCCGGTGGTCCCTGGGTTGGTCCGTTGAAACCACTCGTAGGCCAGTGATGATAATCAAGACCAGCACCACTATCTTGGCAGAGGCCAGAGCATTCATCAGTCGCACCGCGAGAGTACTCGCCTTGATGTGCAAGACAGCGATGGTCGTCATCACTGCAATTGCCAGAAAGCGTTTCATCCATTCACCTGCAGTGCCTTGCACGGCTAGCAGGAGATTCTCGGCTATCGCGATACTCCCAATGCCTGTGGCAGTCAACAACAAAGTCAGCTAGCTGAGAGAGCCGGAGACAGTAGTACCGGTGAATCCGAGACCGATCACATGCGTGGCATAAATGGTGGTTGCTAGCAAGGGTGGACGGGGATAGGCGGCGTTCAGATAGACCTTTTCCCCACCGCTGCGAGGAAGCAAGGAGGCCAGTTCCAGCCAGATCATCAGCCCACAGAGGGATAGCAGGAATCCGGCCGTCCAGAGTGCCAAAGCGGCTCCAGCACTTCTCACACTGGCAGCGATGGCCGAAGGGGTGGAGAAAATGGCCGTTCCGATCATTCGATTGGTACTGTTTCGATTCAGTCAGTTGGGGGCTTGTTGCCTTGTTGCCTGGTAGCCTGGTGACCTGGTAGCCTGGTAGCCTGGTGGCCTTACATCAAGAAGGCGGTGGACCAGATCCCCAAATGGCGACGAGGGGTTGCCTCCTCCCTGGGCTCTGCGCGCAATTCATCGGGATCGAAAAAGTCGCCGGATGGAAGAAGCAGAGCACTTTCCGAGTCGATGACTCCAGTACGGCTGGAACTATCCATCAGGCAAGGCGGAAGGTGGGGAGGGTAATGGCCTTAGCCTGAGGTAGGTTAACTTAGTGGAGAGTGTTCAACAATGGTTGGTGTTGATGAAGGGGGGAGAAACAAGAGCCACTGCAGCAGCCATCCCGACCGCCTGACCGCCTGGGCAGTATCCACTTTGCCCGGCCTGCAAACTATGCAAATGGTGCAAACGTTGCAACTGCCCCCCCTATCCCGAATGCATCATTACTAGAGTATTGCCTGGTGGCCTGGTTAGACAGGACTGACAGAGGCGCTTTGCACCTCATGATATGTGACACATTCCACATGTAGATCAATCACCACTCTCACTCATGGTACTGACGGTAATCTATGTGCACCACTGGTTACATCCAGTATGTGCCTCATCTCTACGTCATCATGCTTGGCATCCCCTGATGTATAATCTATCTATCTTCCGCCCTAGAGTTGTTCGGCTCCCCTCTAAGTACAGCAGTCAATTGAGCCAGGTTTAGTCGACCCCGAGGAGAGCAGAACAATGTCAGACATTGTAAATTACAGTGTATGCTATCTGATCCCCTTGGAAATGGGCATAGCTAAAAGTGCCCCAGGTCCACCTCCCCGATCGTCTATTAGAGGAGATCAAGATAAAACTGCAATACGCTCGGCTGGATGAGGGCATGGCCGAGGTGGAGTGGAATGACCTTGAGATAGGACATGCCAATTTCAAAAGACTGGTGGAATACTGGCGCGATGAGTACGACTGGCGCAAGTTCGAGGCCTATGTCAACAACTCCTTTCACCACTTTCAGACTCCTCTCCCGGTAACTGGGTTTGAGGATATTAACCTTCACTTTCTCCACCATCGATCTTCAAGACCCGGGGCTATACCATTGATCTTTGTCCACGGCTAGTGGGTTCAACTTCTATGAGGGATCCTCGCGTTCTGAACTAACATGCACCACACAGGCCTGGGTCCTTTCTGGAAGCCTGCAAAATTATTCCATTGTTGACCGAGCCGAAGGAAGACCAGCAGGCATTTCATGTGGTGGCGCCGTCGCTGCCCGGGTACGGTTTCAGCTCTTACACGAAGAAGAGCGGTTTCGGTCTCGAGCAACACGCAGAATGTCTAGCCCGCTTGATGAACAAACTTGGATACCACCAATATGTGTGCCAGGTACGCATCATGGAGTGGGTAGTTCTTGTGAATGGAAGTTTCTGACGAATGCAGGGGGGTGATTGGGGCTCATCGATTGTGCGCTACATGGCGCTGAACCACTCCGACGCAGTGCGGGCCATCCACATCAATATGTTGCTGGCCTTGCCCCCGGATGAGCACAAGTCGCCGGAAAAGTATGCCAGATACCGCCGAAATGAGTATAGCGAGCAAGAAATCCGCAACCTGGAGCGGACGCATTGGTTTGCGACCGAAGAGGTGAGCCCCGATGATACTATATCCCATAGAGCCGGTCTCCTCATTGAGATTTGACCAGAGAGGCTATCAACGCATCCAAGAGACCAAGCCAGTCACACTGGGATATGCCTTGCATGATTCGCCGGTGGCTATTTTGGCCTGGTTTGTCGGCAAGCTGAACGCATGGACGGATGAGTATCCTTGGACACCCGACGAGCTCATCCACTGGGCACTCATTCACTATCAAGGGAGTCCCAGTGCGGCCATGCAAATATATAAAGAGGCGTCTGCTGTGTTGAATGCGAGCCCGGATAGTATGCTCGGCCAATACATTTGTCAGCCTGTTGGCGCCTCTGTCTTTCCCAAGGAGGTGAGCCGCTCCCCCCCTTGTAGATCGATGTACTGGGTGACTGACATGATGGTGTATAGCTGTGGATCGCACCACGAGACTGGGTGGAGGAAGCGTGCAACGTCCAATTCTGGAGACATCACAGACGTGGTGGTCATTTTGCTGCCTGGGAATGTCCCCAGGCGCTGGTGGACGACGTAGCGGAATTCTACCGAGAGGACGGACCGGTATTCGGTGGTACAAAGTCGCCCATCACTTAGATTGCAATAATTCTAAGTAAAATGCATGGCCATCTTAATTGATTGCTCAATCCATACTTCTTTCGAAGCCCGGGCTGAGATTGATCTGCGTCTTCGCGGCTCGGTCGCTAGAACTATGGTCTGACCCGTACAGGTTCTGGATTCCAAACCCTTTGTATGATCCCCTGTCGAAAGGATGTATTACACGCGAGTACAGGTAGAAAGGGCACAGATGTTGGCCATCCTCTAATCGATCCTGCGGTCATCGAACTGCGCGTCTTCTGCTCCGCGCATAAGCACGTCAAAGAAGGCAGTATCAAAACCTTGGAAGACCCAATCGTCGATGCTGGCGGCCGCATCCGGGAACATGTGATCTTTCTCCGATACCTCATCGGGGATTCTTTTGGGCAAAAGCTGCGTAGTATGTTGTTGCGGCAATGAATCACTTGAGGCCTGTGTTCTAGCTCCTTGTGGTGGGACATCTGACGTGCTATTGACTGAGAATTGGCCAGGAACCGTGGAAGGTTCAATTTGAATCGACCCAATCCCTCCAATCGTGACTCCTTCGTGATGGCCTTGATCTTGCCCTGTTTCGGAATATGGCACAGATGTGATGCCTTCAGGTGCAATTCTGATCGCACCGAGATATGGCACTCTGATGACTAACGCGTTAGGATTATCGGTCGGCTGATATTCTGACGACTGTGTCTCGTTTGCGTCGGTCATGTATCCTCGTGCTGCCCTGGCTTCAATAGACAACAGATCCTTCAGCAAGGCAGCACATTCTGCGGCGAGGACATCCTCGTGTAACTCTGACATGGACTGCATGCATTCTAGAGCCCGCTCCACGGTGGCCCTGTCGCTCGATCGCTGGTGTCCGAGCAGCCTATTGACCTCCGTCTGGCCATGACTTGCGAGGTGTGCGAGGATCAAAGTCATTCCAGCTATCAGCGCCATGAAGTCGCCGATCCGACAACAGGCGGTTATTGGGTTGAAAGTACGGATTGCTATCTCGCGAGTCAATATCTCGCGGCTAGCATTCGCACACGCCATTCCCGAGTACACCACATCGGCGGTCTGGCTCTGGCACAACATGTACGGTAAGTGAAGTTGGTTGACCACGGTGTAATAACACATGTGGTCCCATGCTCGCCGGGTTTCGCAAAATGCCTCAACTGAATCGACTTCCAGACCTGCGAAAGCAAGTGGCTGCCAGAACGAGGAGGGCAATTGCTCGGTCATCCTAATGAGTTCTCGATCGATGTCCCGCGTCATTCCCTGAGCCTGTTGGGGGACTCTCACCTGATTTCGTTCCAGAATCCTGGCCGTGATCTCCATGATTAGTGATGACAGATTGCCACTCGTCTGCGAAGGATTCTTGCTCCCTGACGTTGTGGGGCTTGTCCCGACAGTGCTCGTGGGTAGGCCCAGCAGCAAGGACAAGACACGCTCCATGGAGATGATACAAATCCACATGACATTGGGGTCGAGGTCGTTCTTGTCATTGATCTTCTTGAAGCGATAATGACCGGGTTGATGCAACCCCAAGAGTTGCGCCGCAGTGACAGCACGACGGATTGCTAACCAGGCACGCCGGATGTTTCCGCTGTCTATATGAAAGAATCCCTCCAGAATGATGTTTTCCAGACCTTCCAAGGTACCCATCAAGCAGTCATTAGTAGTAACCATGGCAATGGCCGACTCCGCGAGTTCCTCCATGATGACATGGTGATGTTGATCAAGACCCGAGATAACCTCAGTGGGAGAAATATGCTGCAATGCTGCTGCTAGAAGTAACATTTGCCTTGCTAGCAAGACCGGATGGGCTTCTGGGTGTTGTAAACTGGGGATTGCGATTTGTTCCAGTGGCAGGTCTTGGCGCGACGAGCTATTCAACTTGAAGCCGGACTGATAGCACAAAGTGGAAAGTCTCGGGACCTTTCCTAGCAGAATCTCGACCTCGCTTGGAGAGGGAAGCGCACGCAGAAGAGCTTGGGTAATCTTTGAATGTCTTGTAGTCTGTGTGGCAGTTCTCGCGTGATCAAGGTGTGGTGATAGGCCCGGGGTTAGGACCAGGTCTTGCGATTGAAGAGCAAGTTGACTGACACATGTGGTGCCCCGGCGGCCACATGAGATACAGCTATCATCGTCCGGGGCAGCAAAAGTGCATTTGACTTTTCTTCGACGGCACTCTCGGCAACAGTGAGTTCCTTTTCGCACCTTCCTCCGCTTTGCCGCACTTTCGTCCGAAGCCGCACTCATTTTGGCAGTAGTTAAAGAGGGAATGTGTTGAAAAGGAGAGGAGGAGAGGAGGAGAGGGCGACAGAGAGCGAGAGGCAAGCAACAAGAGACAAGGAGAGAAAGCGAGAGTTCGGCCGAAGCGGCTGACTCATCGCCCCCCGCTCCTGCAAGTTCGGCCGAATTGATCTTGATATCATATGGATGGTTAGATGGTATATGTGACACTGATCAGGCTGATCCCTTCAGACGATTGGACATGATTGCGGCCAAGGACCTTGTATCCAAGCCTGATAGCAATGGTTACCATGAAACTAGGGGTAGTTTGAAGCCGTATAATCTCCTCACTGGACACGCCCTGCTTTAGAAGACACGATAAGCGGTTACGAGATCAACTGTAGGAATTTCTGCATTCCTAAGGGGGGGCTCGTGTTCGGCCGACGCGGCTGGCAAACGGTGGATTTGGAGAGATTCGGACGAGGTATCTGCTTACTGAAGCCAAATTAGGTCATATAGCAGGGAGACTACATTCACATAAATCTCGTGGGTTTTGTCTTAGTGCGTAAGCTAAGTCCAATTTCCACACAATCATTACAATGACAGAGCGCACACCTTTCGCACCAGAAAAGCCAACGGGCACCCAAGACTCTCCACCGGGGTCGAACACGACAGTGGCATCACTCTCTACACCCACTACCACCAAATTCCAAGCCATCGACGCGCAAGCCCCGGTCAATGATGGCTATCCGCACGGTACTCGCTTGGCTGCCATTGTTCTCTCACTCCTGCTGGCCATGTTTCTGGTGTCTCTTGATAACGTGCGTTGACAGACCTCATGACGCAGCGCAGAGCTAATTGAGATTGGTGCTAGACCATTCTTGGAACCGCTATCCCTAGAATCACCGATCAATTCCATGATCTGAACAAGGTTTCGTGGTACGGAGCGGTATACTTCATGACCTTTGGCGGTGGTGAGTGATGACGGTGCGAGTTGCCCACGCCAGGCTGACAGTCCGCAGAGACCATGGACTTTTTCTTGATCTATAGACCGTTCTCAAGGATTGGTCGCAACATTTTGACGCACTTTGACGGCTAATACTTGCAAGGGTTCCAATCGACCTGGGGAAAGGTCTATAAGTTCTTTCCCATCAAACTATGGTTCCTTATTGGCCTGTTCATTTTTGAACTGGGAAGCCTCCTTTGTGGAGTCGCCCCAGATCCCACAACTCTGATAGTGGGCCGGGCAATTGCAGGCTTGGGCGGAGCTGGGGTGACGGTGGGAATCTTCACCATACTTGGATTCGCCGCCCCTCCTGAAAAACGTCCGCAGTTGTTAGGGTATACCGGCGCCACATACGGCATCGCTGCGGTTCTCGGTCCCCTTATCGGAGGCGCCTTTACCGATCAGGTGACGTGGCGCTGGGTAGGGTCATGAATCTTGCCTTCCGTTTCTCTTCTGATTGCTGACCCTGTTCTAGTGCTTCTACGTTAACCTACCCATTGGGGGGTTTGCGGCGGTGATTATCATCGTATTCTTCCAGGCCCCGGCCAATGCAATGCCCGCGCGAGCCACTCTGCGCGAGAAGTTGTTGCACATGGACTTTGTCGGTGCCGCTCTCGTGATGGGGTTGATTATCTCATATATCTTAGCACTGCAGTATGGTGGTCAAACACATTCCTGGAAGAGTAGCGTCGTGGTCGGCTTGCTGGTGGGTTTCGTCCTCATTCTGGGGGTCTTCATCGCATGGGAGATCTACCAAAGAGAGCATGCAATGATAGTTCCGCGACTGGTAAGTCACAGTCCAGATCCGTCGTGGCTTGCAGATGATCTAATTGCCCGGGTGGGGATAGTTCATGCAACGCTACGTCTTTGTCGGCTCCATCTTCATGTTCTTCTTCGGTGGGGCGTATTTCACAATCTTGTACTACTTCCCCATCTACTTCCAAAGTGTCTACAACAGTAGTCCCATCGGGTCCGGGGTCAAGATGCTTGCCCTCATCATTCCCTTGACAATTGCCGCCATTGTCCAAGGGGTTGCACTATCCAAGATCGGCATCGTGCCTTTGTTCTGGGTGATTGGCGGCGCGATAGGAACCATCGGGTGCGGGCTCTTTTATACCATGGACACCCACACTTCGACTGGCCAGTGGATTGGGTATCAGATCCTGGTGGGATTTCCGATTGGGTGGACATTTCAGGTCGCTCTTTCCAACGCACAGGTTCATGCGGCACCCGAGGACATGTCGCAAGTGGCGTCCATTGTGAATTGTAAGTCATGTCCTTCCTCACCCGACAATGTCTAGCGAGAACGATCTGCTGATTCCCACCGGTAGTCTTGATGACCGTCGGCGGGTCTTTCTTCCTCTCCGCCGCACAATCCGCTTTCAACAATCAGCTGCTCCAGGTGGTCGCCCGCCGACTCCCCGATCTTAATCCATCCGTGGTTCTGGGAATCGGGGCCACGCAGATTCGCCAAGCATTCCCATCCTCGCAAGTACCTGTCGTGATTGACGCATATGTGGTTGGGTTGAAGGCGGTCTTCGCCATCACCGTGGCTGCTTTTGGCCTCAGCACAATCATTGGTTTCTTTGGTAGCTGGAAGAGACTGCATGGAGAGAGGTTGAACAAGGCTGCTGGAGGCGCAGTATGAGCCTCAGCTCGTTGCTTGGGTTGTTGAGACGTACGGTGGAGGTGGGGTGGGAGTTACGCGGCGGTAGATTTGATGGGGTGCGGGAGTTCGTGCACCAGGCCGGCAGAAATGCCCAAGACAGTAGGCGGAAGAGGATCAACAACCACCGGCAATCATGTAACTTAGTATGTATGCTGTACCTTCTACAAGAGACATACCCACTCGATAAGATAAACATTGCATTCTCAGATAGTATTTGGTTCTGACATGGAATCAGTTGCATTGAGAGACCCATATATCAGGCTGTCTGTGTCACGGGGCATTCAATTTCATCAGTAGAGCAACGAGCGGGCTCGCATTCAGTCGATGAAAGATGGATTGGCCGCCAGACCAACGCAGCAGTCTGAGCAATCGCCTGCTCAACGGCATCCACCAATATTTTTACCTGCAGTCCGAGGGGACAGGGATCTCCTTCACACTGGTGGGTACAATACCCCTTCGCTTCCGAAATGCGCATTCGAATCTCAGCCATTGAGCACTTCTCAAATGGCCGCACGGAAGGCCAGAGCCCAGCCCTTGTCAGCCTGTCGAAATACTGAGCAATGCGCAATTCCCGTGTACAATACTCTTTGTCCCACTGTCTGGAACTGCAGAAGGGGCATTTTCTCTCCGTCGCAGGGTAAGTGTTCTCGCATGATTTGCACAACCGGCAATCCATCCGCGCGCAACTGCTATCCGTTGCAAGAGCTACCTCGCCCGCTTGAAGTAGTTCGTGGATGGCCCGTAGTTGTTTCTGTATGTGGTTGCCTAGGTCGCCTTTTGCCTATTAGAATATCTGCCATCGTCTCGGGCGTGGAGAACCTACGACAAACACTTGACGGAAGCAGGCCCAGGAGGTCTGCCTCGTCCCAGGTGTCGGCAAACCGGGGAGGGAGGTTAATTTGGGCTTGGATAGAAAGTCTGGCATAGTGCTCTGCGCAATGAAAGAGATATGCAGCGAGAAGGAGATAGCCATGATCCTCTGGCGTCTCGATATGAGTAAATCGGCCAAGCCAGTTCCAGATCCAAGGCCGGAGAGCACTGTTGCAGTCGTACTTGTCACAGTGAACAGCGATGACGGCCAGATGCCTCGCACTCAACGAGTCCTCATCTTCAGACCCTTGGTAGTGAAGAGCTTGTAGAATTGTCCTCATGGCACCTGGACTATCCTCAGGTAGAGTTAGGGTCGGACGAGTCGAATCTTTCATCTGGTTCCCCTCGCGGAACCCCGATGTAAAGAGTTTTGCAAAGACGGGCGAGGCAAGAGTTAGGATTTTTGATGAGACCAGGAATCGGCCCGAAGCTGCACCGGTGATCAGTAATACCGCGTCCCCATCCGGATCCAGGGTCTCGAGGGAACACTCCATGGCTGGAGATGGAGCACATTTTAAGATCTCGTCTGGCATGATGTGTTATTGCGAGTGCCACGTGTGTGCAGAGAACTGACGGTGATGGAAGTTGGATGAGAAATTGCAGGGCAGTGAGACCCTAGAGATAGCCCGGTGTGACCTCATTTGGATATTTCCGGACATACCTCATCATGATCGGATGCAGTGTATAACGGAGCCAAATGCCGGGAATCATACATTTACCCCAACTCCTTCACCGAATCGGCGGGTTGGGAAGCTTCGCGACAGTGTTAAATTTTGCTGTGAGATGATCCGAGCCAGCCATGAACTAGGCATGCCGATGGGTGCTGGTAGTTGTTTACAAGGCAGTTGTCGGCTTTCGCCGCCGGGCTGCCACATGATGCGATCAGCCGATCATACGATAGCCCTTCATCCCTTCTTGTACCATTCCAGCCTCGTGCGCATATGTTCTGGGGAACCACAACGATTGAACAGTTCTTGCATTGGGGCAATATATTTTCTAGTGATGCACCCGGCTGTTCCTCAGACCGGCGCCAAGTTATAGATCTTCTTGATGTCCCGCAGCGTCTCCTCAAAGTCAATCTCCAAGTCTCGGAGCAGGCCGGTCTCCATGTCAAAGATCCAGCCATGCACGACGGGGAACTGGTGCTCGTGGAAGCTCTGCTGCACGGCGGCAGTCTTGATGATATTGCGGCACGACTCGACGACATTCAACTCGATGAGGCGCTTGTAGCGGGCGGTCTCATCCTTGATTTCATCCAGCTCGCGCTCGTGCAGACGGTAGACATCCCTTATGTTGCGTAACCAGGGGTTGAGCAGGCCCAGGTCGGAGGGGCTCATGGCGGCCTTGACGCCGCCGCACTGGTAGTGGCCGCAGACGACAATGTGTTTGACGTGGAGGTGACGAACGGCGTAGTTGATGACGGACATGACGTTGAGATCGGTGTTGGGGACCAGGTTGGCAATGTTGCGGTGAACAAACACCTCCCCGGCCTCCAACCCCATGATCTCATTGGCGGGAACGCGACTGTCACTGCAGCCAATATATCTGCATTGGAAAGAATCCCGGGGGGGTCCACAAGGTCAGTCTCCGTGCTACTACCACCGTCTCTCAAACAGCTAGTCAGTCTGTCTCTTACAAATATTCGGGGGTCTGGCCAGCGTTGAGTTTCTCGAAGAAAGCGGGGTCTTCCTGCTTCTTGGCGGCCACCCACGCCCGGTTGTTCTCAAACACCCGCTCATGGGAGTGTTTGAGATACTCGGGGACCGATTCTTGGGGGGTTTCTTTGGAAGAGCACATTGTGGGGGGAGGGGGGAGGTGGATTTGGTGTAATGATGTGATGTTAATTGCGACTGGGACTGTGGGAACCAAGAGGAGGGGGAAAGAGAGGAACTGCCACGTGTGTTCTGTATGTGCCCCGCCCGCTGGCCTACGGCTGCCCATTCCAACCCGCCACGCAGTTCCTGCCTTATCTTATCATCATCATCATCAGTAGCAGTAGCAGCAGCAGATCAAATAATTCGCTCTATTGGGTATCATTTCTCTATCCAACAATAATCTAACATCAACTTCAACAACCAGCCTCAGTAATCTGGTATCCCGTTTTCGATGCGCGGTCATACACCACCCCAAAGACCTGCACATCGTGGTCATGTGCTTGACTCAACGACTGCACCTGGCCGAGGATGTTCAATTCGACCATGGCTCGGTCCCGTTCTTGACCGCTGGTTTGGTCGAGCGCGTGATTGTGCGCCGAACGAACCATGTCAAGGGTTCTGCTCCAAGGCTCCGGAACGCAAGGGTTGGGCTTCCCCTGAACAATGTGACAGCCGTAATGCCCGCATACGACAATATCCCGAATCTGCCACCCCATTGTTAGCTGGATGGAGCGAAACGTCGATTCCCTCACTGACCTTGAGTTGCTCCAATGCATAGCCCAGCGTAGTCTGACAAGAAAGGTCGTCGATCACCATGTTCCCCAGATTGCGATACTCCAAAACCTGATCGGCCCGGAGACCCAGAGTCTCCAGCTCATCGTAATCACTATCCGAGCAGCCAATCCACAGCACCTGCTTCTCCGAGGCTCGCTGCCAGGGCATCGAGTCTGATTGCACCTGACGAAGCTCGTAGCGGGTGCGGAGTTGGTCTCTCATGGTGTGAAGTGGTGCGGCGCGGGAGGGCACGAATTGGGGTCGAAGAAGTCGGGGGAAAGCCGCGGGACGAGAGCAGAACATCAGTAGAATTGTGTGCGAGAGATGTTGATGCGGTGAGGCTGAAATGCTTGGTGATCAAGAGTGGTTCTTATACAGCTGGACATAGAGAGAGGTTGCCCCAGTACTTCCGTCGGGCAATGACTTGAAACACGCGCAACTATAAATGTATCGACCATCGATTGTCAAGGCCAAGTGGACTCGGCCGAAGCGGAGATATCTCGGTGGGCTCAAATCCCGGCCATTATTTGATCGACCCTCCGCATGACGGTATGCAGGCAATTTCCGAGCTTCTCTCCATTTCCTCGTGTGTTGTGTTATCGGCCGAAGGGTTGGCCATCATAGGAGCGGGCTGAACTCCATGCCGAACAGTATGTTTGCCCCTGATCCAGACAATCTTTCGTCACAATTCTCGGGCCCGATCTCAGCACGTTCGTTACTCGGCCGTACCCTCTCCCTCCCTGGCCAGATGAGCTACGACTCGGCAATATATGCCAAAATATGCCGAAACGTCAGCTCCGGACAAACCACAAGAACTCTCCGGATGTTGACCTATAGTTTCCTGAGCCATGACTCCAATACTCTGGCCTTCAATGACTAGATTTGACTAGCCGGGGGCGAGTCTTGACGCGAGTCAGCGACAGAGGTCGATACTCCCGGGTTCGTCGAGGTACGTACTATGTACTATGTAGAAGAAGGCTCGGAGCGAAGGCCGAAGGAGGGCGAGTGGGGCTGAAGAAGAAAATGAATCAATAAAGAAGAATGCAGGGGCCGAGAGTTCGGCCGGGACTGGAGCCATGGATTTATCGATCCATGGATCCGCCCCCCTCCCGGTGGGTCAAGCAATTGCTTGAAGATTGATATCATCCTTCTTGCTGAGGGATCTGACACCGTTGTCGTCCACGCCGGTAATAGAGAGAAATGACGAAACACTTTCCTCTGTTACAGTATATAATGCTCACAAGTCAGAAACAGACCTAAATGAACACAGTTGATTCACGTCCAAACACAGACTACGAACAACACTGACGATGGTATGCAATTTGACTCGGTGCTCAGATATGCTAGCCAGTTACCACCGGAGTTGTGAGAGAGAGCAGGCTTAATAACCCCGGTCGCATCTGAAGAAAGACCTGCCACTCCCGCAGTCCAGGCGAGAGAAAACACTAAGTACATTCAACAAAGCCGCTGCTACTGCTGGCTCCAGTGTGAGTGATCACCCCCGCCAACTTGTCCGCTGTGTTGAAGATGACCCGATCGGCCCCAGGAGATCCCCCGTCATACACGTCGCCATCGCTCAAGATCGGGAACTCATAGTAGGTCCCCGAGACACTGAAGTCGAAGCCCTCATAGTCATGGTAGACATGCGGGTAGTCGTTGAGAGTTTCACCGGACTTGTACAGCGAGTAGCCTTCTGCCTGCGCCGCACTCACCGCACTGGAGGTGTAGCAGTGGCTTCCACAAGTATAGGCACAGCTGGCACGCTCGACCTTCTCCTTGGGGAAGGGGGAGGCCAGTGCGGCGGAGAGGAGGGGAGGGAGGCACGCGAGTGCGGTCTATTCGGCTTGAGTCAGTATATCGACATCACCCACGTCGAGTGGCAATCGAAAGGCAATGTCTCCCACCTGCAATTGAAACATCATGTCTGGCTGGCCTGCTGGATCGCTCGCTGATCTGGGGAGGAGGGATGTCACTGCAAGTGTGTGGCTAATATCTCTTCACCCCTGGCAATTACAGACTATTTATGTCGTCGTCGGCGCCGTCTTCATCGTAATCGTTGCCGTTCATACTCTCTTCGTTCTCCTCATCGGCCATCTCCTATCACCGACCTGCAAGACAAGCAACCAGCATCTCGACTAAAGTGTGTGATAAGATAACTCCATGCCAAGAAGGGGCCAAGACCAGCCAAGGCCGGCACGTTGTCGAATTCGCAAGCATGAAGAGTTCTGTCACATCAATCTAAATTGATATAGATTGATATAGATTGATATAGATTGGGTGCCTGCGGATCTTCACCGCGTCCGGTCCTCGCGGCAGTCCCCGTCAGCCTGACACTCCGCCGGAGATCCTTCCCTGCACTCAATCGACGATAACGACACAAGCATGTGACAGTGTACTGACAGAGATGATGATTCAGCCGGCTGGAGAAGCATGCAGCCTAAGTGCGACCTCGCCGTATCAGGGCCTATACCTGAGCACGTGGTTGAGCTCCAGCACCGGTCCTTACAGATGTTCGGCTTTATCTATGAAGTACAGTGTGAGGCATTGTGCACTGGTGTGATGGACTGCCAACTGGTATGTGGCCCGGGGCACGAGATGAGAAGGTACTGACTCGCGTAAATCATCAGTTATCCAGGGCCTTGCAAACATGAAGTGAGAATTTGTGGTTAAAGTGTGTTCTCTTCCACTGTTTTCCATTGAGCTTCAAGCTGAGCAACGCGCGCCGTCTCGTTCACTTGAACCGAATTCATGCCCAGGGCCCGGTTAAACTGCGAAGCGCCAGTAACTCTTGTTCGCGTCGCGTATCGAAACCTTACCATCGAATTTTCAGACATATTTCTAACCGAGACCTACTGGGCGCGCCGCCCCCGACCAGGTCGTGCGCGCGTTCCAGCATGATTGACGACATCATCATTGTCTGTTGCCGCTGCTGCCGCCGCCGCCGCAGTCGCATCTTCGCCAAGGTCTAGATCTGCTGCATTACCGGCACAGTTTGCGTGTAGATCGCCGCTCGACGCTTACCGAATGCAGTAAACTCCGTTACATCACCTCTAGCATAGACCACGGTCTACAGGTTTCACATTCGGGGCGAGTATATATCGCAGCAAGCGGAGGGAAGGACCAAATCTACTGAAGAAATGAAGTTGTCGAGGGTTGATGAGGTTTCATAATAATACCAGCAAAACACTGGGCACAGATACTGGCTGGTTGGTGCCGTTCATGTTGTGGGTAGCAGTAGACTGTACTTTGAGGGTGGCGGAAAAGCACTGGCTGGACATCAGCCCATTCGCTACTTCGTGCTGTCAGCCGAGCTTCGAAGACGAGACATATCTATGTCTTATTGCCACCCGTTGAGAGATTTGTTGAAAGCTTTTGTGGTGACAGGTGGGCTGGACTGTTCGCATAAGTCGACATAAATTACATAAGCATCGCCACAATGCCGCTTATGCAGTTTCGGGCTTAGCACTAATACTATCCCTGATCCAACCATACTTAATGGTTTCAACTTGGGGAAAAGAAGGGAAGTGGCAGCAGGACAGTAGGTGCTTGGGACTCAGACTCTTGTTAGGATTGTTCGGCTCACAGTGGTTGTGAATGGACTTTCCAGCAGATCTACCTTCGCGCGCCCTGCGTTGTGCCCCGATATGCATCCATAATCTCTCCCTGCTTGCTTACCAACCTGGCTCCACATGATGTTGTGCATGTCTTCCAAACATCATAGTATGCACCAGAACTGCCCAAGAGTTCTCAATATGAGGGAAATTGAGATAGGTTCATGCCGTATCAACGGTCGATTCTCTCGTATTGCATCCTTGGTAAAATCGATGAATCCTCGGCAACCGACTTATCTTCGCCACTAAAATTGCCAAATCCGGCCAGCTCGAAGGCAACCAGGGAAAACAATGCCATTCCCCAACAATGCATTGACGGAACGAGCGAAAGGTTCCTCGTATAATCGAGCTCGCATGATGTCAGTCAGTGTCAGCCTTTGCTGCTGTACAATGCTCGAAAGGTATAAAAACCCAGAGACTTCACCCCTCCGAAAGCCAATTGAAGCACATGCCGATTACTCACCCGGCATCCGATGAAGGCTTGCCATCTGCTGGGTAACTCCTCAAAGATATATTGTGACCGCAACCACACTATCGCAACTCTGTCCAACGGTCCTTCACAATGAAACTTGCTACCCTGGCTATCACATTCCTTCTAGGCACATCCACCACTGCTGCCGCCTGGGAGCTTCGCGCCAACGGTCAGAAATGGACGGGCACCAACCCTCAGCGCTGCACCGCTGTCAACATCCCCAAGGGCGCGAAAATTAGCTGGTCGGGATCATCGGGCGCTCGGACACTGCAAGTGTACAACATGAAAGGAAGTTGTTCGCAGGTATATCGAACCGTGCAGGGGGTGGGTGATATCAATGCCTCGAACAACATTTACGGATTTGTGGTGAAGGCTTGATGGAAAGGATGCAACCAAGTGTTAGGAGCGTTGTACCAAGTTCATTGGATATGGAGTAGGAGCTATCTAGTAATGGGAATTGTATCACAATTGTCAACAGCCCCAGGCGAAGGCACAGAGCAATAACGAGACATGGAAATGCAATACAATGGATAGATGCCATGAATACCCTTCATCGAGGCTTCCTAGTATGAAATTACACAAAGACAGACACAACCACGGCACCACACTGCCTCTGGAAAAGGCTCGTCCGGACTGCGAAATCTGGGGCTGAGTATGCCAGCAAGTCCTTCTACTGGGTGGTGATTGCCTCGATCGGACTCAAGAGAACACATTCAGCTTCTTTTCCTTGTGGAAAAAGATAATGTAGTAGATCTGCTGTGAGGGCGAAATGTCTGACCATGCGCTCGTCACGTTCTTTAATCTCCGAAGGTCAACCTTGTGGGGCTTCTCTTTTGTGACCCAGTCATTATATTGCCTCTTGTCACTGTCGCCCTTGTAAGCGTTGAGTATAACCTGCATCGGTTTGGAGATCTCTGGACCCTGAAGTAGGTTGGTTGCCTTGTTGATGAGCTCTCTTTCCGTGAGCTTTGTGTTGTCTGGAGTGCTTCCATGCTCCTGGTCTGGGTACTCCACCTTGTGCGCCATGTTAGGATCGATACCGTCGATCACGCTGACGAGGAACACTGTTTGCGATTGCTATATCGATTCAGTCACTGGAATTAGACCAGGTGTCGTCGAGAAAAGCTTGCAGTTGCAATCTAAAACTCACCTCGGTGATTCTCCAATAAAAATAGTCTTTCACGGTCGCTGCCCATGCTGAAGGGCTGAAGAGAGTCTTTAGCTCCTTTGCCATCGGAGAGGGTCAAGAGCTCGGGCTTACTTTGAGCAAAGCACTGTATCTCCCCCGCGGGCCTCCCAACTCAAGGCAGCATTCCCGACTGTCTGATCCTGGCTAGAAGTCTTTGTCTCACTAGTAGTGTTCGCATAATTCACGCCAAAGCTCAAGGCAGTCCTCTTCTGCGTGACCGTGACCTTGGAGTCATCACCCACGTAGAAAAAGGGAACACCAGGAACGGTGTTCTGGGGAGGTTTCTTGTCAGTAAACAGCACGCCGGTATCGTGACACAGTTCTACATACCAAGTATTCCTTCACAGGATCCTTCTTCGTTCCGTTGGTCTTGACGGAAGCCTGAGAGCTTCCCGTCGCACTTCCCTGTGGCGAAGGAGTGGCTGGGACTTTCGCTACCTCGCCGAGCTGGGGAGAGAGTGCCTCCGCTGGAAGACGAATCGCAAACGCTAGTTCTGTTAGTGGAAACCTACACTCTACTACGACAACCAACGACAGTGTTAGCGGAGGGCTGACATACATCGTTTTGGGGCTTTGGCGAGGAGTCCAGTCAAGACACCTTTCGCCATTTGGGAGAGACGCTTGAGCCAGTCATCAAGGCCACCGACAAGATTGAAAGGGGCACCAGGTCTCCATTGTTGGCTATCAGAGAGTCCAATATTAGCCATGGTATCAAAGAAGCTGTGACCAAATATGACGAGGTACGTGTTGCTTGAACCATGGACCTGAACTAAGACGTCTTGCCTGAACTTGCATCACGCGTTCTTGATGATTTGACAGGGCTAACGGAAACACTTTCAGATTATCAAACAAGCCGAAGACTTCGCGAAAGCAGCTCAGATCAAGGAACTTGAGGTATAGACATGTTCTTTCTCTGGGGTTGCACATATCGCTCTGCGGCCCTTTCCTCCGACAGTCTATCATACTGAATCCTCAGATCATCCTGTCGCTTTCCGGAATATGCACTCTGCCTTACACCTGCACTGTGTCGCTGTGACTCTACCAAATCTTCATTGAGTGTTCATTGCTTCAAAGAAGGACTAAAAGCATAGAGTGAAACATTGATAGTAGTTTCTATCACAGTGGCGAGAATTCCACATATATTGGAATATCAAAGGCTACCGCACTGAGAAGCATCCTACTATGTAATCGAAGAAAAGGGAGATTCAACAGGAGCAGTGAGGCTTATAAACGCCCGCTAGCAACACCGGTGCCCTTGACGATATGCAAAACATGCCTAAAATCATCAAAGCCTTGGAATATCTTGTGCTGAGGTCTATGGGTTGCTCGTTCTCAATGCTTCCACCGAGGCGTAGCGCTGTACACCTCAGATAATCGATCCTGCTATTCATCCGTTTGGCGATTCCAAGCGTAGTCAATGAGACGCATGTCATACAAATCTAAAGACATCCATCGAGCATTTCTAACGATTAATCCGCCGACGCCGACAACTTGAAGCCCCCGGTACAGCCTGTCTGAAATAGACCGTCTGGGTCATACTGCTGGCCTATTTTCCTCAGTAACTCCAAGTTCTGCTCGCCGTACCCTACCACTGGACGCTGCCAGTTTTCGCAGTAGTTCAAGTACCGGTAAGGATGACTCCTGCCATTGGCTTCAGCGATAGCGTTTATCTTGGCCAGAATCCCACGGACCACCGAGTAAACATACTCGTCGTTATGTGCACCGTCCCAGTCAATTGACATATTAATGATGATTAGTGGCTCGTTTGTGCTCTCGTGGACACCGATGACATTGGGGTCGCCCTTTGCGGTCCACGAGGACAGCAGAGGCTGCATGACCATTGTCCACATAGACCCCTCCACCTTGCGCAGGGACGCTGTTGCCTCTCGAAAAACGTCGCGGGCGGCCATGATGGTAGTCAAGTCATTCTTGATTGTGGTAGTCCCGAACGAGCTTCGCTTACTGGGCCAACAGCCTCGGTTGACCTCCTCGACGGCGGAAGTGACAGATTGCACCTTGTGGGTGCTCCAGTATCTCCACAGGGCGGAGAAGCCAGAACGTTGCCAAAAGGCCGGCCATTTTTTCGGGGATTCTGGTGTCTTGGTATAAGCCAGCTGTAGAGCAAGCAGCCGCATACTGATGGGCTGAAGATAAACATCGCAGACAATGGCTCCCGCGGCATAACTGTCCACCTCCGCACCGCTGCTCTTAGGATCCATCCGCTTGACGCTGTCATGAAGAGCCAGAAGAGCTTTGGTGCATTGCGAGCCGGGTGCATATATGTAACCGCTCCAGATGGGGCTCGAGGGAAAGCAGCGCACGGTGAATCTAGTGACGATGCCGAAGTTGTTGGAGCCACCCTTCAGTGCCCGCCAGAGTTCCGGATGGGAGCTCGCCGTGGCAGTGACTGTCTCCCCCGAGGCCAGCACAACCTCGTATGCAATGACATTTGAGCATGCTAATCCATACCTGGGAGTGAAGAAGGAGATTCCGCCTGGTTGAATGTGTTAGTACGTTGACAAGACGATGTGGTGATTGACTTATACCTCCTAACGTAAACCCGCCCACTCCGACATCGGCACTTCTGCCTCCCACCACGCCGAGATTCAACTCGTCCAAGGTGCGCGAGACATCGCCCCACCGGGATCCAGCTCCAATCACCACACTTTCTCGGTCCTCGGCGACCGTCACCTCGCGGAAGTGGGTGAGATCGATCAGGACGCCGCCCTTGGCACTCGCAGCTCCCGTCAGTGGGGATTGCCCTCCGCCTCGAACAGCGAACAGAGTGTCATCGGACAGCGCTCCGGAGCTTTGTCGCCGCTGATGCTCCTGCGTGAGGATTTGGATCGTGGTCGACACCTCTTGAGTGGTGCGTGGCTGGACAATGACCGCTTGAACCACGTCGCGCTCCTGTCGGGCGAAATAGGTGCTAAGCGATTGGCGGAAGAGTTCACCGTCGCGGTGGAGGAGTAGCACGCTCCCTTGCGGGAGAGCCTTCACTAGCCTTTCGCCCAGAGGATGGGGAATTGGGGGGATTTCATCCTGCAGGGCAGGTTTCAATTCAGGTGGTGAGCTTAACCTGCCCAAGAAGCGGAACACCAGCACTACCAGGACTGTCGCAATGGCCACCGAAGGGAGAAGAGCGCCCATGATGGTATGTCATCAGGCAACAGAGCATTCCGGAAATCCACAGTCGTAAGCAGAAAAAAAAAGGAGAGAGAAAGGAGAGAGAAGACGTCTTTAAATGTCTCTAGCCAGCCGCACTGATACACGGGTTCAGACCCACAGTAAGCAAGACCAAGCGGGTGTGCTGCCCCCCCATTGGAGGCGCATAGTTGGGGCATGTCAGCACTAAAGAAAACTAGATATTTTTGGATTTACATTCTGGATTCATTGATGGAAGACTGCTTTTTATTAGAAGACCCGTGGATTATGCCTATGATCAGAGATGGTAAATCGTTACGTTTTATGACACTGATCTCTTGGAAGCTGCTGAGTTGGTCGCTGTTCTTATGTGTGGAAACCGAGAAGAACCTCATCAATTCACCGATTGCTGCTTGGTAACGTGACCCTTGATCAAGAAACAAATGCCCAGGAACAGTCCCTTCTCGAACGAGTCTTGGAGATTGTAAATGCGGACGCCTCGGATCTCCATGGGCTTGACCGGGACATCACCAATGGCATTGCGAACGTGCTTCCATACCATGATTTTGCCATCCTGGTATGCACACCCGAGAACCATCTCCCACTCAGGGGGGGCTACCTGTCGCATCTCCTCCAGCTTGGGCTCCAGAAGAACCCTAGCGGTATTTGGCTTGTTGAGTGCGCCCAGGAGTATGTGTTGGAAACACTTGCCATCCTTAAACACGCTGACTGCCTGTGGTTCTTGGCCGCCTGGCCCCTGGATCACTCGAAAGTCGAATCCCGGCTCCCCTTCGAACGCCTGCCGCAAAACACTCACTAAGATGCTATCAGCCATGGTAATAAGAATATAATCTGATGCTCTGGAGCCCATCTGAGCGTTACGGGGCGGCGTGCGAGCCATTGTGGGTTGTTTGTGGAGTGATTTTGATGCCGTTGCTGGGACATATATACCTTTTGAGCGTTGTGGCATACAGGTCTCAGGCAGTGTACTGAGAGGGAAAGCCTTTGTCTTCTATTCTGAAAGGCTATTTGTCAAAGTTGGTCAAAGTGCCAAACCCAGGCTAGAGCAATCAAGAGGTTCAACGTATATCAACAGGCTCACAGGGTGTTGCAGTGATGGAATAAAGCCATGAAGCATCAGGCAAGATAGGTCCATTCATAAGTCAAAAGATAATGCAGCACGTGTTACCTGAACTTTACATTGGATGTTGGAAGAAAGTTCTATGCAGTAGCAAAGCACTACTATTGCTCATGCTTAGCTTATCTGGGCTTTCTTTATAATCTCACAATACAACGAAGATAATAAAGAAGGCTCTACCCTTTGTTCAATAAATGCACTCTTATTCACTCACAAATTACTATTCGAGGCTCGAGCTTACTAATTGCAGTCTTGACTCTCTCAAGAATTGCTCTATGACTAAGCCTTAAGCCTGAAGTCCTTTACGGAAGAACCTGGTTCTCGGATAGCTTCTTTAACGATCCGCGGCAAAGTATACTAGTACCGTACTCCTTTTCGTCACGGACTACCAATGGACCTTGGAAGCGAGAAGCCTTCGACTTCGCCAACACTCGTGCTTTCCGTGACCCAGACTAAGACCCCGTCGCGGTTGGCTGCGATGCTCTAGGCAAGGACCGGCAGATATCGCAAGCTCCTACATACACCTACATCCATAGGAAACAATGCTGTCCGCTCACTGCGCTTTGGTTTTGAAACCTCCTTGTTTCAGCTCCAGTGACCTTTGCGCGAGATGTGGGTATCTTCCTACTGCACTCTCAATCACCAGAGCAAGAAGTTCCTGGTGCGATACTCCATGGTGACGAGCCGTCTCGCTCAGGAAAGAATACCCTGGACATAATCCAGGCAAAGGGTTGACCTGAGTAGTTTCAGCATGACTTTGACAATTCCTAGGAGGGGTGGCTGATAACTGACCTCGATAACATGCGGTCTCCCATCGGCTGAGCACCGAATATCAACTCGTCCCACGTCACGGAAGCCCATGGCTCGCCACACCCGCAAGGCGAGCGCCTCGACTGCCGCTACCTCCGGGTCCCACGAGTCGATCGCAAACTTCATCACATCTTTATCGTTCGCTCGGTTCTTGGCATCGACGTCCAGGAACCCTCTCGTGAACGGATCCTTCTCACTCTCGGATTGTGTCCCGTGGCGTTTCTGCGCAGCCTCCCAGTCCAGATGCAAGGTCCCAAGCACACGTGCGGTCTGACCGGTGCCGATCAGACTCACCGAGTACTCACGGCCAGCAAGATAACTTTCGACCAGGATACTTTGCCCAGGAAACTGACGTTGCAGCTTTTGTACCCCCAGTTCAAGCTCCGCTTGGTTGTGAACCTTGGAGAACGGATAAATGCCTTTCGAGCTTCCTTCACAGGATGGCTTGATGAACAACGGATATGCGGTCAACTCGACTGCGTGAGGGCTTGCTTGCACATCTTCAAGGGGATTCTGGGACGTTGGTGGGACGACGGCAAACGGCGCGGTGGCGATGTCGTAGTATTGGAACATCATCTACGAGGCAGGAATCTGGGCTTAGCACGATCGCGTCGCTCGTCGAGTGGACAGAGTTGATGCATGAGAAGAGGGTACCTTGGTCTTTGCTTTGTCGAGTGTCATGGTCAGGGTTGCAGCGTCCGAAAAGACGCAGGGAATGCGGTATGCTTCCAGCACGCCGGGGATTTGGGCCTCGCGAGCGGCGCCGTGCATCCCCTCTGAGATTGAGAACCCTAAGTCCCATCCCCGATGCTCCCCCTTCGCAATGCGCTGGATCAGCTCGTCCATGTCCCCCACAGGAACCACTCGATATCCTAGTCCGCGGAGCGACTCGATCATGCTGTCGATTGCCTCATCTTTGTCCAATTCCAGGCATTCCTCCAGGCTGTAGCCTTTGCTTAGGTACAGCGAGATTGTCTCATAGAAGAACGCTATCGTGATTGGAGTGAGGGTCATCGTTTCGAGTGCTGTAGGCTTTTGGCAATGGGTACCGTACTAGTCGCGAGGCCCAATTGAGGCCCATCACTGGTTCTTAAGATGGTGTAATGAAGAAACTTCGGTCTCAAGGCCAGTCAGAGTGTGCGATGGCGGGCGATCATCCCTTGCATTACAAAGAGGCGGTGGACACGTCAGCATGGACATACATTGATGCATTTCGCGCACGCAATGCCAGTTTAACACATCACATCTCAGTGGCCGATCTGAGTAAATCACGCTTGGAGTCAATTTACGCTGTGCAATGTCTAGACCGAGTTTTCCGACCGAGGGGCTATAAACCGGGCACGGTTGGGCATGGGGCATTGACTTCCCACACAGCCGACAAAACCACCCACCATGACTCTCTCCTCACGCACTGCGAAGTCGAGCGTTGCAAAGGTGCGATGGTCATCGGTGGTCAGCAGCCCTCAGTTCCATCCATCGCCCACGGGGAATTGGGAATACTGGCGCAAGGTGCCCGCCTGGATGGATGTATCTCGGAACGAGTTTTTGAACTACAAGTGGCAGGTATGGTGACTCTATCTTGGGGCTCTCCTCTACATTCGCAGTCTGATCATCAAATAGATGCACCACTCGCTGCAAAACACCCCGTCTCTGCTTGCCTTTCTGTCTGGAGTCCTTCCGCCCCAAGTCACAGCACCGTCAGGTCACGGAGAAATCACTCGTGACGAGGTGTTGAATGATGTGGTGACCGGACTCAAGAAGGCACCGATGGCTACTCGACTGACACCCCACATTCTGGCACTGATCAACTGGGACGAGGTCTACTCCGATCCAATTCGACGCCAATTTATCCCAGTTGGCTCCTCGTACCAGCCCGACCATCCCAAGCTCACCCTCGACTCGTTAAACGAGACGCATGACTCACCGGTGAAAGGCCTGGTTCATCGCTATCCTGACAAGGTGCTGTTTTTGGGTAAGAATATGAAACCTATCTCTTGAGTGATACTAACCTGTCACAGCCAGCTCTGTGTGTCCGGTCTACTGCCGGTTTTGCACCCGATCCTACTCTGTAGGGGCGCAAACTGAGTCGGTCTCCAAAAAGCGATTTCTCCCACTCCGAAAATACTGGGAGCCGATGTTTGATTACATTGCGCAGACCCCAGCCGTGACTGATGTCGTCGTCTCCGGGGGCGACACCTTTTTCCTTGAGCCACCGCAGCTGCAAGAAATCGGCGAGCGACTCCTGAGTCTGGAAAACGTGCGACGGATCCGCTTCGCGAGCAAAGGACTGTCTGTTTGCCCGTCACGCATCCTGGACCCAGATGACGAATGGGCCAACACGCTGATCGCCCTCAGCGAGCAGGGCCGGGCGCAAGGCAAGAGCATCGCCCTACATACGCATTTCAACCACCCGCAAGAGATCTCCTGGATCAGCGAGCAGGCTGCGCAGCACCTCTTCTGTCATGCCGTGACGGTCCGAAATCAGACTGTCTTACTGAATCGGGTCAACAATGACGTCCACACCATGAAGCGATTGATCCGGACGCTGGCAGACATCAATGTCCAACCGGTGAGTTCTCCTGCGGTACCTCTGCCGGAGGAGCATGTCCGATTAACAGGTCCTACTAGTATTACGTATACCAGGGGGACATGGTACGAGGAGTGGAGGATCTCCGGACCCCCTTGCGCGACATTCTGCACCTCGAATCGCAGATCCGCGGCACGATCGCCGGCTTTATGACCCCCTCCTTCGTCGTCGACCTTCCCGGTGGCGGTGGCAAGCGGCTGGCGCAGACTTATGACAGCTATGATCCCTTGACGGGCGTTTCCAGATTCACAGCCCCCGGGGTCAAAGGGGACACTGTTCATGAGTACCATGACCCCATGTGGTCCTTGCCTTCAGCAACAGAGGAGACAAGCACGGAGAAGGTAGATTTTAGCTCGTAAAAATTGCACCTAAGCACTCAGTAGTTATTTGATTCAGGGGTAAAAATGCAAGGGAGTGCAGCAGGTTGCATCCAAAACATACCGATCATGGCCCGCTTCCCCCTTTAGGGCAAACGCCGCCCGATCGGGGATTCGACTGTAAAATCACTTGCTATCTATCTCTTCAAGCGAGCCAAAAACCTGCTTCCAGACCTCTCCAATGTTCGGACACCTGCTTCTTTGTAGTCTGGATTTATGCCAACACCAACGCTTGACTGATGCATGCCATTGTCCCGTCATGAGTGAAGAGCATATGTTAGAGACTTTCCCATCCTCTGGACGTGCGGATGCGGACATCGAGGAAACCGAGGACTTTGCACCCCCGCATCACCGACCACCAAATGCACTTCTCTACGCTATCTTTGTCGGTAAGATGGATCTAGACACCTGGTCCATTCTTTACCGCAGCATTTTTCACTGACCAACCAACACCCAGGGTGCTTCATTGCCAGTGCGGACGAGGCGCTGATGATCTCGACCTACACCTCGATTGCCTCCGAGTTCCAGCAGCTCACCCTGGGATCCTGGCTACTGGTCGCGTACAACTGCGGAAGTTGTGTTGCATGCCCGGTGGTACGTACGCCTCCAAAGTCGAGACATGGATATCATGCGTATCGACTAACCCGTAGTGGTGCCTGCGTAGATTGGCGCTCTGTGTGACATTTACGGTCGCAAAAAGACACTGTTGGGATCATATGCCGTTTTCATTGCCGGTAGCTTCCTATGGTATAATTGGCCCATAGTCAAGCTGGTCCGGTGTGATGCTAATGTTATGCAGCGGTGTCAGTGGCTCTCTGGTTACGTTAGCCGGATCGAGGGTGATTGCTGGTGTAGGCGGCGCTGGAATGGTCGCAATGACCTCCGTTATCATCACAGGTATTCATCTTTCATATCCGAACCGAGGTGTGCCAATTTGCGATTGACTAAATGTTTTGCTCAGATTTGATCCCACCCCACGAAGTGGCACTGTATGACGGCTACTCGAGCACTATCAACATGCTTGGCCGCAGTGTTGGACCTCCCCTTGGCGGGTTTCTGACGCAAACAGTCGGTTGGCGATTGTATGTATCCCTATTCCATGCCGTACACATTGAGGCCTGATGCCTTTCAGGTCGTTTTTGGGTCAGATCCCCTTCGCCGTACTGTGTCTTGTTGCTATGATGTGGGGTAAACCACCACCACTGGCTCACCTTGACCGTCAAGTGCATGGAGAGCCCAAGGAATCACACAAAAAAGACATTGATGTCTCTGGTATGCTATTTCTGACATTCACGGTTGTGGCTTTGAGCGCTCTGGTAGAGTATGTGACTGCTCCGGATGCAGAGGGTCAGAATGCAGCGGTCATTTTCTTTCTTTTGGTGGCTACTCTGGTGGCTGGTGTTGGGTTCGCCGTCGTGGAGGGATTCTATGCTACGAACCCGCTGCTACCAGTGCATCTAATAAAAGGACCCTTCGGGGCTTGGTGTCTGATGGAGCTTCTAATTTACATTGGGCGTGGCGCGGTAAGTCTCCCTGATAAGAAATTGCTCTCTGCCCTAGGACATACTGATGCACGGAATCATGGATAGCTCCTAACGCACCTAACTCCGTATCTCATCCGTGTCGAGGGCTGGAGTGATGCATGGGCATCTTTTGCGTTTGTTGGAAATGTTCTGGGTATCGCATCTGGGGGGCTTGCGGCTGGATATGCGATAAAAAGGTAGATCAGCATTCAGGTTCCCGCTGTGTTGGATTGACTCACTGATATGTACTCTTGGCAGATACAAGCGATATCGCAAACTCGGGATATCCTCTCATGCCCTCACCACTCTTGCCTACCTCCTGCTTTTCGTCGAGTGGCGCAATGGCTGCACGATCTGGCAAGCTGGTCTCCCCTCACTCCTGGGTTTAGGAACCGGGCTCATGTACACCGTCAATTTCATCGGCTTGGCCACCACCTCTCCGAAAGAAAGTATGCCCGCGTGTATTGGTACGATTGAACTTTGTGAATCTCTCGGGTTTATTGTGGGTCCTGCCATTAGCACCGCAATGATCCAGAAGATGTTTGCATATAGTCTCGCGATGACCATGCCCAGGGTGCCTGGCCTGTCCGAAGTAAGTTTTCGCCTAGTTACCAGAACTACTCCCATTGCAGTTCTGTGGTTGATTCGCTTCAATTAGACAATTCATCACATCCTCGATGACGCGCGGTTTTCCTTTACCCTTGGCGATGCCATCCAGCAGATCGCGCGGACTAGCTACCTGCAGGCTTTTCAATATGTACCACGTATGAGATACCCTGGATGCAAGAAATCCTTGACGCAATTGATGCACATCGGGGTTACTGACAGAATCTCTAGTCTTTGCCACGGTTTGCAGCGGAGCAGCGTTGGCTATTTTCATGCGTACCAATACCGGCGACCTGTTAGAATAACTAATGATCTGATTGTCTGGTGAATGCCATTCAAAGTATCGCGGTGCAACCAACGGGGATGACGAAGCTACTCCCTTCAATTGTACACAGTATTCAATCAGTCAAAAATGCACGAGCCAGACCAAAGCTTTCTAAGCTTTCTGTACCAACAGGAAGATCCCGCATCCTGATGAGATTGATGAACAAAGAAGCAAAGAAGCTAGTGAGAGACACCAGCAAGACTGCCCTCAAATTGGAAGTAATCATCATTTGTCGGGCTGTCTGCCATGCTCCGGCTATCAGTATGACACAAAGGAGATTCTATACCAGGAAGGAGGTGTATTTCACTCGGAACCGTCGATTCCCGTCTATAAAGGATGAAATTACAACTCTCGCCCAATCTCATAGCACATTCCATCTCTAGTGGCCCAAGTATATATTCAACATCCAACTTAGTATAGCCGAGATGATTCATAACTTCCATCCCACCCAGCAAAGAGCTTCGTAAGGATTTCACCTCTACTACAGAACGTCGGACTTGAAAGTTACCACATCTGCATATTTTATAATGGGTGTCTCGGGATCTCGCCATACGCGTGAGGAGCAAGCTGTTCCCTCGCCGAGCGAAGGGGAATCATCGGCATCTAAGCCTGAGGAAGACGACATCGCTAGCGCGTCGAGCGAAGACAGTTCTTCAATAGCTTCCGAAGACAAGTTCACTATTCCCCCGTTCGAGTGGGAACAGGAACCATTGAACCCTGCCACAGACGATTTAAACCTTAGGATTCCCCTCTGCGTGTATGGCCTCCTCCGACAGATCTTCCCCCCGGACGAGGGCTACCAACATACACACGTCACCCGGCACACGGGGGATGTCGACTTTCAAGTGCTGCACGTGGACCACCCTACTACAGGAAGGTTCTTTTGCCTAATGTCTGGACCCACGCCTTCAAGGGCCCCGTTCTGGTATTCATATTCCGTCTGGCTCGCGATGGAGCTGGATATCATGGAACGCCTCACCTCCCCGGAAACACCGATCACTGGGATGATCTGGCGCATGGGTGAATTTGGGCTATACGAGCGCCGTCGGATAGACGGAAGCATCGTCACGCCGCCAGGGACCATCTTTCATGACCGAAGGCACTCTTTCGATGTCGTCGAGTATTGGCTCTTCCTCGTGGAGTATCTTCTGGGGTTCAGGGGCGATGTTCACTATCGTGACATCCCAATGATCCCTGACGGGGCATAGACCTAGGGCTCATCTCCACTGTGTAGATCAGGCCTTTACCTGGCCCAGGCGTAGGCGTAGTTTTCTTAATCTTTCCACAATTCATTCTCCGATACAAAAGCCTGCCATTCATTATACCTGTTCTTTAGAATCTCAGATTGTTCATTTTGTCTCTTCGCAGTCTGCTGCTCACATTAGCTACTAATACTAAGCGGTAAATCATAACAGTGTTCATGAGTCAAACAACGTCAGCCGTCCAGGCGTCCTCAGATCTTAGATAGGTCTAGGTGGTCGGCTTTGTTTCATAATAGATAGCAAAATGGCAGAAGGGTAAAAGCCCGAGTGTTAGAGCTTCGAAAGGAGAGCTGGGAGCAGATGAAAAGGAACAATGAAAAGAAAAGAAGATGTAAAGCTCTTGCTATAGCAAATACACTAAATCTCAAGGCTAAGTTACGGGACCTCGATTCCTCGGGACTTGGGATCAGCGAATACTTGGGCGGATATACAGTTAGAGATGGCCGGGTTCCTTGACACTACCGGGATTTTGAACAAAAATGGTGTCAAATGTTTTACCAGCATCTTGGTGGCATAGTTGATATCATCATTATGACCCTCTTGGTCTCTCCTGTGGACCGAGCTGAAGTCACCATGCAGCTTTCATGTACTGTATGGACCGTACTGTAACTTAGCCATTACACTGGCAATACCGGAGGTAAGAGAGCTACACGTGAGTCGGCTGCGGTAATCTTGCGCCCCCGCTCATCTGAGCAAATAAATAATTAGCAGGAACCACGGCATTTCTTTCTCAGACATTGCATCTGTTTTGCATCTAATCCAGAATTGTACTGTACCTCACGATGACACCTATTCCACCCGCCTGGCAAGCCAGAGCCTCAGCCAAGCGTGAGGCGATCCTCTCCGCCATTCCCACCGAATGGCGCATCCCCGCTCCCATCCCCACCCCCGACCTCCAACCCAATGTGACCGGAACATACATCCAGCAATATCTTTCCCCGCGGGAGATTGAAATCACTGAATCCGACACCGAGGACATCGTCTCTCGCACGACAACGGGCACATGGACCGCCGTGGAGGTCGCATCGGCCTTCTGCCACCGTGCAGCCCTGGCTCACCAGCTCGTTTGTCTCCTCCCCAACCATTCTCCTCTAACCCGCACAACCCCCGTGCAACCCTAACCACGAAGAATAGGTCCCCTGCCTGCTTGAAATCTGCTTCGACCGCGCTCTGTCCACCGCAAAAGCACTAGACAGCTACTTCACCACCCACCAGAAGCCTCTAGGCCCACTCCACGGCCTCCCCATCAGCCTCAAAGACCAATTCCACATGTCGGGGGTGGAAACGACCATGGGCTACGTAGGCTGGATCGACACCTTCGAAGGGAAGCCACGCACCTCTCTCCCACCCCACGAACGAGACCAAGAAAGCGAACTGGTCCGCCTCCTCCGCGCCAGCGGGGCAGTCTTCTACTGCAAGACCAGCGTCCCGACCACCCTGATGGCCGGGGAAACCTGCAACAACATCCTGGGGTACACGTACAACCCGGTCAACCGCCACCTCTCCGCGGGGGGCAGCTCGGGTGGGGAGGGGGCATTGCTGGCGCTGCGGGGCTCGACAGTGGGGTTCGGGACGGATATCGGCGGGAGCATCCGCGTCCCCGCCGCCTTCAATGGGATCCACGGCCTGCGGCCCTCGGCCGGGCGCTTGCCCTTCGAGGGAGTGGCCAATTCGATGGATGGGCAAAACACTATCCTTTCGGTAGTCGGCCCGATGGCGACCAGTGTCCAGGGACTCAAGCTGTTGGTGCAGGCGGTGCTGGCGCAGGAGCCGTGGTTTGTGGATCCCTTGGTGGTGGAGATGCCCTGGCGCCATGCGGCGGAGGAGCGCGTACGGGCTGCGGCGGAGGACAAGGGGCTTGCTTTTGCGATCATGGAGGATGATGGCACGGTAAGACCCCATCCGCCAGTTCAGCGGGCGCTGGGGTTGGTCAGATCGTTGTTGGAGCAAAAAGGCCACCGGGTGAGTGGTGTCGCTTGCGGTGCAATGGATTCCAAACTTACCTAGTGTTTAGGTTATCGATTGGAATCCCCCGAGTCATGCCACAGCTTTCGATATCGCGGTACGTGCTGGACCCGGATTCCAACAAAAAAAAGTAAGAAGAACGCTGACCGCACAAGATGCAAGCATGGCACATGGACGGCGGAACAGACGTCCAAGCCCACCGCGCGCTCGCCGGCGAGGAACAGCTCCCTGAGTGCTTCTTGCAGCCGAGTGCGCACCTCAGCGCTGCACAGGTGGCAGCCCTGAATGTCAAGAAGCGCAACTATCAGAAAGCGTACATGGACTACTGGAACTCCACGGCCACACTCACCGGGACCGCACGGCCGGTGGACGCGCTGATCTGCCCAGCTTGCCCCTCAGTGGCGGTCCGACCAGGCAGGTTTAAGTACGGGGTGTATACCACCTTTGTCAATGTCCTCGACTATTCCAGTGCGGTTCTCCCGGTCACGAAAGTGGATTGCGTGGTGGACGGGGAGCACAGACCGGCTGTGCCCTTGAGTGAGATGGATGCTGAGGTTCGGTCAGACTGTAGGTATCTGTCTGGTGAATATGAATGAAGCACACGCGCTAACGGTCGCAGATGAATGCGACGATTGCCATGGCTCTCCAGTTGCGCTGCAGCTGGTGGGCCGCCGCTTCGAAGAGGAGAAGGTGTTGAGTCTGGTTGAGTACGTTGAGGGTCTTATTAATGAGGCTACCCAGAGGATGTAGCCATCGGGGTATCCTAATGTCAAATTGGCAAAATTCTTTTTCAAGTTGCGGTTGCTGGCATCTTCTCAATTTGTATTCATTTACCCCCTCGAGGTAAATTTATTGCCTTAAACTATTATGCCAGCGGCACTAGTGTCGCATGTCTGTGGCTCCCCAGTACTCCCCTTTTACGTTTCACGTTGCATAAAACTGCACCCTCTGCGACACGACGAACTTCGAATCCTCTACTGTCATCCTCTGAGTAGACAACAATTCTCCGCGCAGCACTACTCCGCCTCCGCCTCGCCCTCCCCGGTCGACACCGCAGCATACCTCTGTCCCCCTTTCAGCCACCGCGTACGAAGAGCATAGAATCCCGCCCCAATCACCCACAGCACGATCAGAATAGCCGCCTGAAACGGCGCAAACACCGCCCCACGCGTCACCACAAACCCACTCACCAGCGCAAAAACAATCGGAATCCCCAGAAAGGGCTTGTAGGGCCGCTCGAGGTCCGGTTCGCGGAAGCGCAGCATGATCGCTCCAACCACCGTCAGGAAAAAGAACGAGTACTCTCCCAGACCATTGAAGGTCAGCAGATCTCGGAAGTTGCCAAAGAGAATATAGAAGATTGGCAAGATGGTCGATAGGACGATAGCGTTGATGGGTGCATCGGAGCCGAGGCTGTAGTTCGGGTCGGAGGAGGGCCGTCCCAGCTGACCGATAACTCCCAGGAGTTGCGGCAGCCAGTTCCTGTTGGCAGCTGCAACGACCATCCGGCCCGCAACAAAGGAGTTGCCCAGCAGAGATCCGGCGACTACGAGACAGATCAAGATCGCGGCGATGATGCCGGCTGCGGGGCCTAGAAGATGCGTTATGGCGGTCTGATGGCTTTAGCTGCGCCCACGAACAGAGACAGTAGGATTGAAACGTACAACAGCCACACTATCAGTCGTGGAGACCACGTTCCATGGTAGGAGAATGTAGTATGCCGCATTTGCCGCAATGAAGCAGAGAATAATGATAGGCACGGCGGAGTTGATAGCCAAGGGAAGCTGGCGCGCCGGGGCGGAAAGTTCTGCGCTGATGTAGATCGCCTGGAAAAATGTCAATGACTCCGCCGGCCGCTGTAAGAGGTGCCTTACCTTGTCCCAGCCAGAATAAGCCCACAGTGCACCGTACAAGGCGGTCGAGTAATACCCCAGCATCTCCCACCCAGCGACGTCATGCCAGTCAATCAGCTTTCCATCCGGAGTGACAGTGTTGCGATAGCCGAACCAGGGATTCTGGAACCAATCTCGGGACCCATGGGCACTGTCGGACTTGGCCAGATGGGCGATAACAACACCAAGCCCCGCTAGCACCACCGCAGCGATGGTGACGAACTTGGTGCTGACGAAGAACCCATTGAGCCGCGTGCTGACCTTGGTACTGATGGAATTCGCAACACTGACCACGACAAGGATCAAAATCGACAGCAGCTTGTGCGACAGTGCAGCAGCCTGATCAGTCACGCCAGCCGCCGAGTAGATGCTCTCGACGAAGACGATGCTGAGAATGGCCAAGGTGGCCGGCATGACGGCAATGATCCACGTCCAGGCTGCCAGAAAACCACAGAGGTCACCGAAAATATACTGCAGATACGGCTGCACACCACCTGGATGGTATCCTTTTAGCGACCGAGAAAAGCGGGGATGGCAATGTAGTGGATGGATCGGTACCTTCACCAGGAATGGCAGTGCCCAGCTCGGCCATAGTCGTGGCGCCGGTCCAGGCTAAGATCCCACCCACAAGCCATACCACAAGGGCCACTCCGGGCGAAGGAACATTGGTGTCGATTGACCCGGGGGAAGTAAAGATTCCACTTCCGATCACGATGCTGATTACGATGCCGAAAGCTTCGACGGTGCCAAGGTTTCGCTTGAAGGCACCGGGGCGGTGATCTTCCACGGTCGCACCTTCTTGGGCAGTGGCTGCATAGTTTCTCTCATCTGGCTGCGTGAGGAGCGGCTGGATGGCTCCATCCTGGCTGTCACGGGTAGAAGCCATGATTGCGATGATTGTTGGGTAGTGGGAGGATGTTGATAAGCAGAGAAACAAATGCGGGAGTCACTTCGATGCGATCACGCCATCAGACGCGCAGACTGATGCTGCCTCTACCCCGCACTTGATTTCCCCGTTGAACCTGAACTCGATCGGGAAACAGAAGAGGCCGGTGGATGTGTCCACAAGAAGGTCACTCACTAAATGTCTCCGGGAGAAGTTGCGAGAATGGAGAGAAGCTGGTTTGATATTATCGTCGCTGACCGCCTGGATGGTTGACGCTCACATGTGACTCCTCCCTTATCCGCTGCCACTAAAGTCATATGACCAGTTCCTGTGTGCCTGAGGCATCATCCCTCTCTCAAACCCAACATTCAGAAAGGTACTGTAGTGTATGGATTGCATTTTAACTGACATGCTTACTTGCTTCCTTTTCGCTGAGTCAATGAGAGGTGGTCAAGCTTTGATCCTACTACAGTTCGACACAGATAGTTTCGTCATGTGATATTCGGGCTATCGACTTGTCTGTACACACACATTACATTACTCTAAATCTAACATGATCTCTAATGTGTCGCTTCGTCGAGGTTGATGTTTCGGCTTAATACAAAAACGACATTGGGGTAGCAGCACCGCGCGAGACGCTGCGGTACTCGTGGACGGCAAGGTGAGTTCCTCCCCCCTTTACTGTCTCATCATCAGACCCAGGATCGGGAGGCGTGAATTCTCCGTCAGCGATGGGCCGGATGTAATAATGGTGGCTATCTTCGACCATGCCCACGTGCCAGCGATCCTGAAGTTCGCGACCCGTGGGCCCTCCTCCGCATGCCCCATGCAATCGTTCCGTCGGTGGACTATTGATCGCCAATGCGAACATACTCGAAGGCTCGGTGAAATCATTGAGGAGGCGGCCGCGAACTTCGACCATGAAAAAGGCCATGAAGAGGACACTCGTGAGGAAGGCCAAGACAAGGACGACGTAGAAGCTCTTCTGCCAGTTGACGGCGTGGCCAGAAGCATAGCCCGATGACTGAAGAGTGGCGTTAAAGATCTGTTGCACCGGAGAAGGGAGGATCTGATTCGCATAGCCGCTATAGTTCCAAAAAGGAACGTAAGGGGCATCCTGACTACTAATCATAAGAGTGACACTGGTCAGGACCGCTATGGCTTCCGCAACCGAAGGTACGTTGGCATTCAGGGACGCAGTGTTGCTGCTGTTGTCGTAGGCAGGAACCATCTGGGTCAAGAGCCGTTCAATGCTGGCGTCTTCTCCTGCGATTCCGGATCCTAGACTGACGGCATCCAGCCACAGCCAGCCAACGCTTTTCCAATTGATGTCGTAGTTGTCTTCTACGACACCCGGAACCCGACGGCTGTACTGGAGCGTGTCTGTGGGATCTTCACAACGGGTGCTCAGCTCGGCCCCGCTTGAGTCCACCTGGTATTGGGCCGAGCACAAACCAGATTGCTTGGCTTTTAATGCACAAAGGACATAAGCGGGATCGTGACCGGTGGGGGCGGTTCCCAGCAGATAGAGAGCAGATGAGTTCTCTACCTTGGCATTGAAAATCGTGTTGTACTCGGTCGGATAGATTGGGAAGACAGGAGCCGGGTGGTAGGTGCCAGGCGCAAAACCGAAGACCTCGTCCACCACAGTTTGATTTGTGCTCTGATAATATGCGGGAGCCTCTGTGTACCACGTTGTGGAGTTGAAGGGCTCGTGATCGGGCCATTCCGTGTAGATGATGGGCTCCAGCTCTTCCTTCGACAAGCCTGCACAGAGTACATTGACCGCCGGGGCAGGCACGGAGGCTTGGAGAATGTACTTCCCGTCTCCAGTGGCCCCATTCGGCTGCCGGATCCCATTGCGAGGATTGCGCGCCGCCTCGTATAGTCCTCCATGGGGAAACGCGGCAGTAACATTGTTCACCATTCGTTTGTATTTCTGGGAGGTTGCCTTCATGTCCGTGACCTCGATCCAACTTCCAGTGACGGTAGTATTATCGTACAATGACCCATGAGGCTTGATACGCGTTCTCAGTGACGTTGAGGTTGCATTGTTCGCCTGCGCTAGCCCACTCCATTGTTGCATGTATTGCTCGAAGTCGTGGTAGGCCCGACCGACAATCTCCATAGAAACGCAGGTCTCGTTCCGGCCGGCGGAGGGGTCGATCGTAGCGGTGATAGGAGTGTCGCACTGGGCTTCGAGGTAGGTGGGATTCGCGAAGGAGGTAGACACGTTGCCATAGAGTATTCGTTCGTAGACGGGGCCCATCGCTGACTTGGGGGACACTGCGAGGTGACATGGAATCAGCACTAGGAACGACGGGCGAAGGGAAGTCGATCGGTCGATCTCTTACCAAGAGCTTCCGCAGCAGTGGTGTAAAGCATCGAAACAAGAGTCGCAATTAGTGCAATAATGCCCAGGAGAGTACCTCCAGAGTAGCGCAAAGTCTCCCACTGCATGAACAAGGACCCCGGCTGCGTGATCCACATCCGCAGACTCATGTCCGAGATGCTGATGCCTCGCGACCCTCGACGCAGGGCTCTGCGGCTGAGCAGCTGGCCCACAAATGCTACACTGACCGTCACATAGCACAACTCGATGGTTTTGGCGAAGAAGGCGCTGAGGAGGGTAGCTGAGGAGGGCGCCAGGCCACCGGTGTCGCCGATGAGGCTGCCATAATACGGTTTGAGGCAGGCAATGATAAGAAACAGGCCTGACAGGAGGGTAGTGTATGTGGAAAGAACAATGAGAGTTGCAAAAAACCACGAGCAACAGCGTTCGATGACGGGTTCGCGCGAGGGGCAGTTCATCAACTGGAAGACATCGTTGGAATCTAGCTCACTGCAGGTTGTGTCACGCCGCTGCGGAGGCGAGCCGGGACTGGGGCTGGATGTAGGACTCGCAACAGGTTTGACTCCCATATCGCCATCGTCCTCGGTCGGGGAGAGGGTGGTGTTGAGGTGTAAGTCGACGTCGTGCTGGAATTCGAGCAGGTGGTGTTCAGCGGTAGATTCAGAAGCCATCCCTGGCAGATGGTTGAGAAGTTGGTTTGTTTTGATCTTGCCTCATCCGACCTGTCAGCCGCAACAAGAGGGGGTGGGGAGATTAGTTGAGGGTGAAAAATGGAGTCGATGGAGTTGTGTCAGACTTCATCCTGCGTGTCAAGCGTTTGGGGGCGATGGGGGAGGGGGGGGAAGACCCAGATTAGCCATAGCCATCAGCCATCAGCCATCAGCCCGAGAAACAGTTAATTTCAGGAAATGAGGGAATTTCCTGCGGCTGTGCTAGCCTGGTGAATCCCCGTCGCAAAGCAGTCGAGAGATTGGCCCAACACATCATTGGGGAAGACTTAGTGAATTAGTGAATTAGTTGTACAGTACAGGGAAGGACCGGGAAGAACAGGGACTAGACCAGGGGACAAAGAGGCTGGACGGACTCCATGGAGCTTGGATTCTGGATCGGAGGTGGGAAGAGATCGAAGTCCACTTGGGAAAAGGCGGACCGAGCGGTGGGGAGCAGCCGATCATCGGCCCTAGATTGGTTCGTCGACTGTCACATCATGTGACGACTCGGGATGATAGAAGCGGTGGGGAGCAGGATGTCACGTGCCTGATCTATCTCCGACTTACCCCATTGGGATTGGGCTGTAAGGCTCAGCTACTAGGTAGAAGTAGAACTGGTTGGTGATTAATTATGACCATCTGCGACCAGTCTAATGCCGTATATTAAGCTCCACATCTTCCTATCCCAAACACTGATCTTCTACGATCCGATGGCTTTCGCACTAGCCTTTGTTTCTAATTTCAAGACTTTCTTGATACATCCCGCCCAGATGGAGCGGAAAATATATCTTCGTTTCAGCCGCCGGTTAGTCTCAGAGACGTGTCTGAGCACGGTTTCCCTTGTCACCTCCAAACAGCAAGGGCACTTCGTAAAGAGATCATCGAAGGAAAGGGTAGACTACATCTCTAGGAATCGGATCATAAGGAGCCGAGGCAAAACAGATTACAGCATGTTATAGTATTTACAACAATTTGTCTCACACTGTTCAGCGACCCATGCCCATGGGAATAATAAAGCCTTCCAGGACCAATGCACGACAAGGATGGATGCCATGCGGTAAAGCCAAGACTAGCAAAGTAACGCAGCTTTGATGTAGAGGAGCATATGTCATATCCAGTCGCTAATCAATTATGTGTGCAGTCTGTACTCATGGTTCCAGCAAAGTAGAACGGGTCGTAGGGCTGTTGACGAGACTAAATATGAGGTAGTCCGCACCTACCATAACTACCCCTACAGTACACACCAGGCTGGCATCGCGTAAACATCATAATTTGTCCTATGTTTCCGAAGTTAAGTCATCCAACTGTTTTGCTTGAACAGAAGAGGAAATTTTCTCGGGCCCGTTGGCCCCCACGACCAGGGGGGCTGAAGAAGCATCCCCCACACAAAAACCTGCAATTACTGCAACCATTGGCCTCCTCACCATCGTGACGTACAGACTGCTTCAAGGCGAGGATGTGATTGGTCAGTTCTTTAACGTCTCTGCAATGGACTACACCAGAACTCGAGCCACCAAGGCAAAGGATTCCCATTCTACCAAATCGCCCCCAGAATTCCGCTTCTGTTAGCCTCAAGAGATATTCACCGAGCTATATGTGTTGCTATATGTGCTATGTGAGGCAGAATGGTGAAGAAAAGGGGTGGAGGGTCATGCGTGCTCAAAATGTATATAATGCGCGACTGAAGCTGGAGAGCAGCGGGTCTACTCCACTGACACACCAATACAACACTTCGACCATATTCTCCTGATCAAAATGAAGTTCTCAATTCTTCTTGCTGCATTTGTCAGCACTTCTATGGTAGGCAATACTCACTCTACGTCCCATATGCATACTAACTACTCAACAAGGCCCTGGTGACGACCCGGGTGCCAAAAGGGTACACCGTCGTGCCAATGACCTACAGAGGCGTTATCACTGAGGGCGGCGACGAAGTGGAATTGTCCGGAACAATTGAAGACGTCCACCAGCAGATCAAACGTCTCAATCCCGACTTCAACGTCACCCAGTCTCTCGAGGTTCGGGAGGCGGACGCCGAGGTCCACCGCATCCTCCAGAAAAGAAACAAGGTCTTCCGACCAAGATCCAAACATAAACCATAGGACTGCCTGCCACTGACACTATGGCTTAGAGTAACTTGCTGTGCAACATCGAGGGCGACCACTCCGAGACCGCCACCTACACATGGATCACCCAAGGGATCCAATATCTGCTCGCCTTGGATGGGGTATGCAAAGTGGGTGCCGGCCCTGGCACCTGCGCCCGAATCAGCTGCTCCTACGACTCGGGTATCTATCTCTGCAATGACGTAAGGGTTTTGGCTGCTTCCCCAGTTGAATCGGGACGTGGAGAATGAGGACTAATTGGCGAGCAGAATGCGTGGGAAATAGAGCCCAAGTGCTCGTACCTGGCAACCTATGCCGAAGATATCATGACGCAGTGCTATGACGGGATGTATATCAACGGCCAGGAGTTCGATACGGACAATTACAATGTCATTGTCGCCGGCGACCTTTGCTAGAAAGACATTGGCTTCCCCATCAACGGGCGGGAGACAACTTTGTTGCTGTTGGGCGGACTGGTTTGCTGCGAGGAGCATGCTTGTCTTGTCGTTGTGTTTTAGTTTGTACTGTAACATTAGTTCATTCGGTTCGTGTTTGCTAAAATAACGGATGTTAATTGTGCCGTGTACATATACTCAACCACAATTTATGGTACCTGTGCACGTAGTATCAGCAGATAATCAATAATTCGTAGGGTGACTTCGTGGTTTGAACAATTTGGAGGTTGGAAACCTTTCAATTGAGCACTGCTCGTACCTGTAAAAGCAGAGTAGCAAATTAGCTAGGGAAAAATTGCAGGTAGTAAAAGACCCACCTCGGAGCATTATAAGCTCCCACAGGTAGTGGAAGGTACTACTACCAGTGCTCCTTGATAATGACTTCCATGATGTAGGCTATAAGTCTGGCATCATTTCGCATATGGAACACGGCTTTTCCTGCAACATCGATAGGGTAGCCCTGGCCATCTTCTTCGAGCCGATAGAATCGGGAGAACTTACCGACGACGACGATCCCAAAGACAACTTTCGGCTCCTCCTGATCGGGGAGGTGTCTCATCGTATGCACCATCTGTGTCATGAGGTTTGCCTCGCGGTCCCACCGATCGAGATCGTCATCGCTGGAAGGGAAGCGCTCCAACTCCACATTCAAGAAGTTTGCGCCTACCCACCTAGACGATGCCGTGATGCGCACACTGAGCGTTCCCCGGTTGTTGATGGCAGAAGTAGCACTGCTCACATCGTAACCGGGGAAATTAGGCCCCATGTGCTGCGACGGGAAGAAGTGCTCAAGGATTTTGAGCCAACATCCCAGCATCTGCATTGCGTTCACCTGATCGTCTGGGATTGAGTTGGCAATGCCAGTCACGGCGTCGGTGCCATCGTCAACCGCGGCAGAGAACATCTGTGGGAGACTTGGAATCTGAGTTTGAGGCTGAGGCTGAGGCTGAGTACCGGATTGACCGGCAGCCTGCTGATTCTCCGCCATCTCGCTTGCAATAGTAGGCGTCCGCACCACTTGGCTCTGGTCAGTCGCGATTTTCAAAGTTATGCTATGTTGGTAATTTTGGTGGATGGATAACCGACAGGTAGCGGGATTCTCCAAGTTTATCGTTGTACCAAAGGAGAAAAATAGGGGGACTAGTGCTTTATACTAAGTCTACATCTTGAAGAGACGGCGCCGAAGCCATTATGGTACTGGTAATTCCCGTGGAGAATGTTGCTTAGCGAAGCATTCTCACAATTTCCGGTAAGTATAGGAAAGGCTGTCGACAAAATCGGCGAAAACCGCAATGCTCGTCCCACAGAAAGAAAGGTCTCAGAGCAAACCCCGGGATGTCAGCAAATTAATAGTGAATAGATGGGGTATACCATGAGATCTTCCGCCGAAAATTGTTGACAAGAGAACAAAGAGTTTGATAGCTTTGTACGTACAAGTTCATCGGAGACACGAGAACATGTGTATGGAAGTACGGTACTCCTATCCAGTCGCTATGATAGCAGCTGCACCATCCCCGGAAATAACTGATTGTGTAGAACTGCTATATACTGAATACCATGCACACTGCATATATCCACCCTCGCGGCAGACAGACATCAAGCAGAGCACAACCCTGCCAATTTATCCACAATACCAGACTCAAGTATAAGCCATAATCGAATTAAACGTCCAAAAAGCATACTTGAAATCCCCCGGCACATTCTTCACATAATCCTCACAAGACCCATACCCAGTTTTGGCCGCGCACCCGGAACTCGACCACGTCCCACTCGCCCAAGTTCCACAGAAAGTGGTGTCGATGACAATCCTTTGATTTTTGACATGTGTGGACATATCACACCCACTTCCATTATTACTCTCAAAAACCGTAGTCGGGGTTCCCCAAGTATCCGGATTCGGAGAAGACCCCAAGGGCCCGCTTGCGCCACTGGGAATGGCACCCCGGGGGAAGAACCAGATGCGTACCGCTTGGGCGGTCCACTCCATGGCATAAACACCTCCACCATTGTTGTTGAATCCCGATCCGAAGCTGTTGGTGCGCGGGTCGTTGGCGTCGCAGCCGCCGTTGGCCTCTTCGGCGCAGTTGTTCCACCGGTCCTTGGTTGCGGTCATAGCAGGGTTGGAGGTAATGGTGCATTGGCCTTGTTTGTTGCTGACGTGCAACGACATCTGGTTGTTCTGGGCGTTGTTGGCGTTTTCGACGATGTCAATCTCGCCGCTCTGTGGCCAATCGTCCGAGGCGGCGGTCATCCAGAAAGCGGGCCAGGTGCCGCAGACTTGTGGCTGGTCATTTTGATAAGAAAGAGGATTGGAGCATCAGAGGTGGGGGAAGGGAACCGTACCATATATGCGATATCTGCCACGATGAGAGTTCCCGGGCTGTAGGCCGTCTTGCCGGTCAGCCGGACACTCTTGCGACCCTCATTGCCGACCTTGTTGGTGTGGTCCACTCCGAGATAGATGTTGCCCCCGTTGCCGATGAGGCCGTTGCTCCAGGCTGAGGCTTCGTCGACGTATTGCACAAGACCGTTGGTCGGATCGGCCCCAGTCCAGAAGGTGAACTTGCTGAAGAAGTCTTGGTAATTGTTGCCGGTGTAGCTGTCCTTGAGAGTATAAGCTTGGGTGATTGCTGGCCAGACCAGGGCAGTTGCTGCCAGGAAGAAGGTTTTGGGTGCCATCGCGAAAGAAGTTGATCATGCAAGCTCACCGGTGGCTGCGAGAAAAGTGAAGTCGTGCCCCAGGCGTACAATATATGCGATGCGACCGAGAACACTTCGCCGAAAAGGCATCCATTGACTATGCTATATACCTATTGATGCTAAGTAACCTCGTTGACTGATTAGGGGGGGCATATTCTCTCCGAGTGAGGGCTGTTCGACCCGATCGGGAGAATGGATACCCGCTATTTCAGGCCAGGCTGACGGCCCGTCAGTGAATACGAGCCTGATGAGACAGTGCGAAACACCAACGCACCGTTGCTAATCCATCCATCAAGTAATGTGTAAAGGTCCGAGACTAGGGCATCCTTCGGCCCCAGGACTTCAATAAAGCGTTATCGTCAGGGGAAAGCACCAAGACATCGGAATCCCACGGCACCCGATTGTCTTTCAGGAAGCGACAGGTCTGCCACCTCGTCACGAAGGTCAACTTTGCGTGATTGCGAACCTGACCACGCGCCAGTATGACTTGGAGACAATGACATCAAAATGTCACACGATGAGTACGCACAGATCTTAGGTAGTAGAGGTATGGTCACCTTCAATTCACTAGTGCGTGGAAGAAGTCATGATTTGAATGTCATATCCGCCCAGACAAGGCACGACACAGAGTCGACATATCCGGCCCCGTTGTCAGGTAAATCATTATCATTCATTGCGTCTATATACCTACATACTCGTTACCCATCACGCTGCCAAGTGAAATACAAGAATAAGCGTCAGCGCCGAACCCTACATGCAACCTTACAACACTTCTGTCATCAGTTCATCAGCATGTGTATCGCACCCACCAACCCGTTTGCGCATCCTGAGCCATGTAGACAGCGTCTCGATGCTCCAGAGTCAAGTGAAACTGCAGTTGCTCTTTGCAGTCCATGGTTCCGACCAGGGCCTCGTGGGGCCCAGGGGTCTGCGGCCAGTAGGAGAAATCGGCGGCGCCGATGCGGGTGATATTGCCGGGGGCGACGTTCTCGAGAACGCGGACCAAGGCGTTGGAGCCCGCGGTGAAGTTGCGGTGTGCGGGGATAGTCCAGCCGAGGGTGCAGTGGCGGGCCTCGGTGGGCAGAGTGAAGGTCATCAGTTGGTCCCATTGAGTGGTGGCGGAGCGGGAGAGATTCAAATCCGGGGTGGGAAAGGGAGAGGCGGCGGGTTCGGTCGGGAAGATCAGCTCCATCTGCGGCTGGAAGACTTGCGTGCCTGAGGCAGGACAGCTGATTTGGGTGTCTTCCGTGCTGTAGCTATAGTGGTGGTGGTGGTTGTTGTTGTTGGCCGGGTTGTCCGGACAACCCGCCTCTAGGGCGCAGGGATCGACAGAGCAGCACCCCCGGAAGTGATTCAGATAACACGCATAGAAGGTCGTCCCTGCACCGCACTGCGTATCATCGCGCGGAGACAGCGAGTGTGGAACATTTGGGTCGGTCGTGGGAAGAGCCACAGACAAGGACAAGACCGCCGTGCTGGCAAGGAGCGCTTGTCGGAAGAACATTCTTGGAGGGATTTTTGGCAGTTCGGAGTGATAAGATGGGGAATGTGCCAGGCGAGGATGCAGGGATGTGAAGAGATCTGGAATGCAACAGATCGAGGGCGAAGGCGAGTATCTTCATTTATATGTTGGACGCGATCTCCTCTCCGCACCATCGCAGGAGGTGGATGCAAGGTGCACCCCTCATCCCTGCCAAAACCCTGGATGGGGAGATCATCATGTCCCCGGCCATTGCTCACGGAGCCCACCCTGGCTCAGGATGTTCTCATTAGCCGAATTCTTGTCCAACTGAACAACGGGCTGCCAGGTCTCGATTCCTAGATTGTACCACGATCACAGTGGCTGGGTTGGTGGAAAGATAGGGCAGGGCATCCGCGCTCCGAAAGTCCGGAGGTAGAGACAGTAACTTAGTACGGAGTAGACTCCACCGCCTAGCGGAATGACAGCGAGTCTCTGGTCCCTCCTCGATCGCCAATGCGCTATGATCTCATGTCTACATGTCCGAGGCAGCAGTGAGTAAGTTTTCGACTCACATGAGCTCGTTTGCTCTCCGCCTGCAAAGTCAATTGCATTCGGGGCTGATGATCGATGCCGGCTGCCGGGGGTGCACCTGGCCTGCAATCATGGTTCCGCTGTCGATCGCTCAGCGATCGCAACCGTCACACCAATGTGTACTTGAATTGCCTGCCTAGGGCCGAAAATTTGAGATCTGCTGGGAAGTGAGTTTTATTAGGATCAGCGATGTATCGAGCCAGTGGACAAGACATTGATCGCGTACCTAGCAACCGTCTTCTTTGGGAAGAACTCCTGTGGCGGACGATTCCGAGTCACGATTCACGATATGTTACAGCTCCTTGTGCTGAGTTGCAGGTATGCGGCTCACTATATGGATTAGGATCGAAAATTCTGTTAACATGACATAAAAAGCGGCCAGCGCTGCTGCGAAAACACCCGTAGAAGCAGCAACCGAGAAGGATGGTGCCTTCATTGAAAGAATGCTGCAACAAACGCCATGTTCCGTTCAGAAACACCGAGATAAATGCACCGAATAGAGCAGACTCACTTCATACAGATTTGAAACAGGATTTCATCCGCATTTGGGGCCATAATGATTCATTATGATGAACAAAGGAGGCTGTTGTCTTATCCCTTACCCCTCAATTATCCCTCTACTCCTACCATCGACTCCAACCATGGATTCACGTGTTCGGAAGCGAGCCGATACCGTCGTGCAGTTGGCCCCCAAGCGCCCCCAGCGTCTTGTTCTCCCACGCCGTCCCTGAATCCTTCGCCCTACAGTAGACGGTCTTGGCACCTCGCTTCCATCCCCATCGCATACTGATCGTATACTGATTGGGCATATCTCGCCCCCTACCTAGGCTCCATGTGGACCATGACCGTCGATCCTTCGCGATCAGGGTCCTAACGGTCTGTTCGAAACGATCGAACTCGGCTATTTTTGTCTCTCTTTGTCGCATGATGGAGCGGAAGTGCAGATCGGGACCTCGACCCGGTGACAGGTCATTGACCCCTCAATTGGTTTTTTTGGCAGCCAGTAACACGCCATTCACGGCAGCTCTCCTCTTCTGGCTGTCGAGATCCCATGTATTGTGCTCTCTGCTGGTGTCACCATCAGACGATGTGCACAAGCTGAGTGCTGCAAAAATAAGCCGGTGGTGGAACAGTGTCCAAGATCCGCAGTTCTGCAGGTAACGTATACTCTAACCCGATTTGGTGCTTTGTTGGAGACCAGTTCGCTCCGAGCTTCGTTGGGGCCAAAAGCACATGGGCAAGAAGGGTTCTGACAGCCACGCGAAGATCTACTGAATCCTGCTGGCACGGGTTGACGCTTCTATACTCGTATAAAGGCGGCCAGACTTCCAGGCTGTTCACATCTATCACCATCACCATCTCATTCTACAAAATCACCGGTACCCGGAACACTTCCACACTGATCTAATCTGCATTTCCGCAATGGCAATCCAAAGCACGCTTAGTTTGGCCCTCCTGGGCCTGTCTGCCTCGACCGTGGCCCAGACTGTCGATGGCTCCAAGTATAACTCACCCACTGGTGGCCCACCTTCTAGCTACTTTGCAGCGGCCTCATCCATTCCAGTTTCTGCGATTCAGTCGGCTGCCGCTAAGGCAAGTGGTGTGCCGTCGTTGGCCACCTACCCAGTCAACACCGACAAGAACTCCCCTAAATCGACCATTCATAATGACTGGGTCAAATTCAGCGATGTATGTTCGCGGGCCACAGCTTACAGAAGATCTGTGCTAACCGCAGTAGGGAGCGGCCCTAAGCTGGGTCGCTGACATGGATGTGGACTGTGACGGAATTGACTACAAGTGCTCGGTAAGTCCTTACTGTTCTTTCTATCTTTCTCTCGCGAACAGTACTGACTTCCAGATCCATTAGGGCAACGGGGATGGCCAGCCGGAGACCAACTGGGGAGCTCTCGCCGCCTACGAAGTTCCCTTCATTGTCATTCCCGACAAGTTCCTGACCGCCAACACTGACCTTCTCCCTGGGAACAACGTCGCTGCTGTGATCTGGTAAGCTCCTCAGGACATATACGTAGAGAGAAGCTGACAACCGCAGTAACGGCAAAATGTACTACGGCATCTTGGGAGATTCCAACGGCGACGACCCCGAAGTCACCGGAGAAGCCTCCTGGCTGATGGCCCGGACCTGTTTTCCCGACGAAGGCCTGAGTGGCGACAAGGGCCACACAGCTGCCGATGTGACCTGTATGTGATCTTCCCTTCTATGCTCCCCGATACCCATTTCCCAGACCTAACGATGGCAGATATCGTCTTCACCGGCAAGGACGCCGTCCTCCCCAGCAGCGCCCTGGGCAAAAACTACATCACCAACTTCACCACCCTCCGGTCCATGGGCGACAAACTGATGGGCGCATTGGCCTCCAAACTGGGCTTGGGCGGCGCCGCTCCCAGTGAAGGGCCGACTTTCTCGGCTGCGGCGACAACCCTTACGAAGACTACCTCCACAACAACCAGTGCTGCAAGTCCGACAGAAACAGACGAGGACGAGTGTTCGTGGTCGGGTCACTGTGAAGGTAAGTCCACTGTCTCCACTGGGGGTCATTGAACTAACGGCTTAGGTGCCACTTGTTTCTCTGATGATGATTGTTCTGATGACTTGGTGTGCGATAGTGGGAGCTGCAGCGCTGAGTAGAGGGGGTGATGTAGTTCCAGGGGGTTAAGGAAAATCGGACCACACCATATATGTATTATGTAAGCTCTCGTAGGATGGAATTGGAGTTTTGTTCTGAATTTACATCATTATCGTCGTTCCTCCACTTCTTCCTCCGTATCTCTATCACATCCCACATGGTCGCAGTGCCAAGCAACAGCGGTGATTCGCAACTACTGATACTTCGTGCGGCCAACCATGTCAAGCATGAAGTTCACTTCTTGGAGTCCGCACCGCATATTTGAATCATGGCGTTTACCCTGTCATTACTCAGGAGCAAACAAGCTGTATCAAGCAGCCTCATCCAGAACAGCCTGACTGCGCCAATCCACCAGAACATCATCCGCATCCGCATCCGCATCCGCATCCTCCACAACATACCAATTCCGCACCACGGCCGTCCCATCCACCACCGTCTTCCAGACCTCCGGCTCACAACTCCCCGGATACAGAATATAGCACCTAGCCTTTGGCACCGGCTGCCGCTCATTCTTGATACTCCAGGTATCCCGCAGCCCGACCGTGCGAAAGTCATCCATCACCTGCACCAACCCGGAAGGGATATCCCGATCGAAGGTCGCTCGATTAAAGATCTCCAGCGACGCGAGCGGCTGATAAGAAGGCACCTCGTGACCAGCCTGATATACCCGGGTGAAACTGAAGTTACCCAGCTGTCTCGTCATGCCCTTGACCCCCTCCGAGGTGAGGAGCGGGGTGTACCCGGCTGCGGCGAAGTCCTCGGCGCGGGAGTAGGGCACCGCCAGGCTGGCCGCTTCGCCTCCGAGCCAGTTACAGGCGAAGTCGCGGTCGCCGTACATCATGTGCACTTTCACGCCGCTGTCGAGCAGGTAGGCGATCGCGTCGAGGAAGCCGCCGTGGTCGACATCGATGGCGCCGACGAAAGCGTCGCTCACGGCGGGCGAGGCCCCGGTGAAGTTGACGGGGACGCCCAGAGCGGCGAGAACGGATTCTTGGGTGAGGTATCCCAGCCATGCTGCATTGACATCAGTACGAGGTGCACAACACTGGTCCAAGGGGGCTCACATTTTGGGGGAAATGGATCATGCTTGGGATGTGTAATGTCGTACCAGGAATGCTGGTTCCTGCTATCAGCTCTCTTGTCACCATGATGAGGAGGGAAACTCACGTTTAACTCCCTCTCATATAGCTGAGGCGCGCCCCCTGCGCAACCCTGCTCGATCCCCTCACAAATAGAAGAGATATTCGGCGACGGGACGACGCCCGCATCGCGATCCCTCAACGCCGCCTGACACTTGACCAACCGATCGCGACAACCCCCAGGACGCTCCCAATGATCCAAGAGCGCTTCGTAAGTCGACTGATTAAAGATCTCGATCCCGTACGTCTGCACCACATCAGCACCGACCACCCCAACCCAACATCCACCCCAGCAACGGACCTACATTATTGTACCCAAGGTGGATATACGACTCCCCCTGCACCAACGAATCCACCAACCCATTCACAATTCCCAACGTATCCAAGTGCAAATACCGTGCCCCAGGCTCCGCCACCCCTTTCGCGACCCGCTCATTCTGCTCCTGAAAGAACCGAAAGAACCCAGGCCCATAGTGACCGCCGTAACTCTCGGCCCACAGACTGATGCGATCATCGCGCGGCCGGTACTGCGGAAACTCGAAGAACCAGGTCTGCACGAACTGCCACAGCGCGGGCGCCGCATGCGCCGTCGTATCCGCGGTCGCGTTCACCTGCTGGCTGGCAAAGGTGCCCACCAGATGGGTGAGGTTCGACTCCGGGATTTCGGTCGTAAAATTTCCGGGGAGGATGTTGCCCCCTTCCCCGTTGGCGTTGGCGAAGATGGTCCCGTTGGTCGGCACGTCGTACGAGAACCCGACCTGCACCGGCTGGTCGAGGAAGAGGAGGTTGACCTCGTTGTTCCAGCTGTAGGGGTTGAGCATGGTCGTTTGCGCGTCTTCGGCGACGGTGCACGGCCCGAGTTCCTCGAAGAGGCCCATCAGCGAGGAGCCGCCGGGGCCGCCGTTCAGCCAGATGGCCAGCGGGGCATTCTCGGGGTCTTTGCGGGATTCGAAGAACCAGAAAAAGCTGCATTTTCAGATCATTAGGCGGTCATGGGGGGAATGCTTGGGGAGGTCGCACGTGTTGATCGGGTAGTCTTGCGGCCCACTGTCGCTTTCGTTCAGAAACCCCGGGGGCAGGTGGACGTAGCCAGAGTAGGAGCGGACACCGGGGGTGGTTTCGCAGATTCCGGGCTGTTTGGCGGGGTAAGAAACCGGGGGATTTCAAGATCGGAGGGAATAATACCTCTTTGTATGAGATGCTCACGTTCTCGTGGAGCTTGGATTGAATGATTGTCACCCCTTCGAGCTTGGGAGGGAATTGCGCGCTGGCCAGACCCAGGAGACTGGTGATGGCTAAAGTGGTCAGTACGACCATGCTGCAAGACGCTCTTTTTGTACGTTGAACGGAAATGAGAAAGGAAAAGTGAAAATACCCTTGAGCTGGTCGGAAGCGGGGATTAAGAATAGCTTGGTGCTCCGCCAACGCAGCAGCCTAGATGCAGTGGATGAGTCGACAGTAAGCCCTAGCTGAAGGCGCCATTCGGAACTCCGCCGGCGTGAGAGACACCTTCCACAGGGGTCTGATTGGCGGCTGACAGGCTGGCTAGTGCACTCCTACCTTGCCTAGGTAAGCCAAAAGGTTTATCCAATAAGCGAGAAATATCGATATTTAAATGCTGAGCGAACGGTCGATCAAGAACTGAGGCACCTGGTTCCGATAGCGGATGTCATGCATTGACACGGCGATGACTGCGGCGCTTTGAGCGATCCCGATCGGAGGAGCATCTCAGGGTCCATGATAAGCATCCAGGACCCACTTTTAGAGAAATTCAGGGTCGAAAAGATCGTGCAGCTTTCAGAACAATGGATATTCTGTTGTGCTCATTGCATACTAGTAACAAAGCAGCACCTCTTTCTAACCCCAGTGATTTGAGATCGACAACGAGTCAAGACAGTGATTTAGCTCCGGCTATTGCAGACCTCATGGCCAGGCTTGAGCAAATCTCGAGCTACATTCAACGCCTGTAATCTATTTAGTGTTTGTGTAGCTACAGCTTACATTATGCTGGAGTTGGCTGGCTGGAAAAAATACCCGAAGTATTGCCATCCCGTCAGTCTGATGTCAACAGGCGGAAGTTGCATATAAACAGATCTCGGAACCCCAGATCCCACCAAGCACGATCGAATGACGACCGGGTTGACCCCAGATAAAGTGATAGTACACACTCAACGCCATGACCACTGTTCATCATCCTTTATCAAGCCTTGGGCCCCTCCACCCGGCTCAAGCACCCACCATCACCCCCGCAGCCCCCATCGCCGAGCGCATCCGCATCACCGTCCACGATCCGCACGACCACGAAGCCCCCGCCATCCTGCACCGGCCACGCAGTTACAACGCACGCGAAGTCCGTGGGGCAGCTGTGATTCTCATCAGCGGAGCAGGCGGCGGCGTGAGCGGTCCGTCAGGTAATGCCCCTCTCCGTCACCAGTTCCTTCCATGACTGGACTGCGAATAACATCAGGGAAGGGATCTACCCCTCCCTCGCCGACAAACTCACTCTCCACCTTTCCATCCCCGTGATGCGCCTCGACTACCGCGAACCCGCCCGCACCCGCTACTGCACCGCCGATGTTCTCGCAGCCATGGACTACCTCACTCAGCAGTATCAATCCGCCCGCTTCGTCCTGGTGGGATGGTCCTTCGGCGGCAGTCCGTGCTTCACCGTCGCCGCACGGGAGCCCGAGCGCGTAGTCGCAGTGGCGACGGTCGCATCACAGACGGCCATGACCTCAGGAATCTCGAAGCTCAGTCCCCGACCGCTCTTGCTGCTGCACGGGACCGGAGATACCGTGCTTTCGGTCAGGTGTTCGGTGGCGCTGTATGGGCAGTATGGCTCGAAGGGAGGCAGTCGGGAGCTGAAGACCTTTCCTGGGGATGACCATGGATTGAGTCAGAATGCGGAAGAGGCGGAGCGGTGGATCCTCATGTTTGCGGGGAGGGCGTTGGGGTTTCAGGAAAAGTTGAGGGGAGTTGGTGGTGGAGATGGAGGACTGGGGAGGAGTTGGGCCGGGGGGTGGGAGGAGAGGTTGCATTCGATGCAGGAGGGGAGAGATCTGGAGAACGGGGAGGCTGTAAATTATTAGAGCTTTGGATGAACTTGTAGACAGATTGCTTATAGATGACGTAGGGAAGTGGAAGTACTGACGAAAATGAAGATGTCAATTTTCTACATGGTGAATCACATCGCTTCCCCTACCATCCGGTGAATAGACTGCCAGTGAATTTCTCAAACCTCACGTCTATAACTATCCCAGAATATCTTCATCTTCCGTCCTCACCTCAACTCCAACTCTCTCGAACTCATCTTCTTTCATCAGACCCGTCAGCCACCAGATCGCGGTATTCTTTCTCCCTTCTGAATTCTCTGCTTCTCTGCTGATCATGCATCATATGATAGTTGATACTACACAGATCCGCATCATCCCGCAATGTTCACTCTCGATACTGACGAGGACCCCTCGTGGGTAACCGACCTGGAGGCTGCTCTGCAAGACGACCCAGTGACCGATGACGACGAGAAGAAGAACGGCCCCCAGTCCCCACAAGCCATTCTCCAGCAAGTGATGACAACTAGCCCGGGTACTTCGCTTTTATCGTCTATCTCAGGATATCAACCCAGCGTCGGCCAGCCCTATCGTGAAATCGGATCCAGTGCCAACAGCAAAGTATTCGAGCAGCCAGGTACCCCGTGGGCGTTCAAGATCCTCCTTGTCGACGAGGCCCTAACGCTATGGAACAACTACACTATGCAAATGAGGGTTTACGACAGTTTTGATGGGGTTGACAAGTTCGTCAAAACGGCTGTCGCAGTCCCTCGGGCAGTCTGGTTTGCAAACAAAACCTCGGAGTTCTGGCGCACAAATTTGGAGCTCTTCCCCGATGATCCTCGATTTCCACGCCAGGCGCGCAATGTTCTCTGTATGGAACGCATTCCTCCTCTCCCTCAAGCGGTTCGTGACGCGCTGGTTGACCTCTTCTGCGACCGCTGGAGCATTTCGGCTGCTAAAAGCGACCCGTCCAATGCCGACTGTCTGGTGCATGTCCTGTTGGGCAGCAAACATGATACTGCAGCGCGCCCCGGATCCTACTTGTTCAGTCTTCGCAACTTCAGTCTTCGCAACTTCAGACTTCACAGTGATCAGATTGAACGACTCCGTCTTGACGCGTCCGCCTTGGCCGCCACAATGGCAGATGCCCTCGCGCTTCTTCACTGGCAGGCTAAGGTTGATGGCATGGGCGTCGAGTTCGTCCTTGGAAGCGCCCGTCCTACGAAAGACCACACATCCATCCCAAGCCACTCGCATCTTCCAGGATTGCACCGTCTATCGCCGGGTACCAGTACCTTCGAGCTGGTAGTCAATCCATCCATGCACATTCCGCGCACCGACAGCCTGTAGCTATTAGGCTTCGATACTTGCCACCCAATCAGCTTGAACGCCATCGGGGTCGAGCAGGCAATTACAGCTTTCCTCAAAGACCCCCTGTACTTTCCCCGACCCTTCTCGAACAATTGGTTCATCGATAGTCTGTGGACTGTCTTTGCCTGTCGCTATATCGAGACTGCAGAGAGGTTTACTTGTGGGACTCCGGCGCAGTCGCTTCCGCGCTCTTTCATCAGAGGCGTACAGATCAGGCTGTTGCCAAAGTGAAGCAATATGCGGCGGCAATTCCCGGGTTGCGTCTTTGGATCTAAGTCATGACATGTCCAGGCATTTTGCTTTACGACAGCTTCTGGCTCTTCATTATGATGTCTTGGCAATCTTCTAGGTGGTTGGACGTATTTACTTTGTCAAGGGGAAGACGTTGTGTATCCTGTATTTCGACTTGCTTGCTTAACACTGTGAAACTGAATGTGAATCAACAATTGTTACTCAGGTTCCACATTTGGACCATTAGGATATTTGCTAGTATGGCGACCAGTGTATACGCTCCCCTTTTGCCAAAGTCAGTAGAGAATCAATTCTCAGTACTATCGAATTGCTGCATATGCTTTATCCGAGGTAATTGACGCATGACTCAACGTATCCGAAGTGTAAGTTAGATCGGCTTGTTCATCCGGCTGAATGCCCTGGTGCCTGAGGCTTTCCGCGGAGATAGACGGTGCACGGACCACCCCTCCTCTTGGCTGCCGTGTTGGGAATAGTGGCAGATGGCGTAGGGCTGCCCTTACGTAACTGGAAGCTTCAGTCTTTTCTCTTTCAGGTCAACCGGAGGAGAACCTTCTTCGTGTTCGATGGCGATGAATTCCTCCTACGAGTGACCTGCTCGGATAGCCTTAGTATCCTCGGGCATCGGAATACGGAATTTGCGAATTGAGTAGGGTGCAAGGCGTGTTCTAGAAGAGCATCGATCCGACTCCACATTCGCACTATTTAAATGTCTCGCCTCCCACTTTAATCTTTAACACCAAGCATTCACCTCAAGTCTAAGCACCGTTTCTATTACTCAATCGACATCCACAAGAACAGGTCAAGCTTCCTTGGCATCTTCGACTCTCAATGCATGGTGGAGGCTCCTCATCCCCTGCAAATGCAGATGAATTGATAGCCGGTAAGTCGCCACCCCGTATCATTGCCAACACGCAGTCATCTAACCCAACGCAGGGTTCGCAGAAACAGTCGATGACCTCGTCATTGTTGACTGGGAGGGTCCGGACGATCCAGAAAACCCGTTCAACTGGTCTAAGCTCCACAAATGGCTGGTGACCTTCGTCGCCCTGTTCACCACCTTCCTCGTGCTCGCCAATGGCACCATTATCACCGTCGCCCACTATGAGCTGGACGAGCGTTTCAATGTCAGTGAGGCCTCATTTGCCAACTCCTACTGGCCCGTCACCACCTGGGCTCTGGGGGGTGCCTTCTTCTCGTTGATCATCCTCCCGACGATGGAGGACTTCGGCATCCGCCGCACCTTTCTTCTTACGCATTTTGTTTTCATCCTCTTCCTGATCCCGCAAGCTGTGGCCCAAAACTTTGCTACTCTTGTCGTCACGCGCTTCTTCGCTGGAGGCTGTGTCTCCGTACTGGGCAACAGCGCCGCGAGCGTCATCGGCAACATCTGGGGCAGCGAGCGCGAACGCACCAAACCGGTCAGCCTGTGGATCGTCGCCTACCTGGGTGGCAGCAGCATTGGGCCTGTACTGGGGGCGTCGATCCTCCAATTCCTCTCCTGGCGCTGGATCTCCTACATGCAACTTATCTGGCATGGGATCTTGTTCCCCGTGGCCGTCGTGACAATGCGGGAGTCCCGTGACCTGGTAATCCTGAAGCAGCGAGCCAAGCGACTGCGTGCGAAAGGTGTTAACGCCTACACCCGACACGAGATTCTGTCCAAGCCGCTGCTTGAGGTGTTGGCGACCAGCATTCAACGTCCGCTCAAGATGCTCGTCACAGAGTACGTGGTATTCTTCTGCATGCTGTGGTCGTCGTTCACTGTGGGCACGCTGTACCTCTTCACCCAATCAGTCGAGCAAGTCTTCGATGCTCTGTATGGCTGGGACCCCGTGCAGTCGGGATATATTCAGGGCGCCATTGTCATCGGCCAAGTCCTGGGATGGCCGTTAACCCTCGTCTCTGCTAGACTCTATTTCCAGTCCGCGAAACGCAACACTCAGATCCCGGGGACACCCATTCCCGAAGCACGCTTATACATGTCCGTCGCTGGAGCCATCCTCGGCCTCACCGGCGGGATGTTTGTCTACGCGTGGACCTCCTACCCCAGTCTCCCTTGGATCGCCCCCACCATCGGCCTGGGTATGGTTGGCGCTGGAAGCGTGGTCGTGGTGACGGGGATTATGGATTACGTGGTGGATGCGTACAGCAATTACGCTGGCAGCGCGATGGCGTGTGTCGTGCTGGGCGAGAACACCTTCTCGGCTTTCTTGCCCTTGGCGACGATGAATATGTATGAGACCATGGGGTTGCAGTGGGCGAGTAGTTTGTTAGGATTTATTAGTCTGTTGCTGACGCTGGCGCCGGTGTGCATTATGATCTGGGGGGAGAAGATCCGCGAGCGCAGTCCGTTTATGAAGGAGGCGACGGTGCGGAAGGTGGCGGAATTGCATGAGGCAGAAGATGGGGAGGATAGATGTTGATTCTCATGAGGCATGATTAGATGAGACTAGACTTTTAGAAATGATTAATGCATCTCTCAAATTACAAAAGGGACCAAACTACGTCTTTACTTTCTTAGTGCTACAGTGGCGGTTTATCCTCGAACACATTAATGGATCTTTGTGACATGCAATTGTCCGCAAGACGATTAATGGACTGATAAGTTGATATGATTAACCTACATAAGCAACCCCCGTAATGGCCCCCCCAATATCGGGCAAGACCGTTGATTTACAGGACCCATCCAGATTGGCACAATACAACGATCCGCCCAAGTCACCAAAGAACATCCGCTGGTTCTCCACATCCAATGTGATCCCAATGCCCTCATGAAGCTTGCGCACCAAGATCTTTGGCTGTACTTTCTCTTTCGAACCAGCAAGATCAGCCAGCACGACCGCGTTGACCGTATTCCCCCGAGGCGGATCCCCTCGATCCGTCCAGTATAGCGTCCCTGTCGCATGATCCAGCTCCAGGTCAATCGGCTCCGGAAGTCCCTCTAGCAGACATTCCACATCTGTCCTGCGCGCCACTGACTCCCCCTGTTTCCTCTCAATCCCCATCCGGAAGACCCGGCCCTGGTTCCCCTTGGACGGGCCCTTCTGCGTCCAGTACACCCATCCGGCCTCCTCATCCACCGCAATACCTACACACCAGTCATATACAGCAGGCGTATCCGTGCCCTCGCTGGAGACCGCACGATAGAGCACTTCGATGTCACTCCCATCGAGGTTCGCCCGCATCACCCGCCTGCCCTCGCGATCGGCCCAATACAGTTTCTGGGCCCGCGGGGCGATGGTCAGCTGTTTTGGCGTGTGCGTGTGGCCCTTGGGAACGACGGTCACGATATTCTGCCCCGAGAGGTCGCAGCGCTGAATGGATCCGTCATCGGCGGAGGGGACGCCCATGTTCGTCCAGTAGATGTGTTGCCGGGCTGCGTCGATGGCGATCCCGTCTGGCATGGTGTGGATCTGCGTGATGAGCTCCCGAAGATCGGAGCCATTTGGTTTGCAGGTCAGGAGACGGCCATTGAGTTCTGAGGTTGAGATGCCCACGTCGAGGAAGTATAGTCGGGGGCTGGATGTTTGGGGGAGGCAGGGCCTTGGTGCCATTTTATGTTTCGGGAGGGTGGATGTCGAGTTGGGAATCGACACAGATACATTGGAACGATTCTGCGCCGGGCTTCACCACGGGTAGATATACTACTTGGCAGAGATAGAGAAGGTCCACTGGGCCACGGTATGCCGAGAGTTCCTTGTTCCACCTTGTCCACGGTTCCTTGATTTGCGTGATTATGGTACATGAGTATGCAGTGCTATACTCGGAATGCCAAAAAGGGAACGGAACGGATCATGACATAATCACACGGGGTGCCCCGGCCAACTCCGAGCTACGCGAGCCAATCTCGGGATGGACGTTCTTTCCTACCTTTTTCAACCTCTTCCGTGAATCATGGATAATTCCTCAAAATGATGTTCTCATTCCACACACGCCGGCCGTCTCCACACGACGAGCCGTCCAGAGGTCCCAGACCCAAACGAGCCAAGATCAGAATTGCCTGTGAGGTCTGCAAGATCCGGAAGACGAAATGTGATGGTGCTAAACCAGGTAAGGAAACATTCCAGATACTCACTCTGGTCGCACAGTGGAGAAGATAAGTAAGCTTACCGCATCCCTGCATTAGTCTGTGGACCCTGCTCCAACCGAAAACGCGTTTCGCTTGCCACTCGAATGGCCTGCAGCTATCGGGAGTCTGATTCTGCGGAGCATTCAGGGTATACCACCGAGCAGTCCCCCCGCGGTCATCCACAGCCCGACCATGCCGACCAGGCGAGCTCGTTCAGTACCATCGTTCCCAGCGGGAGTCTCTTTGGTGCCTCTAGTGGGGTGCACATCATCCCCGATGTGGGGAATCAGACCAGTATAGCCACTCCAGACAACAAAACACCAAGCAGAAGTCAAGCGTTCCCGAATGCACTCAGGCATCTACCCAAGCTACAGAATAAATTCCCTCGAAATGAACGTTCTGATTTCCAGTTCGTCATCCCTCCCAGGAAGCAGGCGGACAACTTACTGGGTCTCTACTGGGACTATGTCGACAGTGCCTACCCGTGGTTGGATAGAACATCCATCGAAGGTGCTTATGAGACTCTATGGATCCAAGATGGAGAACTGATGATGAATGAGACGGTTCTGCATTGTCTGCTGAATCTCATGTTCGCCACATCCTGCGTGGCCACCCAGGGTGAACCCCCACTCGTTCGCTATGAATCTTCCGTCGTATTCTTTGAGCGCGCCCAGGCGTTGATGTCGTACCAACTACTCGATCTCTATAACTTTGAGATCATCCAGATTTTACTCCTCACCGCCGTCTATCTGCAGCACGACAAAGAGCCCCAGAAATGTTTCCGCATCATTGGGACGGCGATTCATATCGCCCAGGAACTGGGGCTGCACATCCCGGAAACCACTGAAGCTATGGACAATCCCAAGGAGCGAGACCTTGCGCGTCAGGTGTGGAATGGGTGTGTTATCATGGACAGGTATGATAAACGACCTTGACACGGGACTTTGTAGCTGAACGCGTCCTAGAATCTGTTCCATGACCTTTGGCTGCGCCCTCAAGGTCCCTCAATCAGTCGCAAAAGAAGGCTTGAATCTGCTGGTGCCCAACACCGTAGAGCACTCGTCGGACAGCGTGACCGCCACCCTACCATCCAAAGTCAACTTCTATCGATCATTCTGTCGACTTCATCACATCATCGGAGATGTCATCGACACCTTCTACAAATTCGGCGAAAGCACAACGGATCGCCATGCGAGCAAGCTTCGTCTGGAGACGCCGAGCGACTCATCCTCACTCGTGTTTGACAAATTCGCTAGCTTGTTTCGAATCGACTCCGCACTGAATGACTGGGCCCGCAGCCTGCATCCTTTCTTCCAGATGCCATCGGAACTCCAAGACCCGACGCCCACGAAACATATTACGCGTGAAGCGAATATATTACGTGCACGGTATATGCTGGCCATACTCAATGCAAGGGAAAAAGGAATACCACTGACTCTCTTGCATCCCCATGTACTAGGTATCTCTCCGTTCGACTGCTCCTGTTCAGGCTTCTACTTCTGCAAATCCACCAAGGGAGGACCGAGAATGCCCGAGGGATCGGTCTATATGCCGATGATGATCAGATCATGCCGCATGTAGTCCTCCAGTGTCAGATCAATTGCACCAAAGCCGCTGCCGACATGATCGAATTCATTATCCGCAACTCACCGGAGCAGAAACAAGCGTACATCTTGCCATCCAACTGGTACACTGTTTCGTGTGAGTTGCAGATTCCAGAAGAAAGCCCAGCGTTGAGCAACCTAACAGAAAGTCCAGATGTATACATGGCCGTCACGAATCTGCTCGCTGCCCAGACCTCCCCACAAATAGTACAATACTTCACGGCCGCTCGTCTGCAAGGCCTCTTGCACGAGGCACGACGCATTCTCAAGGATTATGAAAAGCATGCCACCTTGACTTCGCGATGCAACTCGGTCCTTGCCCTGCTTGAGCAGAATGTCGGCGGGCGCGAGCCAATAGTCGACTACACCCCTTCGGAGGCGGTACAGGCTAGCAGCAACCCTCTCAACACATCCGCCCCAGATCTAGTGATCGACACACAAGTGCATTCGGCAAATCTCTCGAGTAACTTAGCCATGATGGAGAACTACTCGTTCGACTGGAACGAATGGCCCATGTTCTTTTCTCAACTGGATGATGATACACCTACAGCTCAGGGCTGGGCAATGTAGAGTCACAATCTCCTTAAGTCACGAACATATAAGGTCGCTATCCATTCAGCACGAGTCTACGCTTGCTACTGGTCTGCTCGCGCATTCAAAAAGGGTTCGTTATCTATGAACAAAATCTATGTACAGAAACAATGTCACAACATCTTCAGGCGAAGTAATCATTTGCCACTCTTCTGGTCACAAACCGTCTGGCGCCCGCGATCACATGCTGCACAGCGAAAGGGCCTCAGAGCCACTGAATGTTCCGATCGTGGTAGCAGTGAGGGACTGCAGGTGTCAACCACCGAGGCGTCACCTTGGGGTCACTCAACTGGACGACAGGCTTCAAAGTCTCCATGCGGCCCCATGGACCCCCCTCAAAGCTGGTAAGAAGCGATTCTGGGCCCGGGCTGAAGTACTGGGGGAATACATTCTTCCAGCCGTCCATCACGACAAGCAGAATCTCCGTCACGAACTGCGAGGGCCCGATGTGGCCCCACTTGAACAGCTGGTTGCTGCGCTCTACCACCTCAGGAGAGTATAGCCCGACCTCCGGCTCCAGGTTGATGACGTCTGCCTTGACCAACGAGCTCGTCACCCGGTAGGAGCCTCCGTGACGGGCCCGGTCCCGTAGCGCCATGAGGGCACCCAACGCACCCACCAACCCAGTGGTCATGTCGGAGATGGGCAGCGGGGGGAGGACGCTGGTTCCATCCTTGAAACCCAGAGAGCGACCCATGACGTACGACGAGCCGGAAGCCGCGTCTCCGATCTGCTGCCAGCCCGGTCTCTCGTTGTACGGGCCGTCGGGACCGTAGCAGTTCTCCTCGACGTAGACGATTCCCTTGCCGCGCTTACCGGCCATCTCGAGAAGGTCGTTGACTCCAAAGCCCTTCCTCTCGATCACCTTGGGGCGGAAGCCTTGCACGAAGACATCAGCGTCCTCGATCAGCTCGCGCAGGCGAGCCTTGTCTTCCTCCTTGGTGAGGTCAAGATCGATGGTGCGTTTGCCCGTGTTCAACGTAAATTGCAGGACCTGAGGAGGTTTCATTAGCGCACCGCCAGTGTCAACATAGAGGGAAGGGGTGGCTTACATTAAGATCTACCAAGCGACTGCAGTTGACACGAATGACATCCGCCCCAAGCGAAGCGAGGATGTTCCCAATGACCGGTCCGGCAATAATGCGGACCAGCTCCACGACCTTGACACCCGCCAGCGGCCGCTTATCGTTGGCGACCTTGGTGAACGGAATGGCAGGAGTGGGGATGGCATGCGACTGGCGCGAGTAGCCGACCAGCGGATGCTCTGCGAGGCGCTTGCCCATCATCGTGTCGGCCCAGCCCTGCGGCGTGAAGCAGATACTGCCGCAGAACCCGTTCTTGATGTTGAGCATCTCCAGCTCGTCAGCCGTCCACTGCTCGACGTGCCGGCTGATGTACTCGTACGCCTCGTCCGGGGTTTTGGCCGGGTACTCGGGGTCCATGCCCAGGGCCTTCAGAACGGGCTCCGCGTTGAGGGAGCCGTGGACCTGATACCACACACCGGGCGTCTTGGTCTTGTAAAGCGCCGTCGATCGTTGGCGCAGCGGGGTGGCCTGCCACCCGTGCTCGAAATCCCGATCGTGTAGAGTCGCCAGCTTGCGCGACCGGACCAGGTCGATCATGTCTTCTCCCTCGATGGTGGCGGCGAAGATGGTTCCCAGCCAGATGGCGGCGTGGTTGGTGTTTACCGTGACCTGCTGCGTGCTGGCCGGGGTGCCATCGCGGTCCTCGACGATCTCGTGGGCGACAACACCACACATAGCATGCAGGGCTGCGGCCACGAGGGGGGCTTTGGTGGGGCCGGGAATGACCGGGAGCTTACTGCCCGTAAAGTTGACGGTCTGCCAGAGCTTCTGATCCTGGGTGAACCCAGGCGTGCTCTTGGCGATATACTCGAAGATGCGACCGGCATCTTGGGGCGCGGGGAGGAAGTCCTTGTCCACAAAGGTCCCCGGGCCGTAGATGTCTGTGCTGGGTATCGTTTGGTGGGCGTCAGTCATGGTGAAGTGTGGCGAGCGTGCTAAGTGTCAAAGAAAGGCAAGATGAAATCTCAATGGGATAGGAGGCGTGCTGTCGATATCTTAAGGGCAGATATAGCAACTATTATACCTTACCTCGACACGGGAGCCCCATTCAACCGTTAAGGGCCGTGGCCCGCGTTTCCAGAATAGGAAATTCAAAAGCCCGGAAGGCCGGAAGTCGGCAGGCCGACCTCACGGAACGCAGTCAATAATACCCTAAATGGCAGGTTGCGCCTCAATGCACCGTTACGGACCGAAAGATCCCCGGACAAGGGCCGAAAGTGTGGGGACTCCCTGGGAAGATCGTCATCAGAGTCAAGCAGAGTCAGGTGCTTCGGTCCGAAGTGCGGATTACCTGATTTAGCTTCGGAACAGCCTTGTTTCCGTCTCCCTCGACCGGAAACCACCAAAGTATCACCAACGCCTGTGCATATTACCCTGTCTAACTGGTTTGTATAAGTAGCTGTTATGGCTTGTCCAAGCACAATGGGGCAGTCGCAAGCTCATACACCTGGAATATGTCGACCTCCCCAATCAGAACTGTCGGTGTGATTGGCGCCGGCGTCATCGGCGCGAGCTGGACGGCCCTATTCCTCGCCAAAGGGCTGAAGGTGATCGCCACCGATCCTGCCCCAGGCGCTGAAGCCAAGCTGCGTGCCTACTTGCACGAGTATTGCTCTGCAGTCCCGAATCCCACCGTCGACGCCACTGCATGCCTACAGAACTTCACGTTCGTGGCAGACATCGACCCGCACCTCGAGCGTCTAGACCTAATCCAAGAGGTGAGTCTAGTCGCCGATCATCGCCTTAAAGATAACCTTATCTTATCTGTGTGTATCAACCTGACACTGGTGATGACTGCCTAGAACGGGCCCGAACGACTCGACCTCAAGCGGCGGCTGTTCGCGCACCTCGACGCAAAGACCCCGGCCCACGTTCTCATCACCTCCTCCTCCTCCGGCCTTCCGGCTAGTCAGTACGTCACCGACTGCACGAACAACCCGTCCCGCATCCTCATCGGCCACCCCTTCAACCCGCCCCATCTCGTGCCGCTGGTCGAGATCGTGCCGCACCCTGGCACCGCGGAGGAATACGTGACGGCCGCGTACCGCTTTTACGAGAGTCTCGAGAAGGACCCTGTGGTCGTCCGCCAGGAGACCCCGGGGTTCATCGCCAATCGTCTGCAGGCGGCGGTGTGCGCGGAGGCGTACAGTCTCGTCTTGAGGGGGGTGGTCTCGCCTGAGGATCTGGGTAAGCAGCCCACCAACCCCCGGCCCGACGTGACGTTCTTTTCTAGATAATAATGAAGAATGATGCTGACGGAGTAGATAAAACCATGGCCTCCGGCCTCGGGCTCCGGTGGGCGCTCAACGGGCCGCTGATGACCAATACCCTCGGCGGGGGGGCGAGCTTTGCGCATTTCATCGATCATCTGGGTCCCGCGCTGAAGTCGTGGCTAGACGATATGGAGGCGCACAAGTTTGATTGGAACTCGAAGGATACCGTCGAGGGGTTGAAGAATACAGTTAATGCATGGGTATCGCAGGTCGATTTGAAGGCGGTCGCAGGGCGGCGGGATGTGCTGTTGGCTGATTTGGTCAGGAAGAAGCTTGATCGGGGGGAGGAGTCGTGATAGGATGCATGCATTTTCCGAGGAGGGGGGGGGGGGGTTCTAATGATGTGTAGATATGTACAGCGCTTAGCATTAATCTTTCCTACTGTTTTAGCAACAGTGGTCAAGTGGACACATCTTAGGGTCTGGAGTTCTCTTCCGCCCGAGTGCCTATCCCGTCAGTTTCGCCCAGGTCGTCAAAGTGAACAGCGTACCGGGAGAAGAGAGGTAGTGCTGTTCACTCGCACATCCCAGCGTGTCCGGTGCGCTCCTTACATCCATAGACCGACCTCCTTTGCTTGTACCTAGCAACCTTGTGTCTTTCTTATTGTGGAATGCAATATCTGCCCAGGCAATCGTAGCAGTGTAGCGACACTGCCCAAAGTATCGTAGGCTTAATATACGCAGACCAGACATAGGGACCTGTATCGCACAGTTCATGCCCGCGGAAGGAGAGACTCGGAAGCATCTAGCGAAAATCTCTTGTTGAGCATGATCGCCGTCGTCGAATGAATGTATAGTACGGTAGTCCATCGCACCGCCCGCGCGGGGTCCCACGATCTAGCCCTCTGTCTTTGCGTTGAGATCAGAGATCCTGAGGTAAGGACACCTGCTTTCATCAGCCGCGGAGAAAGGCCATCGCAATACCCGCCGCCTTCATGCCACAGGTACGGAAGGGATGTCCATCTGTCCGAGATCGGCCTGTGCGATGCAGGACCAAATTTCCAGGCGAGGCTAAAATAACACACAGCTCAGCGCGGCAGGGACAGATTTCCATTGACCTGCCCGACTCTCCGATCTATAGTAATTTGTAGGTACTACCCGAAAGGGAAAATGGGGTGATGAGCTGGGGAATCAAGGGCATGGGCCAGAAGCAGGCTAGTTGGGGGTCTTCCCCACACGGATCCCCGAGTCCCCGGCCTCTAGCCTTCTTCTGACCGCGGCTCGTTGATCAGCGAGGAAACGAGATACCATCGCGCACGCGAGGAACATATGATTTGACCATCGTGCACGATCGGGGAAGCTGAGACGGGTCTTGTGTTGTAGTTTGTCGGGTTTTTAGGGCTGGGTGGATATGCTTCTACTGCTGCCACCAGACATCATTCAGTGAAGTAGAGCTGCACTTACTCCCCGAACCAATGCAGTCTGAATCCCCGATACAGGGTTGAAGACCGACTTCCTCTTGAGCGTGTTTCTCTCGTGCCTTTCTGTCTGTCGTGAAGTCCTAAGGTCAGTAATCGGGAGAGTCAGCAGCAGATACTATATCCGCGGAGATACAAGCCGCCCGTGGGACGCCTGAGGCCCGCCCCGCGCCCTGGCGACCCCATGTGGCGGGACTATCTTATCTGGAGGATGCGTCTCGATAGTAGTGTCTCAGCGCCTGACAATCAAGTGGTACGATGGGGGGTCAGCCAAAGCTTCGAGAACTAGTCCAGGCCGGATCGATGCCTTTGCAGGACGCAACCGATGGATGATGATAGGCCAAGGAGCCAGTGGAGAAAGCATAAATTACAGTACCTCTCGTCAGCCATGCACCCATCCCCGCCACGTGTTGGCTGACGTGATCTGAGGGCTGACTGGCTCATTGGGAGTACTTCTTTCAGGGGTTCGTCGTTCGTATCTGCGCGGCAGGGTGTCTGTGTCTGTATCAGATTCTATTGTCAATGCTATTCTAATATGTTAAGGTACATAAGAAGATCGCTCTACGGCTGATGCTACTGTACAGTACAATCAATCTCGTATCCACCAGCCAGGATAAGATAACCCGCAACGGACAAAAGACCCGGACGTGGTGTGCTGCTAAGCGAAGATAACATTAACCTTCGCACGTTGTCCCACGAGAAGCCAAATTGCGCCAAGACGCCGATATCAGCCTTGCGCCAGCACTGCCACACATCCCACTCCCCGGTCCAGCCTGTCAGCATCCTTCCAGGCGTGGGGCGCCCATTCTTCACCTCTCGCCTTTAGCCGAATCGAGTTGGGGCGGAAACTATCTCCTGAGAACCCCGCCGGCGCTAGGCCAGTTCGGAGGAACGGTTGGAGAGAGTCCCAGACTCCCAGGGTCTGATCGATCACCGAAGCGGCAGAGTGTTTTGGTTTTTGCGTTGAGATTTAGAGACCCCCTCTTTCTTTTTTGAGAACGGGACGAAAATCTCGCTTAACCCTCAGCCTCACGCTACACACCGCATTGGACCTGTCCAATAGACCGGGTGCCCTCAGTGGGGCCATTGTTCTGGACGGTTCGGCAGGGCCGAAAAGAGGATCAAGGATCACAACGGGCTGCAAAAATAAAGCCCTCCGTTGGGCAGAAGGATTGCAAGTGGGGTGGGGTGCCGACGAGCTGAAGAAAATTAGTCTTAGTCCATGAGACCCCTAATTAGACCGCTTTCTCATCATGGAGTTGCAGGGCTGCCCGTCGCAGGCTTCGAAGCCAGTCGAAGTGCGAAGACAGATCATCGAGGAAGGTGTAGTCCCCGTCGATATTGAGGATTCGTGCTGTGGATGCCTGCCGGAAGTAAAACCAGGTCCGGATCTGAGAATCGCTCGACGCGGCAGCGCCAGTGATGCAGGCCCAAGTGTGAGGCACGGGAAAATACCGCAGCCAGACCTCCTCGTCCGTCAGGGCTAGCGCGTCTCGCAGGTTCCTCGCCAATGCGTCGAGGTACTCAACAAAACTGCACCCGTTGGCCCCGCCATCGGCGATCGTCTGGAAAATCCTGCAAGCGAGATAACAGCACTGGTAGATAGGGTCCTCAGTGGTAGGAGGTGGCATTGTGCGAGTCGCTGGCGTGTCTTGGCGCCAGTGATCCGTTGGAAGGGAAGCCATTAGATGGAGCTTTGTCTGGTGAACATGTTGGAAGAGGCCCTTGATCGAGCAAGTGAAGTTGTCGGGTCCAGGTGGCCTTGTAGGCATGTTGAGGATCCGTTCTTCGAGGCTGAGTGGAGGCATGAGCTGAAACTGAGGTCCGGTGCTCAACCCCAAATCAAAGACGATATTCGACACGATTCGGTTCCTGTGATTCAGAGAGTCAGTCACCAGCTCTAAGAAAAGGACGGAGCGCCCGGAAAAGACCCAACGAACATGTGGATGAGTGATGAAATTAGACCGTCCAAGCCCAGGTTGTGCATCCCGCCCCGTAGCAAAACCATGTTTTCCAGGCCAGCTCGATGTACTTCAGCTGAAGCTCGATCACCACCAAGATTCTAGACTTGTCGTCAGCCGTACTCTATCTTCCGGTGTAGAGGGAAGGAGAATGATTGCTTACAGCAAATAGTGCCAGTGGGGTGATGGAAGCGATCGTGCGATCGTCCAACGCGGTCGCTGGGTCGGCAAGTCGCTTTTTGACCAGCTTGATCAGCTCGTTATAGTGGTAAAGGGTGATCATGCTTTGCTTCTGCCCCCGGCAGATATCAAAGTGTGAAGACCCGGCGAACAGCGTGGCATGAAACAGGCAGGGATCTCCCATGGCGCTCCTCAGCCAAACGGTCTGCAGCTTGTAAGCACTACATTTGGCAGTGACTGGGATCTGGGCAACACCAAGTCCGTTATGAACTAGATCCGATGGCTGGTCAGCGCGAGTCAAGACAGGACTAGGGATACATTCTCACAGTGTTTGATCAACTTTGGCATGTACCAGCGGTAGGCGATGGGATACGATTCCGGGACGGTCGGAGACTGTATGGCCCAGGACAAAGACAGTTGGTCCGACACGGCTTCCCACGAATCCGGGCTGATATCTCTTGGATTCTCCTTGCAGTATTCGACCGCGACAGGGGCATTGAGCTTTTGTTTCTCGTGGATCGGGTCAGTAACCCGATAGATGGCGTAGAAACACTTGCGGCCAGTCCTGAAGAATCTCGGTTAAGATGCGCGGCTGAAGATAAGCAGAGGGGGGGGCTCAACTTACTTGTGACACAGGGCGCATGATGGGTATGCTCGGTCGCATTTCCTCTTTTGCTGGCGACAGGACTCACAAGCAACAAGCATAACCTTCATTGTGATTGCAATAGTTGAAATGAAGATGGGAAGGGCAGAGAGCGAAGGGTAAGTGTGTAGGTGTGAGTAGTAGATTGGTGATTGACCTACCGGTCTGCAGCTGTAGACAGCAGTAGATCTGAGGTAGTCTGAGCGGGGTCTAGCCGTTTTAGTCCCTGATCTTCCTGGCTCTTCCTGGCTCTTCCTGGCTCTCCTCAGCCAACCTCTTTCCTTTCCTCAGGCAGCAATTTTCTATGCCGAAGTCTATACATCAGCATACATCAGTGCCCCAATTGTATTTTTATTCCACTCATGCACCTGCCGGCTTGCTTACCTCTGCATTCTCTCTATCGTCATTTCTTGTGTGCCCCTTGCAAAATTATGCCCCAAGATATATTTTCTCTGATAAGGTCGGGAGCGCTGCGTCGTGACCATAGTCGTGCAGAGAAAAGGTGATTGTGGTTTATCAGACCACGCATGATCAATCCTAGAAGCCATGTTTGTATTGCAAGGATCATCTGTATTATCGCTGTCATTACTCAATTCAATGGTTCTATGCTTGGAAGAGTCTGCCATGTCAAATGCTTACCACCTAGCAAGCCCTAAGATCGCCTAAGGCTGCCATTTTCGTAGAGTGCCGTACCATCACCAACACGTTGTGCCGGCCCAGTTCATTCCAAGCATTGTACGGTCAGATTGCGTATGAGGCAAGGATTGTGGGATGGCCTTTGGTTGTTCGAAACCGCTGCTATGCGCTGTAGACATAGCCGACAGTCCTTCGTCAAAGAGAGCTGTCTGGAGGTGCATGCTAGATGGTGATGCGTGCAGCGGAACTGTCAGGACTCGGATAGAAAGAACCACTGACAGATATCTCCCCATCCCTTGGTTTGGTCTGTAAGCTGGACAACTGGGTTCTTGGAATGGTCGTTGAGGGAATTTGAGGCAGTTTCGATGGTCGGGATGGCGACTAAGCATTATCCAGAGTGAAACATGCCCTCTCCCGTCCAGCCTGCTCAGGTGGCAGTTCTCAGGTCAAATTGCCCCAGGGGACCGGGCAAAAGTTTGGCTTGAAGGATTCGACCCGTCGATCGATGATATATGTGCACGCTGACTGTTAACCTCGCTTGGCCTGCGCCAGGCACCAGCAAGCACCAGCAGGCACCAGTCTGCATGCCTTATCTGATATCTTGCTCTGACTTGCAGCACGTAGGGATATGTTAAGCGAGTAAGGGCTTCCTTCGTGGAGACACTGATCCACACCGGTAGAGGCTGACACAGGGACATGCCACTTGAGGCGACGCTGACTCGTCTAAATGCTTGTTTTCCCTCGATCTAGTTCTCAAGCTGTCTAGAGACTTGAAGGAAGTCCCGAAGAAAACGGATTAGTGGAGCACTAGCGTGCGGACTAGCCCGCCCTTAACGGCGATCGTGTACATCCCCGGATGATCATCACTCGAGCCTCTCGACTAGGGAAATGAAGCTTTAGATGCGGTGTAGCACGATCGACGTCTATACATGAACCGGGGTGTACATATAAAGGCGAAGATGTGTTGACAGGGATTCCCTATCTCCTACAACGCCATTCCCACTCTTTCAGTCAACCACAAACCTTGTCCACAAGTAAGCCGGTAAGTTATCACAGTAGATGCAGTTACTTACCAATTCCAACCCTCTAGATTTCTCATCGTTTCTGAAACCATGCGTCTTCACTCTGTCCTCTTTTGTCTTACCTTTTCCACGGCTGCCGTTGCCAAAGGGTGCTCCTACGACGGCTTCCAAGAATGCGTGACCTATTACGCCGATTCCGACTGCCATCACAGTATTGGCAACTACATTCCGACCTGTGAGGGAAACTGCTTCCAGTTCAGCTCTTTCCAGGGACTGGTGGTGGAAGGCAACTTCATTCATGGCACCGACTGCATCGTGTACTCAGACCCATATTGTCAAAATGAGATCGGTGTCACTCCGAATGCGATCAACCAGAACATCGATTGTCTTTCGTACGGCGAAGCACAGTCGATGAAATGTTACTTCGACTGCTGAGTGGGGGAGATATCGGATAAGCGGGAATCACGGCTATGTTCAGGTGAGGGTTGTTGCGAAGGCCAGATCTCCTTGCTGCGGGGAGAATATACCCGCGCTTGCAGTAGAGGGTTTGGAAATGTACATATGGGCCAATTACGTGACAAGCATCAGATATATTCCATCATAGTAGTACAGCGTCAATCATACATAATACATTAGTCATACCACGCTCGAAAACAAGCCCTTACTCATCCGGACCGCCCATCTGGTTCAGCTTTTGCCCGGCGGCCTCCTTGCCCTGCTGCGACACACCGGGGTTGTTCTGCGCACTGTGGGAAGGACGTCAGTTTATCTTATCAAGACCGGACTGTGAGGAAGGATGCTTACGCTTTGAGTCCACCCGCGACGCGGTTGGGGTCCTTCTGGTTGTCACCACGGAGGTTGTGCAACTCGTCCGAGGGCTGCGAGCCGCCAAGCTGGTCGAGCATGGACTGAGCGTTCTGCTTGGCCTCATCGGAGACTCGGGGGTTGTTGAGGGTGCTGCGTGATTATCAGAGACGGTTCTTCTTTTCATTGTGAATGAAGATGACTCACGCCTTGTAGCCACGCATGGCATTGACTCTGTCTTCAGCGGAGGACATTTTGAGAAATTGTTGTGGAGAATGGGTGTATAGGGGGCGAGATGTGATAATTGGGGTGAGTTGAAGATGAACAATTGCCTCGATACAACCATGGTATACTTATACCTTCGAATGCAGCCAGCTGCGTTTGATGTCAGAGCGCGTCACCAACCCCGCGTCGTCATTCTTTCATCGTCCACCCAGACTTTGGGGAAGTCGAGCTCAAATTGACTTCATTGCGGAGACATGACGAGGAGGGTAGGTAATCTATGCAGGGTGGAATCTTGGGTCGACCCCCTGTGCATGGGGAGTATGCATTGGTCGATTCGTCCATCGCCCGATCGAAGCGTTGATCAGGGTTGGCGGGTGGGGACTGGGAATTCTAGAACTTTGGATCACCGGGAGGTGCTTTTTTCGAAATGGGGGCGATCTACTAGCCGTGGACTGGGCGAGATCAACATGCAGTCATCACTCAAAGCTGTATCTATTCCAGTACATGATAGTATGAGTGCATATGCTCTCGGTGCATCCGAATGCAATTGTCAGAGTTCATCATTGCCATGCAAGTGACAGCGCGCTGCAAGCTGTTCGTGACAAGCAGCGGTCGAGATTGAGTTTTGAAGACGGTGTACTGTAGAACCGAAATGATGGACTCAACAACCATTTCTGTGCTGATCTCAATTCATAGACTAGGAAAATTCTGTGTGCTGAGCAAACCCTTGGCTCCCTTACAAGAGGCCGACGTCATGTCAATTTATCTGTGTTTGGGGGCAGCGGCCAGCGGCCTTTTTCTGCCACCGCCCAAATTGAACAGTTTCGCCAGCCGATTTTTCTGGACTGTTACCTCTTATATCCGCTTAAATCCGCGGCTTTCGTTGCGAGGTCGCGAGCGTTCTGCCGGTCCAGGCGGTCTGAGTGGCGGTCTGAGGTTCAACGGAAGATCTGGCAGATACACACCGCTCAGTGCATCATCCTCCGCCTCCCAGCGCAGCGCAGCGCCAAGCACCGCTGGATTTGTTGTCATTGCATCGTCTTTTCTTGGGGGCGGGGCTCTTGCCTCTGGAGCTTGGTCCGGAGTATAACTAAAGTATTTGTCTGAGTAATGCACCTCTCTCACCATCCAACAGACCTCAATGGTTGACTGCGATGGAACGCAACTTTGGCACTACCCCGGAGACCCCAATTCTAGCTCCCGTCGCAGGATCGACCCTCACGCGTCTTACCCCTTGGTCCCTGCAGCGACAACCTCCGCTTCGTACATTCCTCGCGCTGTGCTCAGCTACAAAGCTAGCCCCATGATTCCCTGCACGATTCCAACTCACTCGTCAAGTGAATCTTACCTGTTTCTTCCTCTCTCCAGCCACGTAGCGCCTAATTGCATCTAGATTCAATAGCACTCCCACAGGTTATCATTAGCGGTCAATCCTCCCAAAATAACATCCAGTCAACCATCAATACAAGGGGGCTATTGGCAGCAAACAGCCCAGTACTAGACCTGCCTCATCCTCACTGCAGCAAGACCACGTCTAGTCCCGTGCCACGACACCCTTCCCCTTCCCCATCCAGGCACCGCGCCCCACAAGCGGCATGATATCGAATTCCAGAGGAACCAAACCCACCCCCTCTCCTCCCCATACCAGACAACATGAACATAAATATCGATAGATTCCGTCGTCCCATGCGCTGGGGTGCTGCTGACCTGGTGCCTGGGCTTTTTGGCGAAAGTCTTTCTTTACCTATTCCTACCTACTCCGTGAGTTTACCCTTACCCGTGCCAATTACATCTACACTAAGGATATACAACTTCACACAATGACTGACACTGATCGCAGAGCCAAATTCTCCTACCTTCTCCAGACCCCCCTCACAATGCGCCTCCTCCACCAAGCCCTCACGGTGTTCCTCGCCGCCCTCCTCCTCGATACCGCCGCCGCCGCCGACTGTCGCCCTGGCGCCACCCGCCCCGACCGCTTCGACTGCCACGCCTACCACCGATGCGACGCGGGAGAGTTTGTACGGCTGCACTGCGCCCCGGGCCAGGCGTACAGCGTGTACACCGGCACCTGTGAGCCGGAGTGGCGGTCGCCGGGGTGTCATCAGGGGGTGACCCAGGAGATTCACTGAGTGTGACTTATCGTTGTGCTCTGGGGATAGTTTGGTGTATGAGTGGAGTTCTACGGCCTTCGAACTGTGATGGTCCCCATTCTTTCTTTTAACTCTAATATGTGGTCACACGTGCGCCCTTCTAAATGGAAACAATCTACAGCCATGGCGACGAGCTCCATTGAACTGCAAAACAAATGTATTGGTATCATGTCCTCTCTATACGACTACTCAAAATGAATCTCAATCCTCCCTACCCCTCGAATTTACAAATGGTACTGAGACGGGGCACTCTCCTGGAACCCCAGACGATTCCACCACCGGTCCACTCCCATATCTTCCTTCGAACTGCACACATTGTTAGCTGAGCCTTTCATGCACACGCAGTGATTACCTACTCCCAGGACTCCTTGATCTCGGGCTCCGTCTTGCCATCCGCGAGATTCGGGTTACGGAACACGATGTTGTATTTCTAACGCCCGTAAATTAGCATCTACACTGCCCCCCCCCCAAAAAAAAAAAGAAAAAAAGGAAAGGATGGAAAACTCACCAAGCCAAGGGTAATGTGGATCGCCATCGGGAACGGCGGATACACCTCCTCGGGCGTCTTCCCCTCGATCATCGCCTGGATGTTGTGTGCCACCGCGGCAGCCTGGGGCCCGCCGGGGCGGGCGGCCTTGCGCAGCCCCGTGTCGGCGATGTCGCCCACCGCGAACAGGTTCGGGTACTGCGGGTCCTGAAACTGCAGGGTCGGGCGGATGCGGATGAAGCCGTTGGCCGGGTTGATGAGGGAGTCCGGCGACGAGGCGGGCAGGGAGCGGAGCAGGTCGTTGTTGGGCCTCTGGCCGGTGGCCAGGATGACGAAGTCGGTGGGGAGTTCGGTGCCGTTGTTGAGCTGGACGGTAAACGGGGTGCCGTTGTTCGGGAAGCCGGATTCGGGGACCACGATGCGGGCGCCGGTGATGGTTCTGCGGAGGGTCAGGGGAGGCGAGGCGAATAGAGCAAGGTTAGAAGGGGCTACATACTTGATGCCTAGCTCGTCGAAGCGCTTCTTGACGATCTCGTGCAGCCCCCGATGGAATTGGGGCATGAGCTGGTCGCGCGACTGCACCACCGTGATCTCCTTCTCCGGGTACAGCTCCTTCATGTCGGTCGCCATCTGCACGCCCACGGCGCCACCGCCGACAATGACCACGGATCTCGCTTGCTTTACGTCCGCTTGGTGCTGCTGCAGGTATTGCACGGAGGAGACCTTGTCTTCGTCACGCATCGCGGCGGGTTCGGCGAGGCGCGTGCCCGTCGCGACGACGAGATACTCGTAGGGGATCTGGCTCTGGCCTTGCCAGGCGCGATCCAAATCGACATATTTGGGTTGGACGGAGAGGACGCGAGCCTGCACGACGGCGTGTTGGGTCGAGTTGGGGGAGGAGGCGAAGAGGCGGGTGTAGGGAATGAATGCTTTGTGTTCGTGGCCAGGAAGAACGGCGAATCGGGGCTGCTGCGGGTTAGTCTAGTGTTGTGGTGGCACCAGTAAATTGATTGACTCACAAAGGCAAAAAGATGGTGGAAATGGCTGTGAGGTTCGATCAACAACACCTGCAGCTGAGTTAATATATCGACACAACGCCGCGGCGGGGCTGGGACTTACTCTGTGCGTGCTGGGTACTACCCGCGCCAGCTCCTCTGCAGCTCCCTGTTACAGTCAGTATTCACTGCAGTTGATGTTGAAAACGCCGAGGAGAAATACCCTTCCAACGTAGGACCCGCCAACTACAATAACGTTCTTTAGTGTCGAGGCGGCCATGGTGGCTTGTTGTGTATTCCAATTGTTCGAGATTTTGAGGACCAGGGAAGACAGAATCAGCGATATGGTGAGAGTTGAGCGTAGAGTCGCGATCCAAGACCTTCTTGAATTATCAACCAGGAAGAGCATGAGCAAAAAGCGAATGCGCCGTGGGCAGGCTCCAAATATATAGGCGGGAGAAGACTGAGCCGGGAGGGCACGCGGGGAGCATCTCCTTATCTGATCGTCCGGGCTCGGTCTATTGGTCGCCTGCCTATCCTGGCCATCTCCGAGACTGAGGCCCGCCATCGGCTCCCATCCGCTGCCGGTGGCGTCATCTGCCTGGTTTGCGCCGAGGCTCGGGGTTAGGATTTAGTTAGATAGTTAGTACTCTAAGGGCATGTTCGGATGAGCGATGGCGTTCAATGCAGGGTGTCAGTCAATTAAGAATTGCTCCATACCCCCTGTTAGTTCAACAATTTGTGGTTTGCAGTCGTGGGAAGAAAGACAGATACTAGGTCGCCCATTTTCGAAGCCTTGGGGCCTGAGGCAAAAGCAGCAGCCAAGCCAACGACGGCAGTTAGTCTCGGCTTTAGCCCTCGGATTTTCGGCTTTCCGGCTCGGAGTGGGGGATGCCAGAGGCGAATGCTTCGGACCCCCATCAAAGCACTTTGTTTGAGTCCGAGATCTCGAATCGAGGGTGACTATCGTGGAGAACCAGGCGGCTTTGATCACGGATCTGATAGCCAGATCCGACGTTAGCCGCACCGGATGGATGCCCACAAATGTGAAAAACTACTCCACTTGTTGCCGACATCTTGTAAATCAGAGGACCCGTCATCGGGAATGTGGGGGACTGATATCTTGAGTACCTCGTGAGCATTTATTCCTCACAACTTGCCTTTCTGCGACACTACATTCTGAATGCTGAACGTTGGAGAGTAGTTTGGGTGTCTCACATCCGTACCACATTGTCTGCGTCCACGACCTCCCCCAAGACTGATGGAGGGGCCACAACCACTCAGGCCCCGGATTTTCAGGTCCCGATGGCTTATATTGGATGGACACCAGGTAGTTTCCACGCAAGTCTGGTGTAAGACAACGTTCGTGGTCCGCTGCACGTCTAGCAAGGATCTTCCATTTGAACCTACCTTGACCCCAGTCCCGACAGGAGGGTTCAAACAATGAATGGACGGGTGAGCGCTCAACCAAAGATCCGATATGGACCTACGATGAGTGCGATTGAGCATTGTCCCGGAGCGACGTCGCTTGTGACGATGGATAGGGCAGGTCTGGTAAGAGACTCTAGAAATGATCACGTCCCCGAACTGTCCTGAAGGGCCCTTCTTTGCTGTTTTTGCCGGAGTCAAGATTGTCCGCTCGGGCTAGGACTGAGGAGGGTGCCAAGGTACACCACCTACGAGTACGGTAACTTATTATCCGCAGTTTCCTGAACACTTGGCATACACCCTTGACTTCCGACTTGATCAAACGAGCTCCAAGTCCAGGAAAGATCCGCGAAGAGCCAGCCACGGCCACATTCGAAACGGGGAAATGCCACTATGCATCCTGAATTGTCGAAAAGGGTTAAAGAACACCGTGATCTCACGGTGGCACTTCGAAATAGGAAACCACACTAAGACAAAAAAAAAAAAAAAGAGCAAGAAAGCAGGTGCCGAGACTCAAAGCAAAAGGATTCGGGAAGGCTCGATGCAGGCTGCCTCCAAGCAGGAAGCACCTATAAGACGAGCATGTTGCCATCCCTGAATGACTCTGTACAATCACTGTTGGTTCCTCAGTGGTTGTCCAGACTACTCAACATGCTCATCGTGAGCCACCTTCTCCGCCTGATAGCCCTTTTGTGGGCTGTCACCCCCCTCACAGGGGCTATCAACCTGCCTCGTGGGTATAACAAGCCGCTGGCGCCAAATAGCGATACATTCTATACTCCTGACGATGACAGCTGGCGAACGCAACCTCCGGGTTCCATCCTCAAGTCCCGCCAAGTGACGATTGGCTCGGCTCTCTTGATCCCCAAAGGCCTTGCCGCAGGGTATCAATTGCTCTACCGGACCACCAATGCCCACGGTCTGCCCAACTACGCAGTGACGACGATCCTGATCCCGTTCGGGGCCAAGCTGGATCGTTTCATCTCCTTCCAGACCGGGTACGACTCGGCCAACAATGACTGCGGCCCTTCTTACGGGCTGCAATTTGGCGCCTCTACGAATGCCAGCGAAGCCCTCATCGAGCTGGCGGTCGGGATGCTCCCATACCTAGAGAAGGGGATTCCGCTGGTCGTTCCGGACTATTTGCAAGTGGATGCGGCGTTCGCCGTCGGCCCCACGACAGCATACGGGGTGCTAGACTCCATGCGCGCCGTGCTCCGCTCGACACACATCACCGGACTGTCGGAGAATGCAACGATCACCATGCAGGGATACTCGCAAGGTGGCTTGGCTGCGGAATGGGCAGGCGAATATCGCAGTACATATGCGCCGGAAGTCCACATCGCCGGGGCCGCGATTGGGGGTATGCCGGTCAACATCTCCGAGGTCTTCATCGGTGTGGAAAAAACCCTCAGCTCGGGATTAGCCGCCGGGACTCTGGTCGGGATCGGCAATGCCTACCCCGAGTTCAGAGCGTACGTGGACGAGCATCTCATCCCCAAGTATCGACCGCTTCTTGAAATCGCACGGAAGGAATGCGTGGCCGACTTCTATAAGATCGTCTATGGTTACACTGCCCAGCTTGCATTCAGGAATATCACGGACTGGTTTGACACCGGACGAGGCTTCATCAGTGACAACCTGGACTTGTTCAACGAGATTGGGGTGCTCGGACTGCACGGGATGCCGGACTTTCCAATGTTTGTCTGGAAGGGGACGGACGATGAAGTCGCGGTGGGCATTGAGGAGCATGATGCCCTGGTACAGGCGTGGTGTGATGCGGGAATTCCCATCCAATACCTGCGGGTGCACAAGACTCTTCACACGCCTAGCATTCCGCCAGGTCTGCCGGGGGCGCGGGCTTTCATGTTGGATGTTTTTGAGGGAAAACCTCCGACTGAATGCAGGACTGAGGACAAGTTTGGCACCGGCGATGAGTAAATAAACTATCTTTAGGGAGGAAAGAACGCCATCGATAGTCGATGACCCCACAGCGGCATCAGTCCTAAATGGTATTGTTAGCAGCTATTTTAGCAGACTGGATATGCCCTACTAGGCCCCTCATCTTATCCACTTGCTCGCAGATGTTCCTTGTTTGCATTGAACCGGTGCAATCAAACCAGGCCGTAGGGATGCTGTCGGAAATTACGATGTTGGACAAACAGCCAGGTGATAACATGGTTTCGCGTCGTACGTACCACGCTTCCAGACCCAATTTGGAAGTCTGTCCAACTCCTGTAGTACCATGGCCCCAAAGACCCACTGGAATGCAGGTTAGAGTGTCACTGCATGCTTCAGCACGAGCCACATGCATCAATACATTGATTTTCCGGCGACGGATCTTGAGGTCAGACTGTTGGGGATTGCCCCTAACCTCGAAGAGGAAACAGTTTGTTGCCGATCAGCTTCCAAGTTGCATTGGATTTCAGCGTGGAGCGAATGAATTCAATCTCAAGGTCGCACCTGAAGACGAGTCCTTGAGCATAGTCTTCCATTACTCAAGCCGAGGCGCGAGAGAAAGCAGGGCAGGCCACAGCAGCCGCGCAAGAACCACGCTGCAGTACCACTCGCCACGCCCGCTGCAGAACAGCCCGCCTTCTCTTCTTGCTCAATGCCACACCCAGTCACTGGGAAACCAAGTTGCCACCTTATGACTATGAGATCCCGGTTGCAATGTTGCACCCAATGGGGGTCCCCGCACTCTTCATGCATGCCGCACTGTCCGGGTTTCGAGTGCTATAATAGAGCCTTCTCCTTCAACTCTCCCCAACCACACTCAAACGACCGCCCGCATTGGCATCTATACCCCATGTCTTCAACAGTTGCACCCAAATCAATCGTCCATGGACCGTTCCACCCCCCTCTGAAGCTCTGCACAATCAGCCAGCTTCTCCGCCAACACGCCGACCGAGTTAACACCCGCCGAGCGGTCGTTGAAGTACAGTCCGGGGCACGATTGACCTACCACGATCTCGAGATCGGGACCAAGCAGATCGCACGAGCCCTAATAGCCAACGGGGTTCAACGCGGCGATCGGATTGCTATCTTCCTCGGAAACTGCGAAGTCTACGTGGAGATCTTCTTTGCGGTTGCCAGGATCGGGGCGGTGGCAGTCTTGCTTCACGGGACGTACACCCCAAATGAAGCGCGGAATGTGCTGCGAACCACCGGTGCGTAGAACGACAAGTGTCATGTCCGGAACGGATATACTGAAGGCTTGTCGCAGAATGCTCTACCTTGTTCATCTCGAGTGGTCTCGGAAATAGAGGCTCGCGTGCCTTTCTAAGCTACCTCGAAGAATCCAACATGTCACTGGCTGTCGATGTGCCATCGGTGAAGCGCATTGTCTTAGTTCATGACGATCACCCAGATGGCAGTTGCTTGACTTTCTGGACAAGATTTCTCGTCAGTGGGGATACAGTGAGCCCGTCGCGGCTCAGTCAGCTCGAGGATGAGGTTGGCGGTGACACAGTATGCAGCTTTCTCCTGACGAGCGGAACCACCGGCGTCCCCAAGGTAGCTATGTTGACACACGCGTGAGTAAGACCATTTTTCCTAAGCCTGGAACCGAAGCCAAATGCTCACTTGCGAGCATAATTGTAAATAACTTGATTAGGAACATCATCAACAATGCCTTTCTGGCAGGGAATCACATGAGCCTGACCGAGGAAAGTATCATCTGCAACCCACTGCCCCTGTTTCATTCCGGGGGCCTGATACTCGGCCTCATGACATGCGTCGTCCGTGGAGCCTGCATCGTATTCCCCGCGCCAAGTTTCAGTGCGTCTCGCACCCTCGATTGCCTCTCAGCAGAAAAGTGCACTGGAATGCATGGCGTCCCGACCATGTTCGCTGCAGTCCTTCGCCACAGGCACCTGCAGCCCATGAAAGGTCCAATCCGGCTCAAAAGTGGTCTCATAGGGGGTAGCGCTCCTTCAGAGGCACTGTGGCTCCAGATCAAGGATGAACTTGGTGTCGAGGACTTTTCACTCGGATACGGTATGGCCATGTCCGGTGGCGATGGCATCAATTTCTCATTATGATTCATGCAGGAATGACCGAGACATCGGGTGCGGTCTTCATGTCCCCGCCAACGAGCGCGGATGCGACCCGAATGCCACGCTCCCTGACGATTTTGCCTCACACGAGCGCGAAGGTGGTTGACAGCAGGGGCGACATCGTGACGGTCGGACAACGCGGCGAGCTCTGTGTCTCGGGCTACCTTGTACAGAAGGGATATTTCAACAATGGCGAGAAGACGCGTACGGCCATGATCCAGGACGAGAGCGGGACACTGTGGATGCGGACGGGCGACGAAGCATTTTTCGACCGCGAGGGAAACTGCTCTGTGACCGGTCGCATCAAAGACATTATCATCCGAGGTAGACATCCCGCTCCCATCGCTGCACCTGGGTGTCGGGTAATGCTAAACGGGTGACAGGAGGAGAGAACCTGTATCCAACGGAGATTGAGGATCGGTTGAGCGAGCATCCCTCCGTGCAGGGGGCGTGTGTGGTTGGCCTGCCGGACGACTACCTGGGCCAGGTAGTTGCGGCTTTCATTCAGCAGGAACCAGGGACTGACCGGCCATCCCTTGAGGAGCTGACTGCATGGGTCCGCTTGAGTCTGAGTTACCATAAGGCTCCGGCCCGGGTCTTCTGGCTTGGAGATGATGGTCTGCCCAGGGATTTCCCTCTGTTGGGAAGTGGCAAGATTCGCAAGAACGTGCTGGAGGAGATTGGGTGTCAGAAACTGTGTGCATTGGATGCTTAGTGGTATAGCTGTTGGTGTGTGAGCCTATATTGCTGGGTCACATGACGCAGGAAATATGAAAACACCTCAGTATTCTCAGCGAGTTTTTTTTTCTAACATTATTGATTTATAAAGTTTGTACTCTTTTAGTTTTTTTAGTCTCTGTAATGTGTTCTGGAAATAGGTTATAAGCCCAACTCTGTGCTGAAGTCCTAAATTAGTTGTTTTTATTATGATATTTGTTTTGATTATATTATTCATATTCTTAGTCGAAAAGATGTTTATCAAAATATGCTAATCTACTAATTCTTACTGGTTTATCTACTAAATGATCATATATACTTATCACGGTGCAAGCCTAATCTACTTGTTTAATCTACTTTACCAATTAATTTATTTTATATGTTTTATCTCGAGTGGCCAACAGCGAGGTCAGATCTGATTAATTGAAGTTTTTATATCTTACCGCCAGATTATGGTTTGATTAAGAAAAGCCTTTATATCCAACTGCAGGATAGCTAAAAAGTAAGTAGGTCATCATTTGGATTATTTTGAATACTATGGCTGTTGCCTCATCGAATTCCACTTGACTCGCATTGGGCGGGGTTAAATAACATAGCTCAACATTAATTGTCCCTCAATTTCCGAGTCCGAGTGCTGCCATGGGGAATGACCCTGGTTTCAGTTAGCCTTCTCGTCATGGTATAGCTTCCTCATTCTCTAACGTATAGACGCCGCCATCAACCAGCACAGCTCAAGGCAAATTGACCAGTGAACCTCTACCTCCGTTGACCGGACGATCAATGACGCATTTCACCCGCGAGAGGGCTACGACTGGTACCACGATTGTATCGGTCAATGGACCATCTCCGTTGACCACCCATGCTGAGGGCTCAACAGCGGCAGCATAGGTGAGCAGAAAACTGATGAAGTGATTGAGACGGTGTGCACCACTTGGGTGACTGCAAGCCACGCATACCCGTAGTGTACATTGGTTACGTTGGATCTATGTTGTTGAGCCAGAGTAGAGGCTACTTGATTAATAAAGAAATCGACGTCAAGCACTGAGAAATAGACTCACGTGCGTGAACTGACTATTATCTAGGCTGCAATATATCTCGAGGAGCGCCTGGTACTTGTGAATCTCGGCCCCACAAGACGGTCGAAAGGGCCAGCTGCCTGGACCGGGTTGCAAGTCTTTGACATGCTGGTTGTCATAGGTTTCTGGCACCGAGGCATGTCATTGTGATTGATCCGATCCGTGCCAGGTGAAAGCCCCGGAGGAAAAGTCTTCATGTGGGGTCTGAATCCGGGAGGAGGCGACGGCGGCGAACATATCAAATCCTAATGCCCACGACATTGGCGATGGCATGCTGGGCAGCTCCGAGCCAGAGGCATCCACGTCTTTTTTCGGGTCGCTGCTCACGATGGAATAATCCAAAATAGACCAGAAAGTCGCTTCGCAGAGCGGATCGATGTCTTGCGTCCTGCCCGTCGTATCCAGCAGGCTGTCGAGATTGTGCCGCTGCTCGTGCAAGTTCCGTAAACGGAGAGACTGTGTCATCGTGGTATGATCAGTGACTGGGTGCAGTAGCTTGTGGCGTAGCCAAAAGGCCTCGCTCCGAAGTGATAGACATACCATATGACTGGCGTGCGGCCACAGGCTGGCCAGTCCATCAATCATGTGCAGCCCACTTTGAAAACATTCCAACATCTCAGAAGACTGAGGTTTGGGACTCTGGGTCGTCTCGTGGGATGCAATTGATAAGATTCCGCCCGCAACTACCAAGCAATATGCATAGAATGAGGATTGGACAGGTCCTCCCGCATTAAGCACATCCTGCAGTAGATTTATGAGACGTACGGCATGACCTATGCCCGCTTTCATCCCCTGGGCTGCAAAGCTGCCGGGTACTTTGGATTTTAAGGGTCGAAGGGACTGGCAGAGGATAAAAGGATGGTTCAACAAGCAATGGCAGAGATGGAAGAGGGTATGTGCGAAAATGAGATGACCAAGCTCCTGATACTTATAGGGATCTCCCATGATCCCGTCTCGTCCAGAAGCCAGGTCCGTCACTTGAACTGGACTCAGCTCGGCATAGTGTTCGAATAAGAGTAAGAGGGAGCACACGGCTGCATATTCCGATTTTGTGTCCCAGGGTGGTATCTCGTCGCTGTGCCGAACGCCGTACACATAGCGTGTGCAACGTCCGAGGATCGATGCGAGGAGAATCACCAGCGCAAGGGAGCTAGGCGTATCCTGCAACGTGGTATTCCAACTAAGCAGCTGGTTTAAATTACAAGTCTTCTTTGTCTGTCCGTGGCGAAAGCTTCTCTCGTCGCACGGAAGCTGTATATGACAGTCCTGGTCGAGAATGATGAGCGGACGAGCGCGGCCACAGGAGATCAATTTATCGAGTAAGTATACCGACCAGAACACTCGCCGGCGCTCCTCCTGTTCAGCCGGCAATCTCCATTCCTCGGGCTCTACCATCAAACCAAGGCCTTGGGATATGCGAGCAGCTAGCCCGGTTTTGAGCCAGCCTGAGTTAGTTCTTCCGGCTGCGGATCCCAGCGGTCAGTTGGTATAGACTCGCGTTAACAGTTAGAACGAACCGCACCTGTAAAGTCAATCACAGCGAGTATATTGATTGTTTGTACCGTTTTAATATCTATACTATCCTCGTTCAAGTGATTCATCAACACAGAAAGCCATGCTTCCCGTGTATAGACCTCGGACATCTCTCGCTGCCTGCTCCTGTAGAAATCATGTGTAGAGAAACGAACAGCGGCGGCCAGTAAAGCCAAGATCAGACAGTTAGGCAAGGATCGATCCTCCAGTGTCCGGCGAAAGCTCGCTTCTTGGACATTACTGTATGGCTGATTATGAACATGAATGAAGTATGCATCGACGGTGGAGTCCAGAACGGATTGAGGCGGCATGCAATAGGGGCGCTCCCCGGCGGCGGCAGCGGCGGCGGTGGCAGGAGGTTGCGACAGGTCGATTGGCCGTTGCGACTGTGCGTGGTCTCCCAATGGCCTTGATGTTATTACCGAGTTAGCCCTGTCTGATCGTGGTGGGTGACGGGGGGAGGGGGTTGGTGGGATTCGCCTTACCCGGGCTGCAAGATGGTCTGCTCGCTCAGCTCGGCTAGGCGTTGTTCGAGTATGGATATTCGTTGCGATAATTGAACCTGGCATGTTGTCAAAGACACACATCAAGAGAGAACAACGGATATAACGGATAGCGATACATTCTCGGAGGTGGGCGTGCCTGCGGTGGCGCTTGGCGGATGCAGGTTATCATAGGAACCGGAATACGGCTCATAGACACAGGTATGCTTATTGCGACGACATTGAAAACAGACTGGCCGCTCCCCTGTGCACTTGGTTTTCCGTCGCCTGTGAATTAAGATCCAAGAGTCAAGTCAAGTCCGTGCCAGTTTGTGCAGGTCCATACAGATTGGGTCACGTACCGGCAGTTAGAGCAGGCCTGGCGAATATGCTTTTGAGGAGAGCGTAAAGAAAGATGGATTCAAGCTTTCTAGACACTTATTTAACTGCCGGCCGAAGGCGGTAAGCTGTCTAACTAATAGAAGACTAGATATTTTATATATTTTTTTAGTTTACTATAAGACCCAAATATTTTAAAGCTATTTAAACTATATAAAATTATTATAATAGAAAAAACGGGCTATTTTTTTAGTATTAAAATATCGGAATAATCATATAAAATAAGATTAATAAATACTACCGGTAGGATAATTATAGAAAATATAACTAGCCCTCTGTATAATAATATTATTAAAATATATAAAATTATATAAATAATATTTGAATTATTTGTTTAAGTAAATATTTAAATAATATAAAGTCTACTATAGAAAATAGCTTAATAAAACTATTTATAAGATTATTTTTTATATTAATATACTAAAAATCTATTTTATTATTTTAATATATATTTTTTATATAAAACAATCTAATATTAATTTACTATATCGACTTTAAAACTATAGATATATATATAAGATTAACTGTATTATTAAAATCTGTATAGATAATTATTTTTTTATTAATAAATAGACCCAGTTTTATAATAGATTTATATAAAAAAATAGTCTTACGGAATACTTTATAAAATATTATATATTTAGTTGGTATAAATAAAGTTACTAAAACTGTCTATTTATATATAAATTATAATATTAATAATTCTATATATATAATAATATAAATCTTTGAAGATTTTATATTATTATTATTTATATATAAAATATTAATATAGATTTTAAATTACTTATTATAGTTACGGCCGTATATAATATTAAATATAGAATTCTTAAAATAATATAAAATATATTTAATAATATTTTTATTAATTAACTATAAAGAGGCTATTTAATATTAGATTTAGTATATAATATATTTAATATTAATATATATTTTTATTATTAATTAATTTAGTTTTTTTAATATCTTTTTATATTAGTTTATATTAATAAAGTTAAGGTCTTTATACAATATGTTCTAATATTCGAAGTTTATAGAGGTTTTTTTTATATAATAATTAGTTATACTATAGTCTATAAAAAGTTTATTAATATAAGTCTGTTAACTAATAGTTACTGTTCTAGTAATATAATCTTAATATATAAAACTACTTAAAAATTACATTAATTTATTAAAATATTTTAATTATATAATTTTTTAAGCTTATATAATACGGCTTTAATTTCTGTTATATTAAATACAGCAAAAAGAAAGTTGTTTATATATAAAAATAAAATTATTTTTTATAAATATAGATATAGATATTTTATTTTAATAATTTAAAACTAAATATATAAAATATCTTATTAATTATTTTATTTCAAAGAAATACTGCTTGCTTAAGACTATATAATATTTTTTTAAATATTAGATTTTATTGAGTGATTTATAGAGGCCTGTTAGTTAGTATATATATATAAATTATTTTTAAAATTTAGTATTAAAATATATTATAATAATATTATATTAGATATATTATAGCTGTAGAAGTATAATAATAGTAATTATAAGCTTTAAAATAGTATTATTTAAAATTAGAGTATAATTATTCTTAAAATCAAAACCAGACTGTTAACAGTTTTTATATATTATTTAGTATATTTTAAAATATTATATCCAGCTGTTGTTGTTGGTCTTTATAGTATATACTTATTTATTAGAAAGAATATAAATATTAGATAACTAGTTAATAAGATTAAATATATTCTTTTTTTATTATTTATTATATTTAATTTTTATTATCTTTAACTAATTCGGCTATTAAAAAGATATTTTAGTAGTATTATAGGTTTTTAAAATTAAAACTTTGTTAATATATATAAATATTATATTATATAATTAGAATATCCTCTTAAAACCAGGCTATTTATATAATATATTCTTATTTAAATAATCTAATATCTATAATAACTAGGATTTATAATTTTTATAAAAATAGTATTTTTATTTAGATTTAATATTAGTAATTTATATATTTTTTAAATAATATATAATATCAGCTGGATATTCTAATTAATTTAAAAATTAAAGTCTACGGATGTTATATACTATAAAATCTTAGTAGCTATATTACCTACTATTTATTTTAGTTTTTAAAATATTTTTAGAGTTATAATTTAATATAATTTTAGTAAAATATTAGTATTATATAATTTTATATCTATTATCGGTATATATAACAGCTCCGGTGGTAGATCTTCCGGTAGTATAATAATAATATATTTTATAAAATTATAAAACTTATTTTTTTAATATAATTTTAAAATATTTTTTTATATTTTTAGTTATAGTTATTATAAGAATCTTGCCAGCTGTAATAGTTCTAAATTATTATATATTTATTAAAAACTTTTTAAAAATTATTATTTAGATTAAATATATATAAGTATTATATATAAATAATTAATATGTTAGTTTTAATATTTAGATATATATATATTAAATTATATAGTAGAACTTATAAATTAGTATTATTAATTATTACTAGTGTATATACTATAATAATAAAATTTAATAAAATCTTATATATAATAATATCTAATAATAATAATTTATAATATTAAGATTACTATAGTATATTTATAAGTATAGCAGAATTATTTATTCTTTAAAAAATAAAATAATTTTTATTTATAATATTAAATTCTATTTTTTCTAGTATATAAAAGCGGCGGAGATGGTTCTTATTTAAAATCTTAAAACCAGATACTTATAGTATATAATAAAAATAGAAATAATTTTTATTTAAAAAACTAATTAGATCTTTTTATTTAAAGAAAATTATTTTAATATTTAATATTATTAATAATACTTCTGAATAAACTCCCGCTGTTAGAATTTAAAAAGTAACTTTTTTATTTATAAATTAAAAAAAATAATTATTATTATTTTTTTTTATATATCTTAAAAAATATTTATAATAGTTTTTTTTATAGTTGTAGATATAAAATATCTTAGAAAGTAGTAAAAAGATAAAATCTAGATTTAGATTTATTTATAAATTAATAATTTAATAATACTTAATAAAGCTGTTTACTATTTATATATAATTAGCTGTATTAATACTAAATTATTATTATTTTTTAGCAGCTTAGACCAGATAGTATTTTAGTCTTCTAATAGTAAGAAAGAGCTGATAAAAGAATTGTTACGGGACGGATAGATTGTGCTAATCGAAACGTGTCTTTGAATAAGAAGACATAGCTGGAGAGCTATTTCGTCTGTTTATACGAAATTCTTTTGTATATGCTAGGCTAGTGTTAGTTAGTATATAGTATTACGAGATCTTAGATACCAACTAGTATCTGAAGCCGAGCTTTATACTAGAATCTTAATTTTATAATAAAAGTCTTTTTTTTTTCTTCTTCTCTTTGTTTTATTCTTATTTTATATAATTCTCTGCAGCTTGTTGTATATCGCAGCTTTCTAATAAATAAAGTTCTTTTTTATACTATTTATACAACCGGTTTCGGGGGTGTGGTTAGGCTTAGCTACTAGCTTTGTATAGAATATATAAAATATTATATAAGAAGGCTCTTTTTTCTTTTTTTTAAATTTTTTTTTTTTATATATCTTTTCTTTTTTTTTCTTTTTTTTTAATCTGCTTTATTTTTACTTATATAAGTTTTTATTAATTTCTTTCTGCTTGTATAATGCCTCTGCTTTCTGGTGCCGAGAATGATAACTTTAAGAAGTCGGACGGTATACTTATTTTTTTTTATTATAATTTTTTTTAAGTTTCTGTTATTATATTTAATTATAATTTACTTTTTTTTTGTGCGGTATGCTACTATATATAATTCTCGTATTAGTAATATAGAAAAGTAGGTGATTATATAACTTATAATATATAGAAATAAAGCTCTATTCTAGTTTTATTATACTTCGGATTAGTAGTATGTCTGGCGCTTTTTTTACTTTAAATTTAAGATAAAAGTTGGTGCTTTTATTATTGTTTAAATAAGATAGTTCTGTAGATTTTCTGTACAGTATTAATTTAGTTAGATGTATACCGAGTGTTTTTTTATATTAATAGTTTTTTAATTGTTTTTTGTAGTCTGGTGGTGCTGAATATTTATAGATATAATATTTAAAAAAAGTTTCGGCAGACTGTATAACTACTTAAATAGTAGAGTAGTACTTGTATTAGGTATAAGTTTAAGAATTATAGTATATATTATGATTACTATAACCCGGCTGAGTCTAAGTATAAGTCTATAATAATTGCTGCTCTTTTTCGTAATATTATCGAAGAATTAGTAGACTGAATATAGTATATAAGTAGAATTTGATATAATAATAGTTAGTTGTTTTTATCAGATTAAATAAAGCTTTTTTTAGTTAAAAAAATAATAGACTGCTTATTTACTCTTTCTTCTTTTTTTTTTGTATTTTTTTATTATATTTTTTTTTTGTTTTTTTCGATTCTGTACAATCTAGAACTAGAAATAGAAGTTTCTGGTTTTTATTTATATAATATTTAGTTAGGGTTTAATTAGGGTTGCTGTTGCTATTTAATAACAGCTTCTGTATTATCAAGTACCGAGACTGATTTTTAGATTAGTTTTAGATAGTCTTTTTATTTAATTAGATACTATAACTGGTTCTTTCGGTTCTTCTTTATATATTATTTATTAAGAATTTCTTTAATTTTATATTCTTCTTCGCCATCGACTATTATAGGTGGCGGTTGTATATTATCTTATAATTACGATAGTAGTATATTATTAGCTGTTAACCGAAGAAGATTAATATAAAAAATAAAGTAGATTTTTTTAGATATATTAAGCCGTACGGTGTACAATTCTATTTTTTTTAAAATAGTATATTTTATGTTTTTTTAGTCTAGCTTTTTACTTGGGTGTTTTATTTGAATATTCTGTAGATTAAGCTATACTTAGTCGTTTTTTTAATATAGTAAAGCAGTTTAGTAGAATTTATTAGTCTGTTTTTTTA